GCTTCCTTGGAGAAGACATTCAGGAACTCGTGGTACTGCTTGGGCACCGACTCCTCGGCGGTCTTGACGACCTTCTTTTTGATCTCTTCCTCAGCGAACAGCTGGGAGTACGTATGTCCTGCTGCAACGAACAGCTGAGGAGCGCCGGGAAGCGTGATGCCTTGCTCTCAGGCTTCGATCAAGTTGGCCTCATCCCACTCTACTTCCGCCGGATCTTCGTCAGGTTCGAAGTCCGGGAGCACCTTGCTCAGGCAGGCACCTATGACTGACCGTTTGGACTTCGGCGAATGCCTGCGTGCCGTGGGCCTGTCCCCCGTATCATGCGCAGTCATTGCTTGCTCCATCCGGCCAGTCCTCCTGGCACTGCACGTTTCAGGGCATCACGATAGCTTTAGGGAGCCCGACTCCCAATCAATCTCAGGGTTGTGTTCACATAGCCAATCCAACCCAACAATCACATCCTCGGGACCAATGTCCGTGACCGTAAACACCATTTTCTCGACGTGTTCTCCTATGTGCATCTGTAGCACTGCTACTTCCGAGATGCTTCCGTCTTTGTTCAGGGTGCTGTCAATATTGTATAGCAGAATTGGTTCCTTCAACTTCCGCGTCTGCACCTTGTTTTCTGTAATAAATTGCTTGTTGATAAACTTTGTGGTGGCTCCGCTGTCCACCATAGCGATTATGTTCTTGTGCCGTCTTTTCCCTTGGAGTCGGACCAGAATGTGAAAGTGCTGGGACCCCTGGTCCAACTTGTACACCATTGCAGAAGACAATACATCATACTTGTTACATGAAGATACTCGCGGCCCGACGCGTGCGGCACGAAGCGCGGACCGGATTAAAAACCCTCCTCCTTCATTGCTCGATAGTGCTCAAGCTCCTCGCGCATCGACTTCACCTGTGCCATTAAGTCCGCCAGCTCCGATTGCTCGGATTTCGCTGAAGCGGCACTTATACTTGTCGAGGGTGTTGTCGTGACGGGGGCGCTTGTTGCAGCCTGGGTGGAGCCCGAGGCAACCGTAGCCCGCGTGTCAGCGCGTTTTGTGTAAGGCTTGTCCTTACAATTGGGGCACTCGAAACGTCGGTACCCTTGCTTTCCACAGCCGAAGCATGTGCCGGGGAAGTTGCCTTTTCCGACGGCCGCATTGATGCTGGCCGAAGCTGCGTGTGACAGGGGTGCACCACCACGTGCCCCACCGCATCCTCGACCTCGGGCTGAGAAGAAGTTATTTAGCTCGGATCGATGGGCCCAGCTGATGTCGAGGATCTGCTCAACCTCGGTGGCGTGCTTCTCAGCTGCTTGCCACGTGGTGAAGGTCTCGAGCTCGATCTTGCGATATACGCAGGAGGGGATGCCACTCAGGTACTTGCCGCGTAGCTCCAGGTCCCCATACCCGGAACGGTCCGCCGGACCCTTGAACAGCGCGGAGAACTCCGCAGCGGTGCGTTTTTCACGGGCCGACTTGTCCGCGCAGAGCTTCGCCAGCTCTACTTGTGCTGCCGCCTCGTCGTCGAGATTTCCGAAGTGGGCCTTGAAGGTGGCGGCAAAGGCCGCTTCATTTGCAAACGGGGTCGTGGCCCCTTGCACACCCACCTGCACCAATGCGAGCTGGGCAAAGTAGGGAGTGGCCCAGGCGCGGGCATCTCCATCGAGCAGGCTAAGGGCGACCTGCACCTTGAGTTCGATAGTGGTCAACGACGTGTTGACCAGCCAGTAGATGCGCAGCTGCGACAAGAACCGGTTGCACTCAATGACGGTCTTGCCATCGTAGCGGAGCGGGAGGAGGAGTTTCAAAGTCTCCTTATCGGGGGCGGCTGCAGGAGAGGACATTATCGGCGTCGGGGGGGACGGAGGACGCTGCGGGGGCGGAGGCGGCTGTGGTGGCCCTCCGCTGGTTGAACTTTGAGAGGAGCGAGTGCTCGAGCGGCCTCTCGGCGGAGTCGGCGGTGAAGGTGCTGAAGGAAGTTCGGTGGCGGGGTCACGTACGTCAGGGACTGCTGACGCGGGGGCGAGCGCTGTCGGCGAGGCGGACCCAACAGAATCCTCGGACTCAGACTCCAAGACTCCTTCTTCACCTGCACCCTCCTCAGGCTCTGGCTCTGGCGCAGGGTCTGGAGGGAGATTTCCTCGAGCTTGACTGGACTCGGCGACAGTTTGGGGAAGGCGGGAAGTAGGGGAGACAGGGCGAGAGTGCCGCGAGGCCGATCGAGATGCGAGGGTGCTTCGGGGTCCGAGCGGGTGTTGTGCTCGTCGGATCGCCTTGTAACGAGGGTAATCTTCCTCGATCGATCGGGGTGTCCAATTTGGGCACAGCTGCTGCTCGCAACGGTAGAGGATAGTCTCAGGGCCGTCTGGGATGTAGACGTCGATGAGGTCCTGGGAGTCGAATGCGTGGATCTGGCCTTGGCAGGCAGCCACGATGGATGGGGGGAGGACGGGGAGGTGCGCGTACTAAAATGGCCATACTACACTAGCTTACGCTACGGCGCCCGAGGAGACACTAGGGTTCGCAGTTCACGTGGGGCCCAGTACTGCTTTTGACTATTATGCAGCAGGAACCTAGTCCACGCGTCCGTGAGGACAAGTACCGCCCACTGAAGTGCAGGTACTGAAGAGTTCGTTCCCTAAGTGGTGGCGATGTATGTACGCTATCTACGTATCGTAATGTAACGTAGGGGTGCACACCACCCGACCTGTGGGAAAGTAAAAGTGAGTGTGGGGTTCCGAGAGAACGCTGGTCGCTTGGGAGAGTTTCAACCTAATGTCGCGACTTGAGGTCAAGCGACAGGGGAATACCTAGAAGCGAGGGGCATTTGACTGGTTCTCACCGAAGCGATGGTGAGCGAGGCTCAAACCTAAGGCTAGGGACAAGTTAGTTAGTATTGAATAAGTAAGTAAGTACAAGGGCTTACTGACCTAGGGACAAGAGGTCGAAACTGAGGTCCCTAGGGCAGCAGAGGCTGGTTTATATACATGGGAAGATTTAGGGCAGGCTGTGCGCGTTGGTCCGTGCGCAGCTGGTCCGTGCGCAGCATGCCGACGCGGCCCCGGGGGCCGGTGAGTCAGAGCGGCTGTGTCAGTGGAGCCCGAGCTGTGCCGTGCGCTGCCGCTCCATCTAATCTAATCGTACAGTAGATAGTGACGCGTCCATATCCGGTATGTAGTACAGAGGTCGCGGGTTCGAGCCCGCGAAAAGGAAAAAATTAAAAAACGGCTAGACGCCGTACCAAGTCGTGACAGGACCTCAGTTTCGACCTCTTGTCCCTAGGTCAGTAAGCTCTCCTGCACTTACTTCTTTTACTTACTAACTAATACATTCTTGTCCCTAGCCTTAGGTTTGAGCTCTGCTCACCATTGCTTCGGTAAGACCCAGTCGAATGCCCCCAGCATCTTTGAGTCTGTGTTTCCCCTGTCGCTTGACCCTAAGTCGCAACAGCGGCGGAACAATGGCAAGGCAACTGTTGCCAATGTTGCGGCTTCAGGGGGAGCTTCGGGAGGCAAGGTGACGTGTTTTCACTGCAGGAAGGTCAGGCACATTTGACGGAATTGTCCGAACAAAAGGACTCATGCAAGCTTGGCGGCCGTGGAGGATGCCTTCGTGTTTTGATTGGGCGTAGGCTAATGGCAGCTCGCTTGAGGGAGAGTGTTGACTTTTGGGTATGTCGGGCAAGCATCGCTGCCGGCCCGGGTCACGTGGTCGTGCACCGGTGTGGGAATAGGACTTATGTAGGCGTTGCGTGCCATAGGTAGCCCCATTGGTTTGTAACCTTATCCACCATTGATCCCTGTCCATCGAAGATGTTGGCTGCCGGCGGTCTTTCCGGCGTCGTTCTCACAATGCTCACGACATCGCCATCGTCGTCTAGGGCTGGAAATTCACAACGGCCACGCACGGATGTTCAGGAGGACTCGGAGCTAGTAAATGTGAACGAGCCGGCAGAAGATGGTAAGACATTGTGGCAATTTAATTGGGATGTGTAGGTACTTTACAGCATGTACTAGAAACTCTGTACACCCTTGCGTGTAATTCGGACGCTCCCTGAGGCTTTTTTTTTTACATATGTTTACACTTTTTTACTTTTTTTACTGTTTTTTACACGCCGGAGGGGCGTCACGTGCCGAGGAGCAAAAGTCCCGTGATTTACTGTAATTTACATTTTTGACCGTGTAAAAAACGGGGTCCCGAAACCTGGGGGTGTAAAGAACGGTAATTTACATGCCGATGCATTATTTACCCTACACTACCTTTGGCCGCTTAAACGTCGCATGTTTTCCAGCGACATTCAACCGGCAATTTTGAACGGCAATCCTGAACGCACCTAATTTCGAATGTACCTAGTGTTGCGCAACTTGGGATTGTGGCGAGCGCATTGGCATCGTAGTTGGAATTGTTCGTAATACATCGGAGCCTTTCTCTGCCTTTCCTGTACGTCCCTCGCTACGTGTCCGACAAAGCTCACACAAACGCGATACATCTTTGTCGTTCTTGTTTCCTGTCTCATACACACTTAAACGTAAAGGTCCATTTTCCCGAAGATTGAACATTGAATATTGGAGTGTTAGTCGAGGACACCTCCAAAGACCGGTCATGCTGATATCTTTACACATCAATGCGTTAGGAAAGATAAGGGGACTATCGACCCGAACAAAGTGACCTTTCCGCATAGGTAAAAGCTCGTCACAGTTTCGGAGGATTATCAAAATATTCGGATACGACGTCATGTGATCAGGCACTTGGCACAAGAAAATAGCAAGACGCCAACAGTGATCTGTCAAAACTGAGCCTACCGCAGCTCTACCAGTACCGCCCCCCTGCGGACAAGATGCACTATCGCTGAGTAAGCGCGCGCTAACCATAACTCGTAGGCGTTATAGGAATTAAAGCTTCCTCCGCTTTCTTTCGGGCTCAGTCTCACGCTTGTTCACACGTAGTCCGTGCCACGATAGACTCTGTACTGTTTGTAATCGCATCTTCAGACAACAAAAAATCGGCATGTCAGCGCACCTTTGTGAGATCCGTGGAGGCTTGCAGCCCGGGGAAGTTTTTGGTGGAGTATACCTGGAATGTACCACCGAAAGCCTCTGCGAGCGCGGGGTGTTGCGTGCCACCAGTGACCGCTGACATGATGTCGAAGACCCTGTAGCGCAAGAAGAATGAACCCTCCGCTCTAACGGCTAGATCCTGGGGGAAAATGAGAAAAGGCTTCATCAGCTTGCTGCACCCAAACATTTCTGAGCAGAAGGAGCGATGAAATTCTGAAAGTACCTCACGCACCGAAAAGACGAACGCTAATATTTTCTTGCCTTCATGGTAAACGCATGATGCTGACACAGCCCGCGTCCCCACAAGCAATGTCGTGTAAGTTGACGCCCCTTCAACGTTCTGATCGTCATCGGAAACCGCTACCTGGGCTTTCGCGTGCGAGACGGAGGAGTCATCAGAGCCTGAGAACATTGCCACGGTACGCGTGCTCGACGATGGCCTTGGAAAGGGTAATATTGTAGTCGGTGGCATTGTCACTGGCATCTGCAGAGTGCATGCACGTGGATTGGACGATTCGAATAACGTCGGCCGTGCACCAGAAGATGTCGCCGAGGATCTTGGATCAGTGCCAGGCATGAGAGTGGAGAGAGAAAGAGGTGGGAGAGCGAGGATGGATCGCGATGTGAACTCCTCAGGATATGCAGCGGTGAAACTAGAAACAGCCATCTCCTTGGTAGTTCGTGGGGCTTGCAGGCGGTGATTACTTTTCGCGGGCTTCGATTCAGGAGGGCTGCGAAACAGATCAACATGGCAAACACAGCCTATACCAATGTTATCTCTACGTTTCTGTCTTAGATTTTGTTTGTGGAGTGAGAAGTTGTACCGCGTACGTGTAGGCATCGATTTCATGCTCCCACTGATGTGCGGTCCCATTGTTGAACACGCGGTAGAACCGTAGTTGGAGAACAGGGGGCGGGTCGAGAGGCCTGCGATCTTTCTGTCCATACCTGGTTTCATATGTAGTTAGGCATGCCTTGAGATGGCGTTCTGTCCACATACTTGCGACCCATATCCGCCTTTTGTAGTTCTTTCAATTCCACGCGCACTGTCCAACCAGCAAATGGCCCAGTCGTGAAGTTGATGGGCGCGCTCATGGGCGGGGACCCCGCTGGCTTTGCTCGCTGATTATTGAGGGTCAATGCCAGGGCGACGGAATCATACTGATGACCTTTACCTGTTCAGATGACGACGTTCCTGGAACTGCGATGTTTGTTAGATCTCCCTCGCGAAAATATAGGAAGCGTAGGCAAGTATGTAGGCCGGTATGACTGAGAGCTATACGTAACGAACTTACATTGAGCAGGGTATCTTAGCGACATGCTATTGCCCTTTATTCAAGTATGTTCGTGGAGAGGAGAGGCCTACATGTAGTTTAAGGGCATGCGAGCTGCGGAGTGAGGTGCCTACCTACTTTGGAAGATCGTACTAGGTGAATTGGGAGCTCGTGGTAGAGAGCCACAACGCATGCGGACGTGTCTGATGCAGCCCATTAAGGGCCCGCTCTAGCCAGGGTCAGTACATTGCTTCCCACAAACATATATGGGTCTGATCAGAGGTTATTAGAGGGATGACAGGCTCCGCTTGTTCTCCGCTCCGGGCCCCCGAGTACTGCGCCGGCGCCACACGCACTGCAACCGATGATGGGGCGACCTCTGTTGGAGGAAATTGCCCGACCACAAAGTCCACATTCTCGAACCATTCCAAAAGTTCAGACATCTTTTTCTCACGAGATTGCATCCTCTTGAGCTGTGTCGGCTGATTACTCATCCTTCGACTGAATGTAGCTCACATTGAACAGACTGTTGGCCGGTCATATTCAACGATTGAACCTAGACGAGGCATATCTCACAATGTCGCAAGGGGCTTGAGAGGCAATCCCTTCATGGGTTCACCAGACGCCATGATCCTGGTGCCATTCAAGAAGGATGTCAGATGTGAAGACTCCGAGGTAGCTCAACTCTCACGCTATGAAGTCTTACTCCGAGCGACGCGATTTGGGGTTATTGGGTCCAGCAGCCACGACCACGACCATGTCCGTTTTTCTCCTTTTACTGTCAGGCGACAGCTGGGCCCTATGTTGAAATTCATTCAAGGTCGAAGAACTACGCGATCCGAGATGAGTACCGAGAGATAAGGTGTATACTATATTATAGACTCCAAGAGCCAGGACCACTATCAAAAGCCCAAGGGTGAGAGAAACAAGACCCTGACCGTGGATAGAGAGAACCAGTGATTAGTGTATATCGCTGTTGTGGACTCGCCGACCCGGCTGCAGCGCGTACATATTGAGTTCGGCTGTCACTGCATGCAGTATTCAATTTTCTGGTACAAGAAATCAAATAAAAATGAAAAGAAAAGTGAATTTACCTGGTCAATATTCCAGCGCCTAATATGGAAATGAAATCGAAGAAAAATCGATTATGTAATCCATTTTCTATTGTCTCTTTCAAATTTTCTTTGATACATCAATAAAATCTAATAGGTGCTATTCGCTTTTAATTCAATTTTGATTCAATGTTTTGTGCAAGAAAATTGATCCCTGCATGCAGTGTGTAGTTCTCAACTCGGTGCCAGCTCCCCCGCGCTCACAATCGGCGACCTGGGATTCGACCAGTTGTCCACTGTTCGACATCCATTCTCGACTCTTCGCTGCGCTTCTTCAAAGGATCCACATGCTGAGAAAAGGGAATATCGATCCCGTAGACTGTCGCTGTGAACAGGAATACCATGTTCCCGAATGTTAAGTGGTTGTCCTCGATCAGCACCTCGCTTGTTACCAAACGATTTATGCCCTTGCCACAAGGCCCGTTCCAGCCCCGTGTATGCGACAGAAGTGTTGGTTCTATCACCCTATTCTGGTATGCGGCCATCGATATATGTGGACGGCGCTGCCGTGAGGTGAGGTCCAATGGCGTCGCACCTCATGCACTTCGGGACAGCGACTCGACTAATCGGCATTCAATATGTCACCCGTACGTAAGGTATCTACTGTGCCGACCTTTGTTGGGTAGCTTCAAGGTAATTGAGGTTGTCAGCGTCTCTGCTGGTCGCTACGAACTACTTTACACCAAGACAGAATGTGATATATCACTCACAAGTATGTGAAGCGAACCTCTGAGACACCGATCACCGGGAGGTAGGAGTGACCTCGCGCGGTACGTATCAGAAATGCCGCGCACGGTGTGAGCGGGGAGTGTCCACTCACGATTTACCGAGTTCCAGGAACCTGGTGACGTGTGGATATGGCGTCAATATTCATTATAGCGATCGTACATTGAGATGTTCTACTCCTGCGCACTCTCCCCTAACAGAACTGCTGATGACTGTACGATGTACGCTGACCGATCATCAAGGAACAGTTGGAAGCTCTACTGCGAACGAATACTTAGATCTCGGGTGCAATTGCCCGAAAAAACGAATCACTTGAAATGAGTCCTTGACAGCTGATACGACGAGTAATTGTAGCGAACGATCATTAGCATTGACCTTCCCACAACGCAACATGGCAAGAGTGCCAGCACTGCGAATGGCCGTTCACATTCAAGTAAAGAGACATCTAAGCGACCGTATGGCATTGCCTACATCTTGCTGTTACGTTCGCGTCAACGGTTGTCACCTTCAGGGCGTGAATGACGACACCTCTTACATAGAAGCGTCGAAACTACCGTTCAAGATACTCACGTACGCTCAAATGGCAGTTTCCTCCCTACTCAGAGCTCTGACAGCTCGAAGCCGTAAGGCGGTTGCTAAATATTTGGTCTCCGTTCTGCTTGCCCTAAACTGCTCGTAGCCTGGCAACTGGGTATCAGGATGGCTTGCACCAGAGCACCAGCACCATATCGCACTGATGCTCTCCCCGGGTCCTGGCGGAAGGTTGAGCCCTGGAGATGAGGCTGACTTGACGACGTAACGTGCCTGCTGACTCGCAATCTAGCAATCTGGGTGCACCGTGGCGATGTCATACCCACGGACGTAAAATCTAGCCGCACAAAGCGCGATGGGAGCCCTTCGAGAGGCCACTCAATCGACGCCCAATGCCATCCCTAGCAGGTGAAGATAGGGTGAGCGTCAACGAAGGTGACTCAGCGTGAAGCTGTTTTACACTAAGTATGACACACAGAAGGCTGTGCCCGAGTATGAAACGAACGACATACCCGCTCGATGAATGACGACTTACTGCGTGCTGGCAGTTATAGTCAACACCACTAGGGGTTGCTGTTATGACCCACGACTTGATGCCGCAGGAGCCATCTCTCGCCCAAATGTGTCAGACGTTCTGTAAGTATCAGGTTCTAGTCAATTGATAAGCGCTGGGGTGTCCGATACTGCAGCACAAAAGAAAATAGGCAATAACTGAGGGAGTGCCTCTCGCGATGCATTAAAGACGATTCAGGCATCGCGAATCGCACATTAGGCTCCAAAAGAGGAGGTAGGGCGCAAAGCCAGGCCACTCTGAGACGCCATATGACGTGAGCAAGTGTACACGAAGCAACTCATGAGCGTCATTACCTTCGAATAAACAGCATCGATGACACGCATCTCATTGATAGAGTCCTCGGCGGTCCTCCACGCGTCCGGGCTACGCCCTCGGAGCTTGTCCACGAACGATTCCAGTTGATAGCGATACCTGCGTACATAGGTCACCGTGGTCACGCCGTTTGCAATGACTCAGTACGTACGCGGACCACCATTCTTCCCCCTTGCCCTGCGTAGGCTTGTAGACCTTCTCCACGCAACGCCTCCCGTCCTGGGTCCTAACTGTGATCAAGTGCCATAAGGAGGGCAGGGGATAGTTCCAAATCTCCACGGATCCCTTCTCACATTCGACCCGCAACGCGATCTTCACCCACTGGGGGAGGAGCTTGAAGGGCCCCCAGCCGTCTAACGACAAGTCGACAATCACAGTGGCCGGAATAGAATCGCGAAACAACAGTTCTGTTTCCATGCGGCGATCGACGTTCTCCGAGCGACATATAGCTTCCGCAGATTGGACAGTCGGTTCTGAAGCGGATAGGAAACGCATGTAGTTGATCGGGTACGCTGGATAGATATTAGAGAATGCTCATCGAATGAGCAAGAAATCAACTTACGACCGAGATCCATTAAGGCACCACCTCCCAGTTTGTAGTCGTATCGGATGTCGTCCTTCTTGAACATTACATTTCCCCAGAGACCAAAATGAGCGTACATCTTTGTGATCTCCCCTAGAGATCCTTCATCAATGATATCCTTCATCTTCTTAATAGCAGGATGGAATCTAGCAGTCCATATCAGAATTCCCAGTCGGACCTTTCGAGAAAGGTGAATCTCCACTACGCACTGAGGTTGCCAGGTCTCTAAAAGCACCAACCCCTTTTCCTCCGCCAGAGAGAACATCCTTCGCGTCTCTTCCTCGTTGTCTGCGATAGGCTTGTCGCACATAACATGCTTTCCGGCATTAAGGGCTTTCATTGTCCACTCGTAGTGGAGAGCATTCGGCAGCTAAGTCGGCCATTATCACGCGCTCGCCAGGGGAGGAAATTTGAAGACCTACACCGATATAGACAACGTCAAGCTCCGCGTCGTCAAGCAGATCTACGTGGGTCGTTTCAAGAAGCGGGGGTGATGGTAGATATGCGATTCACCGACCTTGGTACCCACTTTCTCCACCGTAGAATTTGGGGATGCTCCACTTATGAGCGTACTCTTCCGCACGACTCTTGTTGCGAGCAGCCACCACTGTTACTAGCACGTCTTCATGGCATCTGGCAGGCTTTATGATAGCATCCGGGGCGATGCGCGACGCGCCCAGCAGCCCAACGCGCAGAGGGTTCTCCGTCTTCTTTACGGTGGGCGGATTGGTGGTCTAGAATGCTATAAGTAACAGATACAAAAGTCCTTGAAGCCATACGCACCTTTCGAATGCGGCTGATGAAGGACAACATCGTTCAGCACGCTGGGGGAGAACCTGTGGCCTGTGGGAAACAGTTGGTCCCCTTTTAGGTCGGTTACGTGGTCAGATTCCCGATGAGAGGTTAGCCAAAGCGTTACTGGGAGCGTGTGCCATTCATCAATGGACGTCCGCATGGGCGATGGGGGATATGCATATGCATCAGGGCCCCAGCATCGTCTACTCCTCGAGTCAATATGGCGGAGCTGGAGCAGTAGAGGTGAAATCAAACCTCCTCAGAGAGTCAACAGCAACAATCAACACTTGAAAATCCGAGTAAGAGGTAGAGAACATGTGTTCAGTCGTGTTTCAGCAGTTGCTCGGAGACGGTGACCGACTCATGCCACAGCCGGCGCTTATGAGAGAGCAACTCCGCAGAGTAGGCGCCCATGTGGGTCTAGATCTTGCCTGCCGATCGGATCATCCCCAATATTTACCTCACGTTTCGCTGTCGCACTAAATCTTATCCACCTTCACGCTCTCTTGTCGCATTGTCTCTGTTTTGCGATATAATATCGTACATCCACAACGTAGCAACACTTAGCCTTCCAGCTGCGATATTATTAGGTAATTTCGCTAATGTGCTCTTCCGATGACACGGAAAAGCTGCGCGAGAGGAACAAGCAGCCATTCTGCCAGCGTACCGCATCGGCTTGACTCGCCTCACAGGGCCACCAACGGAGAGCTTTTGCCAGAAGAAGAATTCTGGCACAACCACCAAAAATGGCTGGAAGAACAAGGCTACATGCTCCGCTCCCGGTACAAACCAGATTGGACACCCTCGTGGAAGGGCACCAACAAGAAGTATTGGCAATGTGAAGACGGCCAGAGTATTTTGGTAGGATCTTCGACTGCTGCGTGATTTGGGCTGACCCAATGGCCAGGTCCCTCACCTGCTAGACGCCACGCGGATCTCCGATGGCCAGATGGTGGTTCTCAAGCGAATCCTCACGACGCAGCACCCGTATGAAGTCGAGATCAGTCGACTTTTCTCGGAGGAGCCGCTAGCGTCAGATCCACGCAACCATTGTGTCTCCATACTAGACGTTCTGAAAGTTGAGGACGAGAGCGATATGGTGATCTTGGTTATGCCACTCCTTCGCCGTTATGACAGTCCTCGATTTGAGACCGTGGGAGAGGCCTTGGACTTCTTCCAGCAGATATTCGAGGTGACCCGCGTTGCAACCGTGTAGACTGATATACTTACAAAGCCTCCGTCCGGCATCGCGTCGTCATTCACAGGGCTTGCAGTTCATGCATCAACATCAGGTCGCACATCGGTTAGTATCCGCATTTGTTCGTCCATATTTGGCTCATGCTGTCACAGCGATTGCATGAATTTGAATATCATGATGGATCCTAAACCCCTCTATCCCGAGATGTACCATCCAAGGGTCATCGACTGGTCCCGCGACATGCGGCGGCCAGCCAAACACTTCTCCCGCACCACCCATCCGACGAGATACTACTTCATCGACTTTGGCTTATCGCGCAAGTACAATGCTGACGAAGGACAGCCTCGGGAGCCGCCAATCCAGGGTGGCGACAAGTCTGTTCCGGAGTTCCAGCGCTCATCAGAACCGTGTGATCCCTTTCCGACTGACATATACTACATTGGCAACCTAATCCGCGAAGACTTCCTCCAGGTATGCCACTTAAGTACATGTGTCTTGTTACGGTCGCTCACCGGGCTAATCAGAAGCTCTGTGGCGTCGAATTCATGAAGCCCCTGGTGGAGGATATGGTGGCGGACGACCCTACGAACCGCCCCACCATCGATAATGTGCTAGCCCGCTTTAGACAAATTCACGCATCGGTTGGCCACCGGAAACGCCGATCACGTCTAGCCGATCAAAGAGAATCGGTGGCCCGACAAGCTCGCAGGAATGTCAAGCACGCGTTTATCGCTATTGGACATATAATCGCCTCCCATCCCGCTGTTCCTACTGTATAGCAATATAATCGTGGTACCCTATTACCATCATGTCGCGGCCGCCGCTCAACCTTTGATCTTAGTGTTCACGTAATTCAAACCAAAGGTCTCGGCGATACTGGGGTCACGATAGCGATACAGTGGACATAACTTTGTACAAAACCTATCGATTAGCAATATGGCGGCGAAGGAATGGGCACGGTGGGTGGGCGCTTGTCTGTTTATGGTCAGTAGGGACCATTGACTCGCTGGAAGGCGTCCAGCTGCCTCGCATTCACGAACAACTGAACCAGATTCTACAACATGATGTTGTTGAGGCGTCATTACCGACTTCTGCTGACTGAACACACGGCCGGCATGATGCCCCCAAAACATTCGAGAACAGTGTTATGCCCAAAAGAAGCACCGAGCGCCCATAAGCTGAGAAGTTCGGGCTGCTTTGAGCACCGGGAAGTAGGGTGCGCTGTCATGCAAATGATCTGCTGACGACTGTAGCGACATATTGTCTAAAGTGTCTGACGTTGTCCTCGCAGCGCTTGGTAAGGTGGGCTAATAGCAAGAAATGACAGCGACCGTCCGCACAGCGGCTTTAAATAGAGAGTTGTAGAACTGACGGTTAGCACAATCACTGTTCGTCGACATGAGCCTCACCAAAGCATCCTCGACTCTCATGCGCCGCCGGAGCCAGGCAGCCAACGGTGACACCGAACGTCATGCCTCTGTAACACCCACCACAACCGTCAGTGCCGTCCCGCGACTCTTCCAGCCAACGAAAGTGGGCAAGATCATGCTGTCGCACCGGGTGGTGCTCGCGCCTCTCACTCGCTACCGTGCTGACAAGGAGCATGTGCACACTGACCTCGGCGTCGAGTACTACGGGCAGCGCGCGTCCATCCCCGGCACGCTCCTAATCACCGAGGCGACGTTTGTGTCTCCGCAGGCCTCGGGCTACGATTACCCGCCCGGTATCTGGAACGAAGAGCAGGTTGAAGCGTGGAGACGGGTACGTGTGCTCACCGATGTCTGCATCTAGAAAGTCGCGAGGCGCACCGCGTGTTGTCGAAGCGACCTATGCCTGGTTGTATTTCATGTGCGAAAGCCCTACATGCTCATTCGTCCCGTGTAGATCACGTCAGCCGTGCACGCAAAAGGCTCGCGCATCTTCTGCCAGCTCTGGGCACTTGGTCGCGTGGCGCAGGGAGATATACTCGCGCGATTGGGCTTGCCCGTAGTCTCCGCGTCCGACATTCCTATAGCCGACCACGCCACCCCGCACGCGCTAACAATTCCTGGTAAGTATCTGCCCAGACCCTTCATACCCTTCGAGCAACGATATCTGAAGGTTGTTCCTGAATCGTTCAGAAATCAAGGAATATGTCCAGATGTTCACCGCAGCCGCAGTCAACGCGATGCGCGCGGGATTCGACGGCGTCGAGCTGCACGGCGCGAACGGGTACCTCATTGACCAGTTCTTCCAGGACATGTCAAACAAACGCACCGACGCGTACGGCGGCTCGATCGCGAACCGCTGCCGTTTCGCCCTCGAGCTCATTGACTCGATATCCAAGGCCATCGGCGAGGACAAGACTGCCATCCGGATCAGCCCCTGGAGCAGGTATCAAGGTGCGTACGTGGAATTGAGACTGGCAACCGCCCGTGCTCGTTGAGCTGAGCTAACGGCCCTCGATGCGTTCCTATGCAGACATGCGCATGACGGACCCGCGCCCGACGTTCTCCCATTTCGTGTCCTGCCTCGTAGAGCGACACCCCAACCTTGCATACATCCACGTCATTGAGCCACGCATCGATCAGCTCCCGGACCAGCCCTCCCCTATCGAGGAGGTGAGTGTCACAAGTACGGCCACCGCACCTGACACGCAACTAATTGTCATGGGTTGACACTGACTTTCGTATAGTCGAACGACTTCCTGCGTAAGGTATGGGCGCCGCGCGCGTACATCGCCGCGGGTGGCTTCACACGCGACCTCGCGCTCCAGACCAGCGAGCAGACGGGCGACCTGGTCGCCTTCGGGCGGGCATTCCTTGCGAACGTATGTATTTTGCGCGTCGTTCCCGTGCGTCGTGCCCACGGCTGATTGGCGTTCAAAAATAGCCGGACCTCCCCCTCCGCCTTGCGAAAGACCTGCCGCTGATGGAAGGCGACCGCGACACATACTACACGCCGGAGAGTGCGCGTGGCTACACGGACTATCCATTTGTGGACGATTCCGAAGCGCGGAAGTAGAAACGAGATGATTGCCTCATAGTGGAACGTTTCAGCATAGTCGACGCGGATGCAAGGTATAGTTAATTACAAACTGGAAACCCGCGAGCACATCGTAACGCGAATGAGATCTACTGTTCTGGAGCTATGTTAGAAAAGACGGAAGTTCTGTCCATGAGGGACTGCGAATGCAGCAATACCACCATGTCGGCCAAGGTATCATGTGCATCGTGTGGATTGTTTGAAGCTAGCGATTCGCTCTGGCTGCGACCGGAAGTAACAGTGCGCGCATGGTACCTCAGGGCATCGAGGCTATGAGGATCGAAGGCACGATGAGACGACTCGCCTAAACTCCCAGTCAGTAACATCCTCTGTATCTCACGAAGCACATCGGCATCGGGCGGCAACACCGCGTCTTCAGCCTGTAGAGTGTGCAGGCCCCGGTGTACCATCCCTCTCGAAGGTCTTGAAGAGTAGAGCGCTAATGCCCCTCGTCCCTCGAGAACAGGAGAATAGGTAGTCTGAAGAACATCCAACACATCCAATAAACATAACTGTAGGATGCACATGATCGAGGGAGTTGTATGGCCTACTTGAGCGTGCATCTCGCGCGGAGACGCTCGCGTTGCAGCAAATGACATGCTCGATGTTTCCTGCGGACTGGGTGGCATTGTGGCTGCAGTGTCCACGCATAGTTGTGCTGCGGGTACAATGCCATCAGAAACGTGACCAAAAGAGCCAGTATGACGGCTCACGGGTCATCGGGATGGGCAACGCCATCCTGCGGGAAGGGGCCGTCTGTGTGGAGACAGGCACAATCGCGTCCAAAGCAGCAATCGGTCTCGGTGGGGGGTGCCGTGGAGCCGGAGCCGCAGCTGGAGGTTTCCGGGCGTGAGGTTCGTCCACATACACGACGCCAGCAGATGGCCCCACATCCCGGCCACGAACACCAGACGAGAATCTGGGACATGATCTGCTGGATCTACGGGAAGAGCCTCGAGACGATCTCTCGGCCTCCGTGGATAGTGTCGCAGAACGAAAGGCATAGCGTTTGAAACCGCCATCAACTGAAGTTGAGCGACCGCCGGACACAAATTCGGGCGACCAAAAGGAGCGATTGATATTGGCTTCGACCCATCTACGACAAGCGTCGACCTGGGATGAGAGAAAATATGTCCCGATCAACGTTATGCAAAGAAGGATTATGTTGTACATACTCTGAACGAGGTAACCGAGTGGTCAGAATCTTCAGAGGGACGGGAAGTGATAGTCCAGGGGCGGGATCCACTAGTCTGTTGAGACGTTCCGGGACTCGGAGTATCAGGACTATCCATGGAGGGTAACGTAGTCAAAGGAAAAGGAACGACAGTGTGCCGGTCTTTGAGGGATGGAAGGTTATTCCCATGTTCTTGCACAGCTATGTACTGGAAGCTGCGAGCCGTGCGGGAGACTACCAACTTCACCAAGTGGATCCAGCTGCGCACACGGCATGGCTCAAAATTTCCACCTTTCACCAGGGGAGCTCGTCATCCAGGCCAATGACCCGGTCAGTGTGCTTTGTACTGTGAGACCCCAACAGATGTGGAAAAAAGCGCGAGACACACGAAGGCCTGGTGCAGGCCTACCAACATGCAAGTTCTGGAAACATTTGCTGCCTGTACCGGATCGACTTTGTTCCAGTCGAGAGCCTGGTGACCTTGGAGAGTATCTGCCATAACGTTACAGGCCCCGTGCCAGAGTAAGTAAGCACACGCAGAGGCTTCGGAACTTAAGAGAGAGCATCGCAGCTTATTGTGTCTTTCCGGGCAAGCCGGCGGACCCCAGAATCCGGTCCCCCTGCCTGATTGGCCCAGCCAAAATCATCGAGACTACCCGCCAATTCTCTCACGATCTGATTGGCGGCCCTCAATGACGTCAAAGAGCCGGCCGATGTCATGAGCTCAATACCGGTGCGACGGTGGCACTGTACTCATATGAGTCATCTATTTTCCGCAGCCGGGTTGTGCACATTCACGTTCTACCCCGAGAATAAAGTTGTAATGTTGATTCTATGCCTTCAATGCTAGCCAGAATTTCCAGCATAAAGCTATGCTGTGTGGATGCAGCCAAACTTCAAAGTGTATCCCAGGTAGTGTCTCTGAGGTTTGACTTGGTCCAGACTCCAGGTTCAGGCCTATTAGAGGTCATCAGGAAAACGCTCTTTCTGCTTATGGTGTTTGTGGCAGGCCAAGGAGACAGCATTAGTACGAGTGTTTTCCTGATGACCAGTGGACTGACCTACTATTCTCATATCTTCCACGGTTTACATCTCATGCAGGGTGTCGTCGATTAAATGGTACATGATGAACCAATCTGGCGTCCTGCGGTGGAGGTCGTCGCGCGTTTTGATCAAGAGCTACGTGTTCACCATCTCCGCTTCATAATGGTGAGCCGCGACGCATCTGAGAGAATGCGCATTCCTCGCGGCGTCAGCCACGCCTTTCGAACACTAGGCCGTATCCGAGCTCAGTACTCTGCAGTTCCGATGCTGGAGTAGATTTTTTTGCGATTCGTATCATTATTATGTTCTCATGGTAACTATCGCGTTCACTCTCTCGTCCCACTCGCAGCTCCTCTGCTGGCTTCTAGGTTTCCACAACATGAACTTGATACTATAATTCACGAGAGGACGATGCTCACTCTGACAGTGTGTTCTCGTTTGCATGGTGAGCGAAGCCCTCCTAAATGTATTAATGACATTGGGTTCCATGGCCAGCGTAGGTCCATAATCGTTCTCCCAGCTTCGTTCACCGGGAGTGCGTGAGACTTCTCATTCATTAATGACGTACTGTACACAACATGATGAACTACGCAAACCCAGGTCATAGATTATGAAATTTGATGGTATCCGACATTTGAATAAGCTACTCGTGGTTAGCAGTGTCTGCCCAGGGATTATGTTCGAGCAGAATCGAGACAATTGGCTGTTCGTCTCTGAAGATCTGTTCAGGTTCGATGTCTATGCGGATGGCATCGGATAGAGGGTCATCTGGTACATTGTGTCAGTGGCCAGGTGCAAGCAGGACGGATTGGATGTACCGATTGTGCCCGCAACCTCGCTGTTTGACACTTCTGATACCGAAATATGCGCTTCGTTATAATGAACGACTACAGCAGACATCCATTTTGTCAGTACTCGAATTGCATGATACTACGCAATCCGGGGAGTCCAATCGCAATACGGTCTCACCATTATCAGTTGACGGCTGCGATGATGCATCAGAGTGTGACTGTGAAGCTGTATACGGCATTTTGTAAGTAAATGAACTCCGTGAGGCATCATAGTCGGCATACCCTGTCCAGTAGTTCCGCCGTTCCCTCCTAGCGCCCCCTGTGCAGCTATGACTGATGGCCTGGTGGCAGTACCAGCTACTTCAGAACGTGTCGAGATGAGTGATAGATTTGATGAAATTCGGTGGATCACTGTTACACGATTTAGATTCATCGTATCCGAAGCCATAAACATTGACTCACTGAGAGTCCCATTTCCCATCCGCTTGTTATGTGCGATGTCCGAAACCCTCTGTTCAACGTGAATAATACACTCAGGCTATGAGGATCAAGAGTCACCTACTTGCACTTTGCCCCGTAGCATCTCTGTCGATTCTTTGATGCTACGGGCGTCCACAAGTAATGAGACCGTTTTCACAGGTCCCTTGAGTGACCAGAAGCTGACTCTAGCGCCAGCCTTTTCAACGTTGTCCGCTTGGGACGTCAGCCTAAAGAAATGTTGTGTGTTCGTGTGATATGCTTCGAGTTAAATGACCCACGTTTCATGATCCAACCTCGCTTTCGAGATCCATTGATCGATGTCAGGGATGTTCTCCTTGACAAGATCGTTGAGGATCATCATTGCTTGGTGAAAGTCGTCTCGACATCCGTTTATAGTGCGTTGTGTAGTCTGCTTATGTATCCATGATATTCCGTTGACTGCCCCAGTAGCAGTCGTCGTAGCATTAGCAGTGTTCGATAACGCGGTTCCTAGAACGGGGAGGAAAAGCATACTGAGGCACTAGACTGAGATGGATGGGAGAGCTGTTTAGGGAGTCTCCGAGGCAACCCTAAGGTGCGTAAATATCCCCGCAAGGGCGCCAATCGGCGTACCAGGACCTGACATCTTTGGAAACCCGATTGATTCAAGACAGTCCCAAAGCAGAACAATAGCAGTGACTCTTGACGACTTCTACACAATTCAAAAGTCCAGGACCCGCGGCCATGCGTCGGTTTTCATGATCAATATCAATCGGGCAGACATCCTTCATTCGTAAGGAGATCAATACCATAGGCAGTGATGCGCGGTCAGTGAGAGGTCGCACTCCAAGAAGGTTATCGACCAGCCTACCAACCCAGAACGGGAAGCATGATTTTGTGACCAATGAACAAAAGGTTCGCACATACTTGGTCGGAAGGTCACAGCACCTATGCTTGACAACATACCAGTGAGTGCTCAGGGTCAAATTTTCGGACATGTAAGTAACTGAGAAGTGGGGACACAGGATATCGGAAAGCCGCGAGGAAATGTAACAATCTACGTGGGACAGGTGCTAGATGTTGTTCGCGCCCGCAAGTACAAGCAAGCGCAAATAACACGTGCTGAAGAATGTTCGGATCCCGTGAGCTCGAGGACCGTCCTGCGGGCCGTAAAGTGAGCGCGCCTTCGTCTGTCGCTATACCCCTTCATGTCCTTGTCTAGTGTCCGTGATGTCCACTGATGATGCGCCAGTCCCAGGGACGTCGCAGCCTGTATCTATGGCAGACTACTCGGGCGAACTACTTCCCTACGAATTCTTCTGGCGCGATCATCAGCAATGGCTTGAGGAGAAGGGCTACATGCTGCGTCCCCGCTACAGGCCTGGATGGGTTCCATCTTGGCTAGGGACCGACGCTTTTTATTGGCGGTTCGAAGACGGCATATCAATCAACGTACGAATCTCACCATGTCTGGGCGCTGTACAGCAGATTAACGTGACAGGTTTAAGTTCGCTCAACTTATGGACGCTAAACGTGTATCGGATGGCGCGACAGTGGCTATAAAGCGCGTATCCAGGAAGTTGCATCCGTACGAGCTCGACATAAGCCAGCTATTCTCCACCGACCCACTAGCAGCGGATCCACGAAATCATTGCGTTCCAATATACGAGGTGCTTCAATTACCGGAGGACAGCGACATTATATTACTGGTGATGCCTCTTCTACGAGGATATAACAACCCCCCTCTGCAGACAATCGGGGAGGCCGTTGAGTATTTTCGGCAAGTATTTGAGGTACGAGTGTCGGTCGCTCTCAGTCAACCTCATCATCAAGCGCAATGTCAGGGCATTTCCTTCATGCATGAGCATCATGTTGCCCATCGGTCAGTTCGATACGGTCACTCATAGCTATTGCTCATCAGCGGTAACGCAGGGACTGCATGAACATGAACATAATGATGGATCCGAAACCGCTCTTCCCAAGAATGTACCACCCGCAGCGCGAGAAACGCAACGTAGACTTTAAGGGGCAAGCAAAATATTATACACGCACGGCTTGCCCGACAAAGTACTACTTCATTGACTTCGGCTTGTCGCGTCGGTACAATCCCGCAAACGGTCCCCCTAGAGAATATCCCATCCGAGGTGGGGACAGGACCGTTCCAGAGTTTTGCAACTTGGAAGAGCCTTGTGATCCATTCCCTACGGATATCTATTACATCGGCAATATGATCAGGGAAGACTTCTTACAGGTACAGTCACTCGCCGGTATTTGTGTTCCCAACTGACTATATAATGACCCAGACGTTCCGCGGACTCGATTTCATGACTAGTCTTGTCAGCGACATGGTCCAAGATGATCCTACTCAAAGACCCGTCATCAGCGAGGTTGCTAAACGCTTCGAAGTCCAGCGTAGGACACTGGGTTTCTTCAAGCTACGTTCAAGACTTGTCAGACGCGACGAATTTTGGGTGATGTATATCTTCCGCACCATACGGCACGTCTTCCGAACGATCAGTTACGTCCTGACCCACCGTCCCGCGATACCTTCCCCTTGATGTCTCATCATCTCTATCTGACTTTGTTAATATCTGTGCTTTACGTCGCCTGATCCGACTACTCGCCCTGCTGTTTGGTTGTCTGTGTAACTCAATGGAAAACAAACAGGATGATCTCTGCTCCATCTATGGCTGTGATTCCTCGTGATGGCACCACGCCGCATTCGGGTCTCGTTACTTGAGTAACATTTGGACAACCTACTAAAATTGACGAGCTTCCGCTTTGTTCTTACTGTGTAGCCGCTGTCATTTAGGCAGGTACGGCAAGGTTTACTATTCTATTCTGAGTACTTAGAATTGCTGGTGATGTCTGGCGTAAGCTGATGTTGAACGTGACGTCCGCTCAAAAGCTTCCACCATGGTGGGAATGGTTCGGCAACGCCGAGTTCCCATGAGAGATAAAAGATGATCAATTGGGGCAAGGTGAGTGATGTATATGTGCTATGCGCAGGTAGGTGTTTTCCCTCCGCGTGATGAGACGTTCCGCGTAACCTTTGTTCGTTCGATATGGAAAACCACATGCTGTTTACGGCGGCGTCCCGCTGGAAGTGAGTTCGAATAAGTTGTTATTTCGTGCGCAGCTTGCGGAGAAGTATTTAATGGTTGACACAGACGGAGACGAGATCCCAGAACCGAGAATAGTACTACTGGCGGAGCAGATTCAATGCTCAGCAATGTATATCTAGGAGGCAAGGTTCGCGGGGTGAGATACTTCTGGTGAACAATGTGATGCTACAATTGACTCGAAAGCGACTTTTCCATGCGATGTTGATGTCAATTCAATCCCGCCACGGGTTGAAGTCGGGTTCAACGATAATATCCGCGATTGGATTACCATAGATACGGAGCCCTTGCCCTGTTCCTTCTCATAGCACATAAGCAGAATTCTCAGGTGCCAGAAGATACATACTTAGATCTGGAAGAGAGCCATCTTGTTTGACCTTGCGTATAATGCACAAGGATTCAGTCGACGCGTCATTCGTTGCTACAGTGGGACGATTCAGCACCCGAGTTACAGCAAGAGACCATAAAACCGCACTCACATGATCTTGGGCGAGCACTACCACTCCTAGTTGAGTGTGTTGATGCATTGATGACAGGGGTATTAGTGTTTGCTGCTCGAGAGTGATTCTACATCAACGACTGGGTTCTATGGAAGAGTACAGTCATTGCGCTTACACGATTCCTGAGCTAATCCAGGACATGTAAGTATCGAAGGCGGGTCTACTACTACGAGTCATGACGGCCACTGTACCCTGCTCATGAACACTCCTTATTTCAGATCTGGATATCGTTGAGAAATTTGACACGAGGGACAAGTTCGAATTGAGCGTATGATGAGCTAGGAAAAGATCAACCAATTTCTACTGGGTCCATAACAAGACCATACATACTGAGCGGTGCGTCGCGGCCGTTGCCTAGCTGTCGGCTTTTAGCCAAATCCGACGTTTTCTGCCGGATTGGTTAGTGTGCGCTGGAGATATTGTGTGAGTACACACCTGGACTGTGAACCGGAACTCCTCTGCCCTTCCGACGAAGGTACGGGCTTGTCTACTAATTGAGATGGTGTTCACCATCGCAACCTTCGACCAGAAACAAACTTTTGCTCCTAACGCGTTGTCTAACTTGTTCGCCGTGGTTGTGAGCCTGAAATCGCGTTGAAATAAATGTCATCATTGCAATCAAATACATGCCACTTACGACGCATGCTCATCTCTCATGCGAATCAGCCATACATCAGGTACAGGAATCCCTTCTTGAACAAGAGCAGCGAGGATATTCATGGCCATGTGAAGGCTGTTCCTTCCCTGCCGCACGGCGTCGCGAGGATGAAGGAGCTGAATCAATAAGCCGCCTACTGTAATAGTATTGGTGGGAATGATAGTGCCGTTGGCAACATCGAGGAGGGCGCGTTCAAAGTCTGCCAAGCCGGACATGATTACGTGAGCGAGCGTACGGCAGATGGGTATGCTTTAGTGGAGAGTAGGAAGTGGATAGTCTGATGGCTAAGAGGTAGATGTCCTTTTATACGGCATGCAGGGTGCCAGAAAAAGATAAGGCAGAAATATGTCCAGTTGCGCATACCCGGATTGCGAGCAGTTTGACACAGTAATAAAGACAAGAAAAGGATCCCACACCGTGTACGTAATTGTTTCATACCGCATGGTGACAAGTTCGCCGCCAGCTTCACAACGGTGCAGTAGGATGTCAGTCTGGGCGAGCTCTTCCGACTGAAGCAACGAGGATGGGAAGAGCAGCCCTGTGTTTGATACGTAAAGCCCGGCGGTCGTTCGGAATTGTGACCGTAAATTATAACAAGGACATGCTGCTTGACTACTCTTATGAACACAAGGTACAGAGGCCCGGGAAATGTCCAGAGAACGTTCTGTGCATCGCAATATTTAGTGGATCAATTGGGCATACTGACACAAACAAGGACAAACCAGACTCACGTGCAGTAGTGCGTTGTTGGAATTATGGCGCACATCATCTTGTTCCACGATCCCTGAGCCTTGTGAGTGTCACTGTACGCTACGACTTACTGAATTTAACTCGAGGTGACAGACCATGACGGAGTCTACAGAAGGCTGGGTGCGGGGCACCGAGTACTCAGGCGAACTGCTCACTTACGAGCTCTTCTGGCGCGATCTTTCACCATGGCTAGAAGAGCGCGGATATGTGTTGCGCCCCCGGTATCGGATTGGTTGGACCCCATCTTGGACAGGAACAGACAAGATTTACTGGGATTGTGAAGATGGAGTCAGGCCTAGGGTATATTCTTCAGCGCATATATTCATTCATCACATCGTTGACATTGTTTAGACTTGGCAAACTCTTGACGGGGTCCGTACGTCCGATGGAGCCGTGGTTACCTTCAAAGTTGTTTCCACGAAGGACCACCCACTCGAAGTTGAGATCGCCCAGATGTTCTCGGCTGAACCATTGGCGTCAGACCCTCATAATCACTGCGTTCCTATATATGAGGTTTTGCGACATCCCAGTAAAGCTGATACCGTACTTCTGGTCATGCCACTCCTGCGTGCCTTCAACAATCCATTAATCCAGACGATAGGAGAAGCAGTGGAATTCTTTCGACAAGTCTTCCAAGTAAGTATCTGTTACAGCATACAGAACATCTGAGAATAACAGTCCGGTCACAGGGACTGTGCTTTATGCATGAACATCACGTCGCCCATCGGCAAGCTAGTCTTCATTACAGTTCGTGCTTTATCCGCTGAAACAGTTGCATAGAGACTGCATGGATCTGAATATCATGATGGATCCTAAACCACTATTCCCCAAACTGTATCACCCACAGGAACCGAGGTACAGCTATGACTTTCGAACTTCAGCGAAGCATAGCACACGAACATCTCGGCCCGTGAAGTATTTCTTCATCGATTTTGGTCTATCTCGCCAATATGACCCAAAAGACGGCCGCCCTCGGGAGGATCCCATAAGGGGTGGTGACAAGACGGTGCCTGAGTTTCTGAGGTCGAATGATCCATGTGACCCGTTTCCCACAGACGTCTACTACCTTGGCAACATGATCCGAGAAGACTTCTTACAGGCTTGTTGTTTCCCGCCTTCTGAGCTGGCGGCGGCTTAATACATTCCGCCTTCAGGTCTTTCACGGACTGGAGTTCATGTACCCCCTCGTTAGCCAGATGGTCCATGACGATCCAATAAGGCGTCCGACGATGGCACAAGTGGTCACCACTTTTGATGTACAGCGTCAAACACTGGGGTACTGGAAACTTCGGTCCCGGTTGGTAAGACGTGACGAATTCTGGATCATGCGCATTTTTCGTGTTGTCCGCCACGTCTTTCGAACAATTGGATATATCATAGCTCGGCGATCACCAGTACCCACGCCGTAGCGTAATTGACGACTGTCTTTGGCGTATACCTGCGTCGGGTTATTCATTACAGCGCAGCCTAATGGACCGGGGGTCATATGCTATGCTTACAAATTGGCATTATTGATGCTGTACTGTCGTTCCTTCCCAATATACAGCTTCGTCGTGGGCATGACGTCCATACGTTGATGCGCACATAGGTTATGTAATTTCACTGGAGTCGGCTTCAGACCATACCGTGCCGTTGGATACCGGAAGGAAGCGCACAGTATACGCAAGCGCTAGTCCTGACTGAGATGGCGGACGACAGTTATTAAAAACAGCTAAAGAAACAGGAGAGTGCGCGCGTACCATGAATGACCAAGGTTTGATCTTTCTATAGGAACGTCTGTAGCACAATAGTGAGACGCTACAACTTCCAACACAAAAGACTAGCACGGCGGTTATCTTTATGCTCAGTGAGTGTCATTCAGTACGCCTTGGCAACATGAATGAACAATCCTCCCAGGCAAAGATCGACTTCCTACGAAGATTGAGCAGACGAAGCTAAATCGGATGGACTTCGACCCGATATGCTCTTCTAGCGCGATCTCTCATCTTGGTTACGGGAACGCTATCCTGCTATAATCCAGCCTGGAATCCCTTTAAGGAAGAGAGCAAGGTCTCTAGGATTGCGAAGATAGTCTCATGCCCAGCTATCTCACTCTCAGTTACGCCACTCATCATTGAAACGTTGCAGACCTGGAAAAGCTCTGGATGGTAGCAGCGACGCCAAGTATTCTTCGTCCATGGTGTTATCATTAGCGCGGTGTAAAGCGCAATCGATGATTCGCAATTAACACGCACATCATCCGAAAATGTTCTTCCTGTTCTCCGCACCAGTGTACGCATCCCGTTGTGACATAGCCACTGCCCTTTTGAGCCTAAGCATAGATAGCCTCTCGTAGTCGAGATCCGCTCGATTTTGGTACTCGGCACTCACAATACCAGCAGTTCAATTATCTGGACGTACTATACAGAACATTCTGAATAGGATGAGACTATCCGACAGGCAACGATTATCCTACAACGTCAGGCAAGCGCCTGAGTATATCTAGACTTCGATACATTCAAGGCTAGACTACGAATGTCGTTAGAAACGATAGCTCGGCATTCATATAATTCACTCACGGACAAGGATCTCAGCCCAAGTACTGAATTCCACCAGGCTAGACATCGAGTTCGTCGTCTACAAAAAGCGGGTGGTGTTCGGTATCGGTGTCTTCTACTGGTTCCTCATCGACTGCCTCCGTAGCTACGGGGGCATTAACAGCTGTTCCAGATGCGTCGGAATTTAGTATCGTCGAAAACATCGGATCAGAACGGAGGCACAAGTATTCATGACGTGCGGACTGACTGGGATCCATATGTACACCCCTTGCCTTGTCTGAGACGTCCTAATTCAGATGTTAGAGGAGGGTCAGTATTTCCAAGCCATGGCGCCTCATACCTGGATCTTGCTGTGTAGTCCAAGGCACGAACTCATGACATTTAAGGCACGATCGAGCATAGACTGCACTTTCTTGGTTGCACCGAAGGCCCAGACATTGACGTTAGCCGCATCTTTCTCAAGTGCATCCGTCTCGAATGTCAGTCTGAAGAATCGCACGTGAATACAAGCATGTGGCGTGGGCGGCTCACGTACCCCTCGTGCTCATTGCTCATTTATCAAAGCCAACGCGGTGTCCTCAGAAATATGGATGCCATCCCTGTCGAGAGCAATAAGGTGAAATGTTGCTATATTGAGTTTGTTGCGACACTCTTTGATTGCCTCCTGGGTGTTGTACTGTGCACGAAACACCGGGAGCCATGAGGCTTCCGCCTTTGGTGCCGCACCATCAGCTGATGGCGTTAAGGATTTCCGTAACAAGGTTGGGATGTCCAAGATACCATTGGGCAACGACATTATCACCACTGGGGATGTAGAAGAGGATGATAGGAAGTCCATAGTGATGGTAAATCTGTAGAGATCACAGGCTGTAGTATCGTGAAGGTTTCAGGGATACTGGGTATATATAGCCAAATCAGCGGCTGCCGCCTGCAACAAAACCAGCTGAATGGAGTGATATAAGACATAGCCGAAGTCGGACAAGAGTGGTACGCAATCGCTGAAGGAAGAGTCTGCACCATCAACATACCGAGTCCACATATCAATCTTCAGTGCAACCCGGCGCGCCTAGGCAACATGTATCCACATGTTGCGTAGGCACCATGTAGAGAATAGTCATCATCGACAGAAAAGTAGACCAATTTGAGGAAGCCAAGAATCATACAAACTGATTGCCATAATTAGTTTGTAGAAAGACACTCTCCGCGTCGGCCACGGAGGGAATTACAGATTGATCTCTGCCACAATCGCGGCTGTGGCTTCTCGCCATGTGAAAAGAGCGGCGCAATGCTAACTATTACCTTGTGTTTCCTACCCAATACACTGGAAATGGTATTGTCCTGCGTTGCCCTTCCTGTGATATTCGGGTTAGCCATTGCCGCTTCAGTCTTCAACCAGGCAGGCACGACAAGGATCACCATTATATTCCTCCGTTTCGTCTGAATTCCATTGTTTCCGTCGTTAGTACAACAGTATCACACGATCTGTTGCCACTGCGCCTATGCAGTAAGTTCAGTCGTCGGCTCGCTCTATCTTTTTGACCACTTGACGATGATGTCGATTCGGAATCGCCGACGAGCCACAAGGATTTTTGATCATCAGCCGACATCGTATGCAAACTCGCCTCTTGTTCCATCTTCGGGCATTCCGTCACCGCAAGGTCTAGGTCGCAACAATTAGAATAATAGGTGCCAGTCGATGTCTACAAAGCAAGTCCCGCATCACACGGGTATGGCAAACTGACGCGTCTGGAATGAATCAGCGGCGTCCGATGTCCATGAGATAAAGAAGACGACCAATTGGAGCAAGGCGAGCAAAGAACGTGTGCCACGCGCGAGTGGGCGTCTGCCCTGGATTCAGCCTGCAATCGCACCAGAAAAACGTCGAGGTCGCGTAGAACAAGGGTGAAGACCATCCCAAAGACGACATGCGCGGCAGAACACTCTAGCGTATATTTACTTGCACGCGAGTGAATTTCCACGTTTGGAAGAAGTACAGCCACGTGAGTGAATAACAGCAGCAAGAGTATGTATACGATGTCGAAAGCACCAAATGTAGATGTGATAGCGATGGGTATGGGTATAATTCGACAGCAACTAGATCGAGTGAAAGCTACGCGGGAGGGATAGGCACTGGGGGTAGCCGCTTTACGACGTACTTCGCGGTCCTAAACATGTGTCCAATGCCCAAGAGAAGTCGGACGATGGCCGATTCATTCCTCTGTCTGAGACGACCGCGGAGACTCCGCGAGGACAGCTTGGATGTGGCTTCAGTGAACCGGGAAGCGACCTCCTCGATAGGCGGGCGTTTCTGGGGATCGCTCTGGACCATGTCTGCGACGAGGGCGTGGAGAAAGTGAAAATCAGGATAATACTGTTGACATGAATCATATTACATGATTAGCGTCCTTCAAAACATGGATATTGATACCTACCTGCAGAAACGCCATGCGTATGAGATTCCCGAGGTAGTATATGTCCGTCGGGAAGGGGTCTACAGCTATATTGTAGCCCTCACCTTGGAACTCGGGCACGGTCTTGTCCCCACCCAGTATGGGCAATTCCAGAGGAGGCCCGTCGGCTGGATCATACTTGCGCGACAAACCAAAATCCACATAGTAGTATTTAGTCGGCCGCTCGGTGCGCGAGTAAAATTTAGCCGTGCCCTTGAAATCTCGTCGTTCAGTCCTGTGACGAGGGTGATACATGTCTGGATACATCGATTTAGGATCCAGCATTACATTCCGTAACATGATATCACTTCGGGATAGTCAGTTAGATTTTAGGCAGTATTGCGAGATGAAATCATACCGGTGGGCAACATGATGCGCATGCATGAACTTCAATCCCTGAACCAGGGTATGTTTGAGTAAGCAGAATGTACCGATATGAATAGCTGACATACCGTAATGAGTTGCCGAATGAAGTCGACTACCTCTCCGATAGTCTCAAACTCTGGATCATTGCAACTCCTGAGCAAGGGCATTACGAGAATCAAGACCTTGTCTTCAGACGGGTCCTCGAGTACGTCCCATAATGGTACGCAATGGTTTTCGGGATGTGAGGCCACCTCTTCGGAGCAGAGGAATCGCCCAATGTCCACTTCGTGAGGGTGTACAGTAGCAGAAACCTTCTTGAGCGATACCAGAGTACCGTCCGAAATCCTAGTGGCATCCATGATATATGGGTGCTGCTAGTTATTAGCCAAATGCACGTATAGAAAGCTGTGTACGTACTTCTAATACGTGTCCATCTTCGCATTCGAAAAATGTCTTCTTGGTTCCCTGCCAGGACGGCACCCAATCAGGTTTGTATCGAGAGCGCAGCACGTAACCCCGTTCTTGTAGCCATGGTTGACGATCACGCCAGTACAATTCTGGAGTAGCAAGGCTGCCTGGAAAGTTGGTGGTGGTTGTCCCCAGCGGAGCCTCAATTTCCTGCGTCATTCGGAAGGCCAGCAGTACCCGCTAAGTCGCATGTCATGTATTATGAGGAGCGGAGGTAATCTCAACCATTCAGCAAGAGGGACCCCGAATCGAGTTTCGGGGTCCTGTTCGTCGTGTGCAGACAGCTTGATGGACATGTGTGCACCGCACCGGCAGCCTGATCAAATCGCGCCAGACTATGCCGGTGTATGGTTGACGTTTTATCTTCACATATGAAGTATAGGTACGACTCTCAAATGTTCTGCCCGAAAAGCAAATATATGCCCCTGGCAGCGAGACGCATCGAACAAGACTACACTTTCTAGGAGATTTGATGATACGGAAGACACGGGATGTCACTTTAGCGACCCTGCATCGATGTGTACTGCGCCAGCGAGGACAAGGTGAGGGATCCACATTCTCAGCCTTCAGGCACCGTTACGTCTACAGCGCGCCCTCGTCGTGTTGCTTCTGTGCTATTGTTCCCTCGTTCCCTACCGACCGGGCGTGCTTCGTGTCTGCATGATAAATATCGCATTGAAAAGGGGACGCATATCTTGCTCCTTCTCATTCCGTGACCATTGCCTGGTGCAATTCCTTTCATTTAGTCATATCGCCATGTCATCCACTGGATTCGAGACAGCTCTGAATATCCTCGATGCTACCGCTGATGGCGTCACCATTGTTGCGCCAGCCGCCAAGCCTGCGTTCAAGGCTATTGCCGGCCTCTCACCGTGGCATCAGTTGAAGCGGGGCGACAAGGCACAGACATCGACGCTCGAAATTCTAGAGGACACAGCGCAAATCATGGAGGTAGACCTACACAATATCTTACAAACTGGTTATGATGGGTACGCGTCTGGAGTCAAAATCTCATGCCCATGTGTCTCACTTTCATCCACAGACTACGAACAGCAAGGGCAGACCTCGCCAAGATGGGGGCGATTAAAGCACTGAGAAAGCGGAAGCAGTTTAGCAAATATGCAACGAGCGCTGTGCAACTGAACGACACTACCGTGGTAAGTTTGGATATTTATGGCATATTGTAGATGGCTCACTGTATAACCTCGCTGGTATAGAGCTCGTCACAAGCGGCCAGGAGCCAGCGTATGTGGAACAACAAGGGGTTGCCAAATGGATCGACATCCGACAGTGCTTCCGCGCAAGGTGACTATTCCTACACCCTCTCTGAACGCGTTCTCCTTCTAATTTCTCTGCATGTCAGCTCAATCTCCAAATCGTGGTGCCACTAACGCATTGACGGAGGACCTAGTGCAAGGTACTGGCTTGCCGTCATTGTCGGGCCCCTTACGCGTGCTAATACATTCCAGCAGACGATACCGCCTCTGTGGACATCACATCCATATACGAGGACCCTTTCCGCGAGACGGCGTCGGTCATTGTGTCCGACACAGCATTCGGCCTAAGATCGGAATCTATAATGGAAGAATCTGAGAGCATCTACTCCGAGCCAGGCGACATTGATCATGATGATAGCTTCCGTCTTCACACGCTCCGACAGTCTGGTTGTGCTCAGTGAATGGGGTAGATTGCGCTCTTAACCTGGTTGCTCCTTAGTATGGCAGAGATAGTACCAAGTTCATACATCGTCGCTCGCGCACTGCACACATATTCTTACGAACCTGCTCGTTGCCGCATTTATGCGCAGGCGCATTATAATATAAGCACTCGTTTACGTCACATATTATCTACCTGCATGCAGTAGAGGGGAATGTATATTGTGTCAATAGGACTATGCACCCTGATGGGAACTAGAGCTTAAGCTTGGGCAGTCATTCAATAGAACCTCTCATGAACCTTCGCACTTCATTGAGATCTCGGGTCCGGTGCTCTAGCGCCCGTATGACGCATGTGTAATGGGTGTGACAGAACTCGGATCACCGATCGGACGTGGACCCACAAAGCACAAACAAACCTAAACCGAATAGGCGCCGTAACGGATGTTGCTATTTTGTCAAAGGTGATTTCTTGCACATCAAGGGCGACACAGGTCCCACCCTGAATATGTTCTCTATAGCAAATGCATGGTATCCTCAGCATGTACTGAGCTCCAATGGCGTCTCAACACAATTCGCACTCGTGAATCAACTCACGGGTTAATTCAGTATCAGCCCGAGGTCTTACGCTGCTGGGACACCGCGGGCATTTACTTCAGAAAATTACTGTGAGTGCATGTCTACCGGAGATACATACTCCCAATCTGCAATGCAGATGTGGTGATGCAGGAACTATAGGATAACGAGCGAACAGGTTTGCTTCTGTTATAATGACCAGCGCAGCCGTCTCGATTTACCAACCTATCCCTTAGGAAGAAACGCTTTCTGGTAGGTGTCGTCGACGGTGGCGCTCAGATTTGTAGCGCCCTGGACTGAATTACGTCAAGTGAACGGAACTCTATCCTAGACACCGATCAGTTGTTTCAGTATTGACGGATTCGTACCGCGAAAGCCTGACTCACGAAAGACGAGCTCTATACTCGAGCGGACAGCCACACCAGCTCTCCGGAGAGGGTCCGAAATCCGGCTGTGGACGGGCCGAAATGAATTGGCTCAGCCGCCACACGCTGCCACAGGATGTCACGACATGACACTGAGCCGTGACCATACCGCCTGCTGTGACCATATGGGTTCCGAGGAGGCTGCACTAGCGACCGTATCCGCACACCACGACGGCACGCAAACTCATCTATGGTACCGCGTGGTATGTCCATCCGTAATGTCATGCATGTGGCTAGATCAATCACATTAGACATGAACACAAAACGCAGGAGATAACCCCGCTCGCAAGGGTTGTCCTCAGTGGATGTTGTGCCATCTACGCTGGTATGCCGCCGACGCCATCCATTCCAGAAATCCCTTCGGAATCTAGACACGACGTACCTAGATAGCGTACCCTTCCACTCGCCTCTCACATGAAGTCGCAGACATTCGACGCGTGGCAGGTGCTGATTAGGCTTCAAGGCGAGGGCAAAGTGAGGTCAATCGGAGCAAGCGACACGGTCGACGTTCGCACCCTTGGGCTACTTACGAAGGCGACCTGGAGAAGGGTCCAGGATTATTGCAGAACAGAAGTACGAGGGCAATCGTTGAGACCGTGAGGTCTGCTGCTAGTGTGAGGAGAACAGTGACCAGTATCAGTGCGTGGTGCTGAGAGACGGTATACCCTGAGGGAGGATTGCTTACCGCAGGAATCTGCCGGGTTCTTCCGGATACTCTGGCTCTCTGAAGCTGCTTGCCCACCATGTTCTACGCGAGGTAGTGTGTACAAAATGTTACACACCTGCTCAAGCTCTTCTCCGACGGGCACTGCTGTACGGCATGGCGCCGCTTTCCGATACAATCATAGGCAGGACGTAGAGGTGGAGAAGGTTGACTGGGGAGATGTGCCGCCGTCCGAGAGGTCACTAAGCATGTCTGGAGTGTATAACTCAGATGACGCGTCGACTGTACAAATATTGATCGTGTTCCGAGTAGCGCATACCGATGTCCCAGAGATCAAGCCTGCACGCAATGGTGAAACGGGCGAATGTTATGTATGAGGAGGGCGAAGGAGACTGTGGGGCAGAGACAACAGGGAGGCTGTGCGGGCGTGGTGAGATTCCTTTTGGGGGGGGGGGGGGGGGGGGGCCGGTTTCAGCCGCTGGCGACCTTTGATGACGACGAGCAAATCCCTTCTCGTGTGCCCTTGGCTACTTATCCGTGTTTATTGAAGTCCTACGGACGTTGAGAGCGCAGTGTATATCCCGTAGACCTTGAACAGTTCTGCTTACCACCGACAGACCGCCACGATACGGGCTCCGTCTGTCTATGATGAAAGATGAGTCAACCCCTTACGCCTGCAAGTCGTCCGGAGCGGAAAACAATGGGTCAACTCCAGATCGCTCTATCTGCCGTGCAATGTAGGCTGGATACTGCACCTGCGTCGTGGGGAGATGTCCATTGCATTCGCTCTGCGCCCACTGGCCCTGTTGTAGTAGACACTACCGAACCCAAAGATCTGGCCGCAACCGCAAGGACGCGATTTAGGATCCTCGAATGGAACACTCATACAGCTCTGCGACTTGAACGAGCTGGGATGTTCGCTAGCAGTAATTCACAAAGGAAGCAATGGTACGTTCATCGCCTTCGTTTATGTCGATGAGGGTTCGCAACTATTAGGGCAGCTAAAATCATATTATCACGTACAGCGAACTCCGTGCGGTCATTGAAGAAAATAATGTTCTCCCTCAGATCTCTCCGTGGTTCAAATTATTGACGTTGAAATCGGAATGATCCTCAGTTAGTGTCACCGTCATCTCTCGAATACCTTCATCGAATGCGATGTTGCGCGGTGCAAGCGTCGCGCAAGAGTGTGTGACGGTGCGCACTGCCTATACACTATTGTAGACACCATCTCCAGTTGCTCCGAAGCGTCCTGCCGGCCGTCGTTACAGTATGATGGGCATCCTTCTGGAAGTTACTTGCATCGAACTTGTCATTGCCCAGTGTTAAACACACAGAACATGTGTTCTCAGACACACCAATAATTGCGAGGTGTCTTTACTGTCAGCTATTGCGAGCTATAAGGAGTGTCCTGAATACGTACCATCTTCGTACCACTCGCGAGAATCGATCGTCTCTCTACAGAAGTCTGTCTACGAGAATATCGTGCAAGTGTTGGAATCCCTGTTCGTTCGCTCGAGGCAAGCGCTCTACATGCACGATCTCGCCAATGGTGCGCGATGATGGCGCGAAAAGATCATGCGGGCCTAAGCTTGCCAGCCACGAGTCGAGGAAGTCAAGGACTATGGGGTTTCACCGCATGCGGCATTTGTGCCTGTAGCCTTTCGTCATGCGAAACGGAAAGTACAACGGAGCAGTTGCCAGCGTCTCGTATTGCCAGTGTGATAAAGTGCGACTGTAGCTCACCTTCCTTGTCCCATCTGCTTAGACGTATCATGCTGAGCATGGCAACAGCGCCTACGCCGAATCTCCTGAAAAGAACAAGGCTCATCGTTCCAGCCATCCGTCAGGTCTAGTTTCCGTTACTCCCGTTGTTGCGAAGATCTCAAACGATCTATCGCAACCTCGTCTGCGTTAGGAGATTATCCCTCTATCGTGTCAACCATCAAGAGGCCGTGTTGGTAAGGAATCGTCCCCGAGGCACTGGGATGACCGATCATCAGGCTGCCGTCCTGCCTAACACACTGACCTATTGTTCCATTCTCGGGCAGCCTGTCACCGAGGTCAAGGCGGTGACGGGGCCGTGACGAATCAGAATTCGCGGGCAATGGGCGGTGCAAGCCGACGTTGACAGCGATGTCCTCACCGTGGGTTCCCCGTTTTAAGCCTAGGTGGCTTGTCTTCGACTACCAAAAAAGACTAACAAGGGAAAGGCGAACGAAACACAGTTAGGCGCATGCGTCAGTTTCACGTAACAAGTATGATTATTGTTCCCTATGGGGGACACAGAAGTTGCGCAGAGCAAGGAATGTGGAGCAAGCATCCCCAGGGCGACGCACACTCCAGAACGCATCTACGCAAATTCCTCATCTGGACGATCAGAGCATTTGCCACGACGTACCTAAGAACGACAGTGGCAGGCGAACAGATCTGTGCTTGCGAATGGCCTGGCGCCCATGTTAACGTTGCCTCAGTTCGGAACGAGCACAGGAACGTCGAATGAGCGACAGCAGTAAGAGCATTATGCGATGCCAAAAGCACCAAATACAAACATGATCACGATGGGGTATCTGAATAATCCAAAAACAACTATATGTGAGGCCTACGTGGAAGGGGTAGGCACTGGGGGTAATCGCTTCACGACGTATTTCGCAGTCCTGATCAAGTGTCCGAGACCCAGGAAGAAGCGAAAGATGGCAGGCTCATTAATCCTCCGGAGGCGACTGCGAAGAACTCTCGAGGAAAGCTTCGATGTGGCTTCCGTGAATTGAGAGGCGACTTCCTCAATTGGTGGTCGCTTCTGGGGATCATCCTGGACCATATCCGTAACGAGCGTATGTAGGAACTGGAAGTTCTGGTATCGCTATCACCACGCGCCATGAGTTAATTTCAGACGATCTCAGCAGCATCACGACTGACCTGTAGGAACGCCATTCGTATGAGATTCCCAAGATAATATATATCTGTCGGGAAGGGGTTCACAGCTTTGTCGTACCCCTCATCTTGGAATTCTGGCACAGTTTTATCGCCACCCAGAATGGGCAACTCCAGAGGAGGTCCGTTTTCAGGATTGTACTTGCGCGACAGGCCAAAATCAACGTAATAATACTTTGTCGGACGTTCTGTGCGAGAGTAATGTTTAGCTGTACCGGTGAAATTTCGCTTCTTGTTTGTGCAAAGAGGGTGATACATGTCCGGAAACATTGGTTTAGGATCTAACATGATGTTCGGCAGCATAATATCACTGGATCAACAGTTAAGCGCGCACACTAGACCATTCTACGAAAACATACCGGTGGGCGACATGGTGTACATGCATAAACCTCATGCCCTAGATAGAACACGTGTTAGAACTGCCGCGTACATAGTCTAGGTCTGAGCATACAGAAATGAGTTGTTGAATGAACCCAATGACCTCGCCTACGGTCTCAAAGTTGGGATCGTCGCATTCTCTAAGCAACGGCATTACGAGAATGACCACATGTTCGTCGAGTGGGTCTTGTAGAACTTCGTAAAACGTCACGCAGTGGTTGTCGGAATCGTTTCGCAACTCTTCCGAGCAAAGGTATCGCCCAATATCCGCCTCGAAAGAGTGAATATCGGTCGAAACCTTCTTCAACGATACTAGTGTATCATCCGAGAGTCTTGTCGCGTCTATAATATAGGGATGCTACTAGATGTTAGTGAAGGGTATTTCTTCGTACTAGCAGAAATACCTCTATCATCAAGCCGTCTTCACAATCGAGGTAGTGCTTCTTAGTGCCCTGCCAGGAGGGCACCCAATCCGGCCTGTACCTGGGGCGAAGCAAGTAGCCACGCTCTTGCAGCCATTGTTGGTGGTCGCGCCAGTAGTACTCGGCCTTGACGAGACCACCTCGAATGGGAACGGCGCTTGTGTTCGCGGGTTGCTCAGAACCGTCGGCCATGCAGAGAATGCGCGAGCACTGGAATGGCAGAGGTTTCATTTTTGAGACCCCACGAAGTGCACGTGTAGGTGCACGGGGTCCCCACTTCCTAACTCATCGCTATGTAGTAAACACGCGGCTCCGGAAGGAAGGAAGGATCTCCAATCCCGAAATGCGCTCTATCGGAGGTGTTCTCACACCTGTTCTGATACATCAGCACAGCACAGCCGTAAATAACTCGATCCGTCAATTCCGTCCGCCCTGAAAAAACCATGTCTCGCGTCCGTAGAAGAACTTTACGTTCTTTTTGTGAAGGGGTTCTACCTTGACCTTAGACGTGCGGGAGTTACGTGGCTTCCTTGAGGACAAGGGCGCCCGTTTCCATTCCAGAGACGCATGTTGTGTCATGTGGTTGTCTCGTTGCTACTGGCCACTCAACGTCCGTATATATTGCATGAGCATGGCAGGCATCGTTAGTTACTCCCCACCCGATAGGTGTTGCCTGGTGCTGCATCGTTTTCATAGCTCTTACGGTCATGGCTGCCGCTCTTGTCGCTAACACCGCTAACGTTGTCACCACCGCTACCCCCATTGCTAAGCCTGCGGTCGAGGCTCTTGTCAACTGGACGCCGTACAATAGGTTGCAACGAGCTGATGCGGCGCAGGCGTTGACTCTGGACATGCTAGAAGGCACGGCGGGCATCATGAAAAGGGACCTACATGATCACTTGCAATCAAAATACGATAGGTAAGAGTGTATTTCTATGTGCGCCAGACTACTGGAACGCCAGGGTTTGCAGCCTTGCGGAGTATAGGTCTGACATGGGAGACGTGGGGCCGTTGAAGGCTTGGAAAAAGATGGGGAAGATCTACAAATATGGATCTGGAGCTGACAAGCTTAATCGGAAGACAGTGGTAAGTCGGAGATGCAGATCACTATTTTGCTGGACCATTGAACACTGTTTTGTGCAGACATCGTCGCAGGCGGCGCGGAGTCGAAACATCTGGAAGACCAAAGGGGCAACAAACGGATCTCCATCGAGCGATTCTCAATGTATGTTCGTTGTAGAATGCCGCGCCCGATTTACGGACATTGACGTCTGTGATAGCAGACACAATAGGAGGAACACAAGTGGACGATCAAGAACCAGGCGCAGGTATGGTATCGCTGCCGTCTCTCACACTCGTGCTCACCTCCACCTGACAGCTGGTGATCACATCTCAGAAGATATCACAGATGCAGACCCTTTCCGCGAGACGGATTCTGCCATTGTGCATTATGCAGGAGCAGCATTCAGTATTTGTGAATCTGAGAGCGTGTACTCTCAATCGGGAGAGTCCGTTTACAATGATGCCTTTCCCCTACAAACATTCCGATCGTCTTCCTGACTTCCGTGATGTACCACCGCACAGGACCATATCTATCGTTCGTAATGTTGACCCGTTCGTGGGCGCATTGTAATCTATACACTCATTTGTCATGTTGTATAATGTCATTGTATTATTTTACTCAATGGGGATAGACGATTCAGAGTAGATGTTCTGTACTATTAGACCTGCACTGGATACCGCAGTGAACGACGAAAACAAAGTGTTTCGGTGCGAGAGTTCACGCAATTTGACAGTAAAGCCTCCAGGGCCACCCCGGTGGAGTTCTATCGAGATGCGTTCTCTCTGGTGCCAAGCCTGTAGAACACTTCTTCGTCTATGGCCACGACTTGAGATACTGGCAAGGGGTCAGATGTGTTGAAACGCATGGTCCGGGATGAGCTCGCAAGCTCGGGCGCGCTAGCAGCCGGGGGCCTCCGGCCCCCTTCGTAGCATCAATGGATTGCTCGCGGTGTACGTACCGCACGCGATTGTCCCTTACGGACATCGCTACGCCCGTGGACAAACGCGCTCACCGACCGTTATCCCGTTGTTCCAACAAGCTGGACAGTTTAATAATTAGACACTTGGGAAGACTTTTGTGCTCTTGTGTGGATCGAGCGGCACATTCTCACCAGAAATTCAAGTTTAGACCGTCCCGCCCGGTGCCAGAGCACGGGAAAACCAAACAACGTCACATTTGTCACTGAGATGTCACCGAAAACGGACAAGTGATTGATCGATAATTGGACCCACAAAGCGCAAACAACTGCAAGCCAAAAAAGCGCTGGTAAGCGGCGGAGTACTCGCAAGCTGCGATTCTTGGACACCCTAAGCCAGATCTGTGGGTCTGAGCTATTCAGGATCAGGCAAACAGCATTGCTATGCATCTGTGCAGCCATTTGTACCGTAAACGTATAGCAAATGACTACAAAGTATAATCGGAAATTGTCAGCCTTGATTCAATCCTCGTCTCCTTAACGTGGTACTATCGACTGACGCAACATAAGATACCCGCCATTGTGTTCTTTAGTCAGACATTCGCTAACAATTTGGCCGGGACCGTGGAAATTTAGTCTTCTTTCAGTGGTAGGCTGCCGGTGTGCCGGTGGGAATACTAGCAAACAACAAGGTAAACTTAGCGAGGAAGACATGAAGCCGTAGAACAGGAACTGGACGGCGGCTCCAGATGATGTCCGGGACCTCTCCACAAGGTGCGGGCCTCCGGATGTCACATGATGACGTCCAACTGTGACCGCAGTGGCATGGCGCGTGACAACCATGAGGACCTTCGACTCTGACGCCAGAGATATCCTGGCCTTGTCATTCTTGTACCATGACCATATGTAAAATCATATACGGTACTGCGTGGTATATCCATCCTATCATGCTGTGCTGTGTCTATTCTGACAGAATAGCAATGCTTGTAGGAAGCAGGAAACTACCACTGCACTGGTCGTGAGCGCAGTCCTCCAGGGGTTCCGTGCGATAGACACTGGTGTGTTCCCAGCGAGGCTTATAATACCCGTTGTGTTGACACGAGCTTTCAGCGTGCCAACCCAAGCATTATCGGTATGACTGAACGGATATCAGACTGCAGTAAACGATGACCCACCTTGAAGGGAAGAACTGGTTGGCGAAGCACTCCGGATACTAAGAGAAGAGCATGGCATCCAGCGACAGGACCTATTCATACAGACAAAGTAAGCATCGTCTATGTCCCGTCTCGCGTAGTAACCACCCGATGGCTATAGATACACATCGCTAGGAGGCCAGGACACCACAAAACCACTCCCATACAATCCGCATGACAGCATCACAACGCAGGTCGAGACATCTTTCCGTAAATCACTTCGGAATCTAGGCACGACGTACCTCGACAGCTTGCTCCTCCACTCGCCTCTCGAACAAATGTCTCAAACACTCGAGGCATGGCAGGTACTTATCAGGCTGCAGGACGAGGGCAAGGTGAAGATGATTGGAGTGAGCAACACGTACGACGTCAACACTCTCGAGCTGCTTGCGAAGGCGACCGGGAGGAGAGTCCAGATTGTGCAGAATAGGTGGTACGAGGGCAATCGTTGGGACCGTGAGGTCTGCAGCTACTGCAGGAAGAATGGTGTTCAGTATCAGTACGTTCTGTCAGAAATGTCATATAAGGTGTATTACTCACCGCAGGTATTTGCCAGGTCGTTCTGGACACTCTCTGGATCTCCAAAGCTGCTCGCCCACCAGAGTCTCCGCGAGATAGCGCGTACCAAGAGTTGCACGCCTCCTCAAGCGGTCTTCCGACTAGCGCAACTGCAGGGCATTACGCCGCTCTCCGGTACGACCAACGAGCAACACATGAGACAAGACGTGGAAGCGGAGCAGATCGACCTGGGCGATGTGGATGCTGCCGTAAAGGAGGTCACCAAGCTCGTCTTGGGTGTATGACTCGGACAACTGTTGGCCGCGGTTGACTGTAGTCCTTGTCCCGAGTAGCGTGTATCTCTTTGCCAGAGTCGACTCTCGTGAACGACAGGAAGCAGGCAGATATCAATGGGGAAACGAAGAGACGACGTGTATATTGTTAGGAGGCTGTGCGGGCGTTGCCGTGGGTTGCAATTTACGGTTTCAGCCAGAGTTTCAGCCGCGGCCCCTTGGCCTTACGTTTGACACCGACTATTCATTTTCCGCCGTCCATCTGCTCATGCTCTCAGGTTCTCATTCCCGCTTCTCTAGAGGGTCAGGATGAGAGCGCAGTGTATCCCTAGACCTTGTGAACAATGCTAGCCGTGATCATTGTTGCGCTCACCGTTCCTGTAACTTGACTTCCTGGCGGTTCTGTCGCATTTCTACTACTTGCAGGTTTTCTGGAGTGGATTCGCCGATGTACGCTATGGCCATCCTACTCGGCCTCGTGCTCTCCGAGTAATGATTGTACACGCACCCGTTATCCTGGGAGAATCTGCCATCATTTGGTGCTACCAGTCGGACGGGGACCATCGTGTGGATACCTCTTGGCCCGTAAGCTTGTATTTAAATGTCAATCGACATTGACTGACAGTTGTACCGGCTTGCCTTCATCTGCTTCCGCAAGAATAGCAACGAGTCAGCTTTGGATTGCTCAGCTGGCCGTGTACTCAGACTTGATGCCGCGCCTGCGCCGTAACTGGCTGTCCATGCATTTCATCCACCGCAGTCCATACTACTCATGGCGAAGATTGTGCATAGTGGTAAGCGGACAAAAGGAGGACACCCGAGTGAAATAATTGCCCTGCAGTTCTGCAACACGCGAATAGCCGGAGTCATCCCTTTGCAAGAACATTCCCCCAAGATGATTCAACGCTACCGCAAGGTGAACGCGCGTGAGCTGCAGAACAGAGATGCGATTGCGCCGGAGGAAGGTCTCATACTCACTAGCGGTGTTTGGTGAATGGTACTTCGGTACGCTCATTGTCTTCGTTGACTAGTACTCGCCAAACTGATGTCATGTCAACCAAAATCATGGTAGTACCTACAGGACTGACGCGAAGCCTTTGGACAGTAACGCTGAGATACCTCCGCGCTTCAACTTTGTCGACGGTAATTCTTGCTCCCGCGTCCAGGAACCAGCCACAAGACATTTGGGTTGAGTCTACCAATTCGCATTATGTCTACGATGTCGTTTCTAATCCATTGTCGCATGTTCGCGAGCGTGCTATTGAAAGCGCAGCCACAATGTTTAGGTGAGTGTGCTGTATAGTCGCCCGACGTCTGTGAAGCCGCTGTTCAAGCGCATTTGATCTACATGGTGCCGTGACAGCGAGCCGCTGTTAGGTGTCGGATCCATTCGTACTGGGGAAGGTATATGAGCCAAAGGATCGCACCCGCTGCCGTGCTATCGGCCGCACAGAATGCTGCTGAGAATCACTGGACGTGCACAGCTACCACATTTAACATCGAGGAAACCAATGGTGATATGCACAGGGGAGGGGGGTTGACAACAAAGGCAGGGGCCTGTAATTCTGCAGGAAGACGTCATCGCCTTGGGGGAAGACCTCGGATATCTGGACGCAGAAACCCGAAATACCGATAGCGTCCAGGGCAAGAATCGTTACGAAGGCGAGCGTATCCCGCCGCTTGTGACTTGAGGAGAAACCCAGATTACGCGGCAAGCTTTATTTCGACAAAGACTACCGTAATACGGGTTGAAAATGGGTTGTTCGCGTTCAGTATATTTGACAGAGTTTAATTGCGATGGATAGGAGTGATTTTCAGCCGACGATTCTCCTCAGCTTCTCGTGGCTGCCTATCACTAGATGCCCGAGGCTGTGGGAACGTACGAGAGCAGAGCGGTGGTCGACGACTTGGGGGTTACTGCCCAGGGGAACACTTAGAATGGTCTGCTGTTCATGATGTAACGCGACAGAGGGTGTTAGTTTCGATTAACCCTGCTAGGCATCTAGGCTTTGCCCAATGTCCAGTATGAAACATAGAATACTAATTCACATTTGTTTATAGTGAAAGGTCCTAAGGCATTCTATTGCGGCTCTTGAACACGCGGTTCAACGCCGCGCTGCGGCAGCGATAGCGCCAGCAACGATAAATGAGTGACCGTAACGAGGAATTCCTAGTTGCTCTTTCTGGGAATGCATGATCAACTGCCATATGACCTCAATATCATGAGCTACGAAAAGCATATAGAATGCTGTATGCGTACCGCTTGTCCTGACCATAATCCGACATCCGTACCTCTTAGCACTACCTATCTCCCTGAGCGGCAAAACCAGGATTTCGACCATGCGATTTATTTCGGCATATGAAATTCCTGGAGTTTCGACATGCCGGCAGTTAAAATCGTAGTTCGTCCCGGCGAGACAAACAGCCTCTGCGCACGGTCTTGTCGGCGATTTGGTGCACGATGTCTGCGCCCAAAGGAGAGCTTGACGCCTTAGTCGTTCGGGGAGGTCACGGCCCTATTTCCGCCATAGAGGTGGCTGTGGCCTATCGTCACGCGGAACAGACGTCGCCACGCTGCAAATTTCTCTTGGTCCCTGTATTAAGAACTATGGCTAGTATTGTCCTGCGTTGTTCTTTATATACGATCCGGAATACCGGCTGCCAAATTGAGTATTTGACGGGCAGGTACCACAAGGTTCACCGTTCCAGCTGCTCTGTGCATCCGTGTTCCCATCTGTCCTTGTTTCTCGGCGCCTATGTAGTAAGTTCAGTCATCGGCTCGCTCTATCTGTTTGACCGACCGTGTCAACGAATTACCCACATGCTCAGGGACCTTGTCGATGATCAGCCGAGCTGCCTCAGAGACGCCTATCTATTGTCCCACTTTGTGGTAAGCCCGTCACTGCGTGGCTGAGCTCATGACAGTTAGAATATGTCCACAATGGCCGGCGCAAGCTGACGTTGACATCGACATCCTCACTGTGGGCTCCGCACCGCATGGACGTGACGACCTGGAATCTCTGATGGTTCAGCGGTCAGAAAATAGAAGTCGCCTAGGACAAGGAAGGTGTAGCAAGGATCTCCAAGGCGACCTGCACTTACGAAGGTCCGTCATCTGGACGATAGATGTCAGTATACACATTCGCCACACACCTATTGATGATAATGATAAGCGACCTAATTTCATTCTTGTGCCCACGCGAAATGATGGCTCGATATGAAGCAAGCACAAGAACATCAAACGAGCAACAGCGGCAGAAGCATGTATAGAATGTCGAAAACACTGAGTATAAGTACGAAAGCAATAGGGTATAGGTGCAATCCAAAAACAAGTAGGTGTGAGGCCTATGCGGGAGGGGTAGGAACTGGAGGTAATCGCTTCACGACGTACTTCGCCGTCCGAAAAACGTGCTCGAGACCTCGGAAAAAGCGGATAATGACTGATTCTCCCCGCTCTCTGAGACGACCACGGAGAGTCCGAGCGGATAGCTTAGATGTGGCCTCTGTAAATCGAGAGGCGACAACTTCAATAGACGGGCGTTTCTGCGGATCATCTTGGACCATGTCTGTGACGAGTGCATGCAGGAACTGGAAGTTATCATATTGCTGTTGACGTAAATAGTTGATCAGTGCTAATCTATCGCAGACGAATGAGATCTAACCTGCAGAAATGCCATTCGTACGAGATTTCCGAGATAGTATATGTCTGTTGGGAACGGGTCTACAGCTATGTCGTATCCTTCACCTTGAAATTCCGGCACGCTTTTGTCCCCGCCCAAGATGGGCAGTTCGCGGGGTGAACCGTCTTCGGGGTTGTATTTGCGCGACAGACCAAAATCGACGTAATAATACTTCGTCGGGCGCTCTGTGCGGGAGTAATGCTTAACTGTGCCCTTGAAATCTAGTCTCCTGTTACGCCTGCGGGGATGATACATATCCGGAAACATTGGCTTGGGATCTAACATGACGTTCGGTAGCATGATATCCCTGTACTCATGTTATGCGCGTCCCACAAATACGCCATGACGAGAACATACCGATGAGCGACATGGTAGGCATGCATGAATTTCAGTCCCTATATCACAAATTCGTTCAGTGACCCAGACACGTTGGCAGAGTTCCCTACGTACGGTAATAAGTTGTTGAATGAACTCGACGACTTCGCCAACAGTCTTAAATTCGGGATCGTCACATTCCCTGAGCAAAGGCATTACCACGATAGTCACGTTTTCCTCATCTGGGTCTTGGAGGACGTCGTAAAGCGGTATGCAGTGGTTGTTTGGATCTGCTATTAGCTCTTCGGAGCACAGGTATTGCCCAATTTCTACTTCGTAAGGATGGACAGAAGTAGAAATCTTCTTCAGAGATACTAGTGCACCATCGGAGACTCTCGTTGCGTCTATAATGGTCGGATGCTGGCTTTGTGTCAGGTTGGAACTTGTATAAACGGTTCCAAACATACCTCCAGTACGAGACCATCCTCACAGTCGCGAAAATGCTTCTTGGTGCCCCGCCAGGACGGCACCCACTCAGGCTTGTATCGAGGACGAAGCAAGTAGCCGCATTGTTCTAGCCACTGCTGATGATCTCTCCAATAGTATTCTGCATCAGCAAGCCCACCCGGGGAACGAGTTGTTGTTGTTTTAGGCAAATCCTCGCTGGCAGGCTCGTCTGCCATCTGGGAGAGATGTAGCAGCGAAATACGAGAAGTGATGATCCAACCGTACTGAGGGAGGGACCCCAAGCTGCATGCTGCTGGGTTCCGGGGTCTCTCACCGTGCAAAAACAATATGGCAACAACGTTCAATCGGCTTGCGTCGCAGATACAGCATACTGGCTGCCTTGAGGCAGCCCTTGAGGACTCCGTGCACATTCCTGGCCCGTATAGACCGTCTGATCGTCCTTCCGCATCAGCGTTGTTTCTTTCGAACAACGCCGCCTTTTTGTGGAATCGCCCATAGCTGGAACACTGGTTTCCATGCTCCGGAGATGCGCCCTATTTGATTACGTTTGCTGTCAATCATCGGGAGCGTGCTATTGTTCCCTCTTTCATTTGCGGCTGAATGTGTGTACTTGGTATATATTGCACCAAGTAACAGACGCGCAACCCATTCCTCGCTCTTCCGCTACCCTTGCCTGGCGCAGCTTCTTACCGTGGGCATCCAATCGAATGGAGGTCGCTCTCAACGCTCTCGATGCTACTGCTGACTGTGTCACAACCACCGCGCCATTTGCCAAGCCAGCCTTGAAAGCCTTGGCCAAATTCACACCACATGGCGCACTAAAGCGGGGTGATCGCGCTCAAGCGTCTACTTTGAATATGCTTGAGGATACATCGGATATTATGGAAAACGGTATGCACAACATCTTGCAGAACGAGTTCGACGAGTACGTTGTTTCTTCTGCATATTCTATTAAATGTACCTACTCACTGGCAATAGTCTCCGGGATTCGAGGAACGATCTGGCCAATCTAGGAAGGATCCAGACTTTGAGAAACTGGTCCAAGTTTTCTCAGTATGCGTCAGACGCTGTGCATCTCAACAAGAAAACGGTGGTGAGTACACGGGTAGCCTACATTACTCCTAGAGATTGTTGCCAGTAACTTAGCCTACTGCCACCTCGTCCAGACCTCATCGCAAGCGGCCAGGAGTGACAACATCTGGAAGAGGAAAGGCTTAGCGAGTAGATCATTATCGAACGGCAGATCAGGTATGTCGGCTGTGTAATATCGTCCTCGTCCTCGCCCCAATCTCATACTTCGAATGTGTAGAGCCAACCCCGATTTCCGACACCGTTGACGCACCAATTGACTGTCCGAGGCGAGGTGCTGGTAGATGGAATTGTCTACTTGTTTCCCATACTTACGCATGCGTTCTAGCTGACGATAACGCGTCCGTGGACATCACGTCCGTGTACGAGGACCCCTTTCGTGAAACAGCATCGGTCGTTGTTTCTGACCAAGCCTTTAAGCCGGCACGAGAGCCCAGTATAGCTGAATCCGAGAGCATATACTCTGATCTAGGGGAGGCCGAACACGACGACAGTTTCCGCCTTCATACACTGAGACAATCTGACGGCTCTCGGTGACGCTTATGCGCTATACTCGGAGGCGGTGGAGTCACTAAGATAATATCAACGAAGATAAATTCATACATCATTCCTCGCGCGGGCGCGTCGCAACTAAAACACTCGTTCACGATGATATTATATGTATGTCCGTAATTAGTATGTAATGTGCTCATCTCCGCCGCAATTCTGTCATGGGCGCTTATGTGGACCCACAAGGGCCAAATAAAATCAAACAAAGGCGCGATCACGAAAGTTCAAATCCACTAGAGTAATACTTCTGACATCCTCTTTACATGCTATGCATCACCTGACGGCTATTTACTCAACGGCGATGTTTTACAAGTACTGGACGATCGTGAGGCCCTCCAGCGCACTGACATTGTTGACTTGGGGTTAATCGCCTGCGGTACTGGATCGAGACACAATAAGTGAAATAGGTGTTCGTATTGTACTCTTGCTTCTACTTGGGCCCTCATGTATGATAGGAAACGGGCGAATGACAACAGGGAAACGAAGAGACGACGTACATGGTGTCAGGAGGCTGTGCGGGCGTTGCCGTGGGTTTCAGCTGCGGCCCCTTGACCTTACGTTTGATTATCATCGAGTATTCGCGACCACCTGCTCATGCTCATCGTTTGGAGGTCAAGGTACGCAATACGCGAACACGACAAGGACCCCCAGTCCACCACCGAGTTGTGGGGTCTTGCCGAATGGGCGCCAATAATCATGGAGTGTTTCACGCCGTTGATGATGCCGTTATGTAGCTTGAAACTTGCCAGACCACCCAGCGCGGCTTGACAGATCCCGTGTACAAGCAGTTTTATCATCGACACTCTGAGCCCTTCGCCTTGAAAGGCGCCATTCCTCAGTTAGACCAGATAATCAATCGGCGGCGACCACCCTAGATACGTTGAACAACGACTCCTTTTTGGGACCGATCTGAGCCGCAGAATGCTACTTCTGCGACTTCTATTGAGTATGTCCAGCCCTTGTTCACGCCGCATACCCTGTCAAGGCGATGTATCTACGTTTTATCCACAGGTCTACACGGAATACCCAACATTACGTCCATTCACGTACTACCTTATAGTATCCGTTATGGGAATGCTTTTGTTTCCCCGCTGCTCATCTCGACTATCTGCGCCTATATATACACTACCTTGAACATGTATCACACTACTTGTTGATCATTGCCTCGTCCATCATTCCACTCTCGCTGCCTGGTGCACTGCTCGTATCGCATACGACGTATCGTCATGTCTTCCACTCCCCTTGAAACTGCCCTCAACGTCACCACCGTTGGGGTCACCATCGTCGCACTAGCTGCTAATCCTGCTCTCAATGCACTGGCCAGCCTTTCACCACTAGAACATTTAAAGCGTGGTGATAAGGATCAGGCGTCAACCCTCACAATTCTGGAGGAGATAGCAGGAATCATGGATGTCAGGGTACACGATACCTTGCAGAATGACTACAATAAGTACGACTATCGTGTTCACATTGTAACCGAGCATTAATAAGTATTTCTCAGGCTTGCAGAGACGAGGGCAGGTCTAGCCAACATGGGATCTTTTGAGGCCTTACGAAAGCGCAAGCACCTCATGAAGTATGCGACAGACGCTGCACAGCTAAATGCCGCAATAATGGTGAGTTGTTGAAGCAATCATTGTCACTCGAACCCACACAACTAAGGTCATTCAATTTCACAACGTCATTGGTGTAGAAATCCGCGGCGAAACTGGTGCGGGCCCGACTCGGATAGATTCACACATCATCCCTCGCGCGGGCGCGTCGCAACTCAAATACTCATTAAAAATGATATTATATGTGCGCTTGTAATCAATATATGCGTTTGGATGCAATTGTGCTTCAGTGAAGCTCTAATGTCCAATCTGCTCATACCCGCTGGAATCCTGTAGCGCCTATGTGGACCCACAAGGGCCAGATAGCGTCAAATAAGTCTTGCGCAATCATTCGATCGAGATTTCGAATTCACTCGAGTGATGCTCTTTACGTGCTACGCATCGCCTTAAGATTCTGTACTGAACGACGTAGTATTTGAAAGGTGATGGAACGTCGCGAGGCTTCACAGTGCAGTGACAGCAGCTGGTAAGAATTGCTTGAATACATTGGATGTAATCTTCTGCAGCACCAGATCGAAACATATCGTCTGTCCGATAGGTGGAATAGCTGCACACTTGGAGTTCGTACTGTACCCTTATTTCCATTTGGATTATGCACAACGTTGGCGCGTGTCCACCATCAGGCCTTCGCCGAGGCTGTACAATGATCCAAAGCGACAAGTGCGAGATCGTGAGCCCAGACGGAATGGGATGGTTCGAACATAATCCCAACCATGCTGGCGAACATATAAGCGACGAGACCACACAAAACTAGAAGATGAGGTCAGAACACTCTTTTGACGCACGAGTGGCGGAGGTGGGCCTCCTTCGTCACGAAAATTCAGATCATCGATCGGCGAGCACGAGGACCTACAAAGCACAAATAAATACAAGCCGAGTAAGCGCCACGGCGATGACTTCAAGATGGTTTTTTGTACGCCAAATCCTATTCCCTCAACGCGAATGCATTAGTATTTGTAGCAAACCCATGACCAAAGTAGATACGAAGCTGAATTGTCTGCTCACACCATATACAGCGACGTCAAACGTCAAATACAAAAGAAAATGCAAGAGAGATCGGGCCATCCGACTAGAGGGCCTTTTCATTCTGACCAGGTGAACATTCGATGGACATACCTTTGCAAGCGATGATCCTCTGACTGCTATAAATACACATCGTCAGGCGGCCAGGACTACCATGCAATCCGCAGCCTTGCAACGCAGATCGAGACATTGTGCCAGCGATTCCTCCAGAGTTTGAACCCGGACGACTTGCTCATCCGTTCGCCTTTTGTCTAAACATTAGTTGTAGACTCTCGGAGGGTCCAGATCGTACAGAACAGGTGGTATAAGGGAAACTATCGGGACAGTGAAATTTGGAGCTAATGCAAGAACGGTGTTCAAGACCAGTATGTGGTATCAAGGGGTTCTTTAGCAAGGGGATCACTCACCGTGAGAATCTCTCAGATCGTTCCAGACGCTCTGGGTCTCCAAAGCTAGTTGCCTACCATGGTCTGCGCGAAAAACGCGTACCAACACGCCTGCCCAGGCTCCTTCCCAACTAGCACAGCCGCAGGGCATTGGGCTGCTCTCTAGTACGATGAACGAGCAACACGAGATAAGACGTAGAGATAGAGCAAAACATCGCGAGACAAGGTGAGACGAATGTTGCTATCCGGGATGTCACTAAGCCCGTCTTGTGCATATGGCTCGCACGATGTATTGATCGTGCACTTCGTGTCCGTGTTTCGAGTAGTGTTATGGATGTCCACCAAGCAAGGCCTTTATGCGCGAGTGGATCGGCCAGATGTCAAGAAGAACGCGTGAATGTAAATAAAGGTTGAGAGGAGGCGTGGGCGCTACGGTGTGGATTGCTGCCCTTTTGGAGGGTCATGTCAGCCGCCGGCGTCCCGCACATGTTGAATGACGGCCAACCAATCTTCTTTCGCATCCCATATGCTCGTGTGCTTTTAGCTGATCACTCTCCCTTCTTGAAGCTGGCGGAGGACGAGAGCGTAGCCACCAGTGCATTCACGATGACCAACAACGCTCGCCGCCTGGCTTCTTATGCTCGCTTCATGACCATACCGACGTCTCTACCGCAAAGTACATGCGATTATAGCGGCTGTACGAGCAAGCCTCGAAGCACGCTCTTCCTTGGGATTGCCTGAGTCGGGTGGAGACATAGCGTGTGGATATTTCTTGATCCGTAAGCCAGCAGTTTAGTGTTGTATGAAATTATGTATTGCTGTCAATGTTGACAAAACCTACGGCGAGAAGTGTTCGCAGTGTGCAATATGGCATCACTTCTGGTGAAGTCCGACGTGCGGATGCAGACCAGGACCAGCAATAGCGAGAGCATCGAATGAATGTCATGGGGATCATTCTTCCTGAGAACGCATAGGACAATACGTGGTGACCTTAGCGTTGCGGAGTACCATAAGGCGGTACAGAAACAATATACTACACGCATACTACTTGCCCAGTTATTCTTCTGCAGACGTAGTGAACCATCAATTCACGGGAATTTGTTCAGACATTGGAGCTACCATTCGATTGCACACTACCTGCATGGTCTCTCATCCGCGGCATGGTGCAAGATGACCGCGCTAGAAAGACGTTGGCCGCGTCAGCCGTTCGGGGATATCATGAGCTGCTTTCCGCCGCAGATATTGCTGTGACTTCTCTTCACGCGAAACGGCGCAACGCCGCAATCATCTCGCGGGTCCTACGCAGTAAACTGAGACTATTGCTAGTTTGTTAAGAGTCGGCGTAGCCGTTGCCATACTCACCATTCATCTGCGCAGATAGGACAAGGCATATTATTCCAGTCATCCGTTTGGCTCAGATTCTACGGCTCCCGTCAATGGTTTCCACATGGCCTAAAGTGGTACGTTCAGGTATTGGCTCACTCTATCTTTGAATACCGCCTGACGACCGTGTGGACAACGAATCGCTTACGACCCATAGAAGCCGTATTGATCATCACCCGACATCAGACGCAGTGTCATGCAGACCAACTTATTGTTCCACCTTTCAGGCTGGCCGTCACCGCAAGGTCAAGGCGGTGACCGTCAGAATCACAACATGAGCAGCGCCAGCTGATGTCCACATGGTGGCCTCCGCATCACACGGACATGGCAAATTGGCTCGTCTGGAACGAGTCGGTGGATATCCCTGAGATAAAGAAGACGTCCAATTGGATTGGAGGGTGAAAGAATAACGTATGCCACGCGCACGTGGGCGTCTGCCCTGCATCTGCGTGAGATGTTTTGCATCGCGGATCTTATCCAGCGATTCCCAAACCGCATGGAAGAAATAACAAGGCGACTTAAAAGGCGACTTGCACTGCTTAACGCACCGGTATATTTGTATTTGTAGCGCAATGGACACGCGATACGTACAAAGCAACGGCGATATTTAGCGGATATTCGCGCCCATTGTCCATTTTGGAGCAAGCATAGAAACGTCGAATGAGTGACAGCAGGAAGACCACGTATAGGATATCGAAAGCGCCGAGTCCAGACACGATAACAATGGGTATCGGTACAATGCAAAGCAACTAGATATGGAACCTATGCGGGAGGGGTGGGCACTGGGGATAATCGCTTGACGACGTATTTCGCCGTCCGATAGAAGTGTTCGAGGCCTCGAAAAAAGCGAACGACGGTCGATTCGTTCCTCTCTCTGAGACGGTCACGAAGAACACCTGGGGAGAGTGCGGACGTGGCTTCCATGAATCGAGAAGCAACCTCCTCGATAAGGGGGCGCTTTTCTGGTTCGTTTTGCACCATGTCTGCAATGAGCGGATGTAGAAAACTGAGATTCTCGTAGTGCTATGGCACGCACAGTCAATGAGGATATGATGTCAGAATCAGACGCTGACGCACCCGTATAAACGCCATTCGTATCAGATTCCCTAGGTAGTAGATGTCTGTCGGGAAGGGGTCTACGGCTTTGTCGTAACCGTTGCCTTGAAACTCGGGTACGCTCTTATCGCCACCCAGGATAGGTAGTTCCCGGGGCGGATAGTCTTCGCTTTCGTACTTGCGTGATAGACCGAAATCCACATAGTAGTATTTGACCGGACTCTCCGTACGAGAATAATGCTTAGCCTTGCCGGTAAAGTCTCGTTTCCTCTCTCTTCGACGGGGGTGGTACATGTCCGGATACATTGGTTTTGGATCGAACATTACATTTGACAGCATTATATCCCTTTAAAATATGAGGAAAGCCTGTGGCGCGTCATTAAATAAGAACGTACCGATGGGCGACGTGATGTGCATGCATGAACTTCAACCCCTGGACAAGCACATAATCGACAGATGTAGAGACGCTGGTGTCTGACCCATACGTACATTAACGAGCTGCCGGATGAAGTCGACCACTTCCCCAATAGTGTCGAACTCGGGGTCGTCGCACTTCCTGAGCAAAGGCATCACGAGTATGACGGTGTTCTCCTCAGAGGGATCTTTGAGAACGTCATGTAGGGGCACGCAGTGGTTGTCTGGGTCGGAACGTAGCTCATCAGAACAGAGGTATCGTCCGATGGAGACCTCATGAGGGTGGACAATAACAGAGACCTGCTTGAGTAATACTAGAGCACCATCCGATATCCGGGTGGCGTCGTTCACGTACGGATGCTGTCTGACATTAGCAAAGGTCATATTCAAGACAACCAAGACAACGGGGACATACTATCAGCCCATAACCATCTTCGCACTGAGAGAAGAGTTTCTTGGTGCCTAGCCAGGACGGCACCCAATCAGGCCTGTACCGGGGCCGAAGCATGTAACCGCATTCCTGGAGCCATGGCTGGTGATCACGCCAGTAGTACTCTGCATCCGTTAGACCGCCTTCGGTATGAGGAAGATTCGGTGAGCCCTCAGAATGATTGGCCATCCGGAGGCATGCACTGACACTCGGTACAACGTAAAGGGTCGCTGGTCATGAAGGCACTGGGCAGAGGGGGACCCCGTGTCTGCGGGGGTGTGTCGGGGTCTCACTGTGGCAGGCTGATCAGCTACGTTTGAAGTAGTACGTTACGTTCTGTTCATAGGAGACTAGTTGCAGCCTGGGTCGAGCTGACTGATGTTATTGTTCTCTATCTGCTCGCTACAGCGCACCTGCCAGCGTGCGTGCCCTTGCGGACCTGTCACCAACAATCCTTCCGAGGTTCACAGGGATATTTCAAAGGCACGGAACAGTTCTGATTCATCGAATCATCCCTCAGACAATGTGGGTTGTTCGTGTATAGGAACAACGTTCCATGGGCTCTATGTTCTCTGCCTGTATTCCTTATTCGCACGGGGAAGGTCAAGAAGTCACGCTGTCATGGACGCATGCTGTGCCGTTACGTCCTCATGTTTCCATCGCTGGACAGTCATTGTTTCGTCGTTGCCTGTATGCCATTCTTTATAACTACCCGCTACATTACGCACTAAGCGGATCAGATATCATCTTCTTGGCCCCACTCTCGTTGCCTGGCGCACTGTGCTCCTCTTCTACAGCCCATCATGTCCTCTGATGCTGCAGTCTTCAACTATTTGGATGCTACTGCTGATGCAGTCACCATCGCCGCCCCCGTCACCAAACCCGTCCTTAAATATTTTGCTGGGCTGTCACCACGGAAGCAATTGAAGCGAGGCAATAAGTATCAGGCGTCGACCCTTTCGACCCTAGAGCAGTGGTCGGAGATCATGGACTCAAAGACGCACAACGAATTACAGCAAGAGCATGACCGGTAAGATACTTCCGTGTGGAGGAGAATGACCTCGTCGATCATCCTGTTGCAGTATTCTAGCAACGAGTAATGGCCTACAGAAAATGGGGCGCCTCAAGGCTCTGTGGGAGCTCGATCAATTTTATGCTTATGCCTCGGAGGCTGAGAAATTGAATGCGGACACAGTGGTAGGTTCTGTCCATATGGATGATCTCCTCCATACCTGTGCACATCTCTTACTCAAACCTTATATATGTAGACCTCCTCACAAGCGGCCAGGAGCAAGCAGTTGTGGTCAAAAAAAGGAATGACCGGTGGACAGTCGCTGGACGCTGCTGTCGGTTACCGTCAGTAATATCTCCTGCTCTCCTGCTAGTCTTCTCATGGCATCTTTGCAACCAGTCATTACTAGTGACTCGACAATTACGCGGGCAGACAGCGGTGATCACAAAACTGGTATGGCATCATCTATTTGACCTCTAACTCGCATTTACCTGTGTGCTTCAGACGACGATGCTGCCTCTGTAGACATTACGACCATTGAAGAAAACCCTTTTCGCGAGACAGCGTCGGTCGTTGTAGCTGATTATGCGTCTGATCTGGAATCGGAGGCCAGCGTTACCGAGACCGAGAGCATTTACTCAGAGCCGGGAGATATTGGCCATTATGATAGCTTGTCCCTTCACGCGCTTAGACCATCTGCATGACTCCAGTATTTTTCTTCGCACACGCCGGGTTAGTGTCGGAAGTGGTATGATCCGTTGCGCAGGCGACTCAGTCGCTCGTTTGTTTTGTATCATTGTATGTAGAGTAACCAACCAGAATTTGTATTTAATGTCATTTGTACCGCAGAGGCTCTGCTCTCGGGATGAACATTAGCGTTGGATCAGTGCAGAGCAACCACGCAATCACAGGAACGTCGAATGAGCGACAGCAACAAGAACATGTACAGGTTGTCGAAAGCGTCAAATACAGACACGACAACGATAGAGTATCTGAATAATCCAGAATCACCTTCCCAGAGCATGTAAGGCGTGAAAGGAAACAAGATGTAAAGTGAGCATTTGAAACCGTGAGTCGAGACGGGCCGTATCGGCGGGCAGACTAGCACGCAAAACCTAAGGACGAGGTGACAGTACTCTTGTGACGCATGAGTAGCAGCTCGTTTGTCACGAAAATCAGATCATTGATCGAGCACGGACCTACAAAGCACAAGCAAATACAAATACAACAAGCGCCAGAGCAGTGTCCAAGATGGTTTCCTGCACGCCAAAAACAATCCCCTCAACGCGAATGCATCACTATGCGTACCCAAACTATGACGTACAGTTGGTGTGTGGTGATGACTGTTGGCGCACACCACATGTCGTGACGTCCAAGGGGAATAGCGCAAGAGATGCTATCCCAATTACGGACCTCCTCCGATAGAAGAGAGGTGTTGACAAGTTATATATACGGTATGAGGTCCTCTGTCATCGTAAAATACTTTAGCTCAATGCTGACCGTGGCCGTCAGACATCACAGACCGCGCGGCTTCTCGATTACTGACGTGTGAGCATTGTGGAACTTGAAGCCTTACCGTGGCACGTATTTTTGAAACAGTGGCATCTACAACCGTGAGCTTGACCTCCGGGATCCCGTAAGCAGACCAGTGACACCTCGCTTGGACATCACGGCATGCTGCCACACTCGACTGCGTCGCTTTTGACGACTGGGGGCTGTTTCGTAAACGTACTCACTGCGTCGATCGAACCTTTGAACCACGACGACATGCAGGATGATCTCTTGTACCGCGTGGTATGTCCGTTCGAGATATACTGGATGTAGCCAGAGCAAGAGTAACTGCGGAGTGAAAGCAGGAGAGGACCTGTCCTCAATGTATTTTGTACCATCGACGCTGGTATGCCGCTAACGCCACCATCCCTTTTTCTGGCAAGGGTGTTCAACAGAGCAGCCCAAGTGTTAGCGGTATGAGTGAACGATAATGGCAGCGCAACCTGGGATAGCTCACCTTTGTAGCGAGGAGCTAGTCGGTGAAGCACTCCGCATACTAGGCAAAAACACTCGATCAGGCGAGAGGACCTCTTCATCAGGCTGAATGTTTGCAAGCTATGGTTTCCTGACTGCCATAAATTGACATCATTGGGCGGTTATAACCACGTCAGTCCACTCCCATACAAATCGTATGATAACATCGCAATGCAGGTCGAGACGTACCTCCAGCAATCTCTCGGGGTTTGTACTCTGACAGCTCGCTTCTCCATTCGTCATGCTGCAGGACCAGGACCAGGTGAAATCGATCGGAGTGAGCAACACGTACGACGTTCGCACCTTCGGGCTTCTCAAGAAGGCGAGTCCAGATTGTGCAGAATAGGTGGTACGAGAGCAATCGCTGGGACCGTGACGTCTGCAGCTGCTGTAGGAAGAATGGTGTCCAGTATCAGTACGTTCTGTCAGAAATGTCATATAAGGTGTATTACTCACCGCAGGAATTTGCCAGGTCGTTCTGGACACTCTCTGGATCTCCAAAGCTGCTTTCCCGCCAGAGTCTGCATGGGGTAGCGCGCACCAAGAGTCGCGCGCCTGCTCAAGCGGTCTTCCGACTAGCGCAACTGCAGGGCATTACGCCGCTCTCCGGTACGACCACGAGCAACACATAGGAGAAGACGTGGAAGCGGAGCAGATCGACCTGGTTGACGTGGGTGCTGCCGTAAGAGTGGACAGCAAGCTCGTCGGAGGAGTACAATGATTCGTGATGGATTGCTCGTTGCATGAATATTATTCTTGACCGTGCTTCGTGTAGAGTGTATCAACGGCCGCGTAGTGTAGAAGTACGGGCAGATGTTGACTGTGGAAATTCAGGGAGAACAGGTGTGGGCGTCATCGTAGGCCGTCACATCCGGGGAAGGAAGAGCCGCCGGCGTCCTCGTGTCCGCCAACGGCGAGCTAGTTCGGTTTTCCGTCCGCAATCTGCTCTTGTGTTCTTGGACCCTCATCCGTATTTTCTATAGCCTTTACTCGCAGCGAGAGGACGATTTGCCAGACGACCTCCACTGCACGTCGTCATCATATTGTGTCCACTAGCGATCACTGCGCAACAACATCTTGAAGCTTGAATCGCTGTGCCCTGTCCGCCTATGCAATCTGGCAAGTAGTTGCGGCTTGCAAGTCACCCGGAATGGGTCTACCTACGTAACACCCCCGCGCAAAGGCCATCATGCCCACTCTCCCTTCGGTTGTATCAGCATTTCTTGAGTGCTCGGATTTCTTGTCGTCAATCCCCTTTCCAAGTTGAATAGAGAGCTCTTGACCCACGGCCTGCATCGCAACGTCATAGACATCAGTTGACACCTGTGCTAGCTCAATATGTGCCGTGGGTAACCGTCTGTACATTCTCTCCTCGCTGACGGTGCTCCATACTACTGACGCTAACAATTGAGCGCAGCCGGAAGGACGCGACATGAGGATCCTCGAGTGGCAAGGTTCCACGGCGCCGCAAGGCATGGATAGGGACCGGAGCCATCATTTTGGCATTCGCTTATAAGGTTGCATGAATGGTGCTGCCACTTACCTTCGTTGGTGAGAGGTCGCCAAATTGAGAGCAACTCAAAAAGTAATATCACGCACAAGAACCCCCGCACGGTCATTATACAACGACGATCGTGTGTCACATCCCTTCATGCTGTCTAATAAATTCCTGATGAAGGTGGAGCCGCCTACGATATTGTTCAAAATCACTCGATGCACAAGGCTGTCACATATTAACGTCAACATCGAGGAGATCAACGACGTGAATTCGTAGCGCGCGACAGAGCATCGGTTCAGGTGATGTTAGGATCCAAAAAAAACCCCCGACGTTGCGATTCCATTCGAGGCCTCAAGCAAAAAAAGAATGCCCCGCCACATGTGATTTGGATCCAGGGTCCTTTTCGGCAGAAACTCGACCGCACCAAGGATGGGCGACGGATTCATGCAAGAATCTCGTGCTCAGTACGGTGGATGTAGATCGTCTGCCACGATTCCGGATGATTATGAGCCGATTGCCCTGACAGCTCCTCCTGAATGATGAATGCTGAGTGACAGGATGTTTACGCACGAGCAGATAACGGTATCTACCGCCCCTGCCTCATCGGAGAAATAGCTCCAGGCGCCTGTACTGTGGAGGGTGCACAATAGAGATATGGGGATCGGAGAGGCTACTTGTTTCCATGGCTATTCTCACGCAACCTGTTGTTCGTCGTCGCAATACGATAGAGTCTGTCCTTCTTCGAGCAGCCCTACCAAGAAATATTACGGACTAGAAAGGCGTATAGAAATAGAACACCGTATGCTTACCGCTTGTTCTCGCTATGATGCGATAGCCAGATCTCGGGAATTACCTGTTTTCCTTGATTGCGAACGGGTGCCTTGACCATACAATTCACCTCGTAGTCCTTTTACAGACATCGTGGAGCATGAGCTGTAGAGTGATTCGTGCAGATGCTGGAGCCAGCCGTTCGTTCCCCACCGTAAGACATTGGTTGTGTCAGCCATTCGGGACATCACGGATTGACCCTGCGGCGGTTATGGCTGTGGCTTCTCGCCGTGCGAAAGGAACAGCGCAACGCTGCAATCGTTCGCGTTTCCTACACCATAAACTGGGGCGTTATTTTGCACTGCTCTTCCTGTGAGCGGCGGCGTAGCCGTTGCCACCCTTCATGCGGGCAGAGAGGACAAGGCTCACCTTTTCAGTCATTCCGATTGATCTGGATGCCATAGCTTCTGTCGTTTGTTCCACCGCGCCTATGCAGTAAGTTCTGTCGATCATTAGCTCACTCTATTGGTTCAACCGTCCGGCGACCACGTTGACAAGGTGGCCGCTCACGAACCATCAGAATTATCCATCTTGTGTAGACTCACTTGGCCTTCCATTTTAAGGAGCTCGTAGCCGCAGGGTCAAGATCATACCAGGTGGAATCATAACGGGCGGTTGTCAAGTGATCTCTACATGGCTTCCACACCACAAGGACACGGCAAACTGAGTCAGTGGCGCCGGGCACGCACGAGATAGAGAAGACGAATGGTTGGGGTTAAGGTGAACAAGGGATGTAGGCCACGCGTGAGTCGGCGTCTGCACTGAATTCGCGCAGGGTGCCTGGCATGACGACCGTTAATCAAAATCACGTAGAACAGTACGCGTATGGAGAGACCGCTTCGGATAGAAATCTGCACAACACACTAAATGTATGTCTCATAAGCAAAATGAATGGAACGCTCTGTTTACGTGCACGAAAATGTACCAATCAGAGCATAGGTAATCCAACAATCCAGAAGAAAAATAGCAACGCTGGGTATCCTGATCACGACAGCATGAAGATACCTAAATATGCACGATATATCGATGAGAATATGTCTATCTTCCAGGTGTCGGAACGGGAGGGAGGCGTTTGAGGAGATAGCGGGCTTTCTGGAACGTGTGCCTAACGTCTTTGAATAGCTTAGTCACAGAATCCTCCTTCCTGGAAACAATGCGAGCGCGACATCTCCACGCTGTGAGCCCGCGGCGAATTTCCTCAAAGCGATCGACAACCTGGTCAGCTGTCGGCCGCTCTGCGGGATCGGCTAGAACCATGTCGGAGATGAGCGGGTGCATGAATTCCAGGCCGGTGTATCTCTACGTCATTATTATGAATGCAGAGAAAGTAAATACTAAGTTGCATGCTCACTTGTAGAAAGCATTGGCGAATCAGGTTTCCCAGATAATAGATGTCCGTGGGGAAAGGGCTGTATGGTTTGTCGTATCCGTCGTTTTGAAATTCAGGAACACTTCTATCTCCACCGAAAAGGGGCAGCTCGTGTGGCGGTCCTTCGGCGGGATCATACTTCCTTGCGTGGCCATAATCGACATAGAGATACTTTGTAGGTCGCTCTGTACGAGTGAAGCGTTTGGCCTGTCCACTAAAATCCCGTTTCCTATCTTGACTAATTGGATGGAACGAATCGGGAAACATAGGATTGGGATCCATCATGACGTTCAGCTCCATGATATCCCTCGTTCAAAGGGTTTGCGTCAATGATAGACGTAAGAGGCGTAGTACACATACCGGTGTGCCACTTGGTTGTCATGCATAAAGTGCAATCCCTGTGCACAACCCAGCTCGATATTGGATTGTACTTAAGGTAAGTGACGGTTTGACATACCTCGAACATTTGACGAAAGAATTCGATACACTCTCCTACCGTCTCAAAACGAGGATCGTTGAATTGCCGGAGAAAGGGCATCACTATGATGAGAGTATCATCCTCCTCTGGATCCTGTAGAACTTCAATGATCTGTACGCAGTGATTTCGCGAATCGGCACTGAGCGGTTGCGATAAGAAGTACTGTGCGATTTCAGCCTCATGCGGATGTACTTCTTTTGAAGTCTTTTTAAGCATTACAAAGCGTCCATCAGATTTACGGGTGGCATCCAAAACGGACGGATGCTGCGAATCAATGAGTTTCTGTGACTGTCAATACGAGGGATGACAAACATGCAGCGCCTGTCCATCTTCGCAGGTAAAGAACCACTTCTTGGTTCCTTCCCAAGACGGCCTCCAATCTGGGCTATATCTTGGACGAAGCAAATAACCGTGTTTCTGAAGCCAGGGTTGACGATCTCGCCAATAAAGTTCACTCTTATGAAGGCATCCGGGAACCCGTCTCGGAGGAGCATCTCCTTGAGCGGCGTCGACACTCATATAAAGCGAGCGTAAGAGTGAGGCAGGGAGGAAACGAGCTTTGGGTGATTCGGGGAGAGGAGCCAATTCGCGTCAACAACGTCGGTCCTTGAAACAGGCGTCAAGCACGTGTGGGGTACCACATGCCCACCCAGAGGACCCCGGAAGGCTCTCTTCGCGCCTGCACTGAGCGAGTCGAAACTGGCTGCGTGTAGTCTGCGTTGCTGACCAATTACGGACATGGATGACACTCGATCCATATCTAGTATATGGCTGCGTGTGACATCAAGCACTAGTATGTGGGTGTGATTATTGTGGTTCCATGTTGCTATCTCACGATGACAATACTCCCTCAAGCCCTTTCAACCGGGGAGAAGCTACATTCATTGTTCGTATCCCGACATCTACAGGCCTGATACGCGTGTGCAACACGACCAGAACGGCAATTGTATTGCATATAAACACCGGAACAGATGTGTTGTTCTCCTTCCGGAAACTGTACATGAAGGAGCCTTCCGATTGCTTCTAGACCAATGCAGCGCGCCGTGTCCTGCCTTCGTCAGTGCCGCGCCTGTCAGCATGTGCTATTGTTCCTCGTGTCCCTGTGGATGACTACCGGCTGATCGCACTACCTCCGCACAGTTCCGACCATGAAGGATATTTAAAGAAAAGCAAATCGTCTTTGACCTCAGTCGTACACCCCGTCTCTTCTCATCATGTCTTCCGATATTGCTGAGGAACTGTTCAACATTCTCGATGCCGCTGCTGATGCCGCGACTATAGTCTCTGCAAGCAAGCCTGCAGCTCGACTCATCATGAATATGCTTCCCAGCACGAAACTCAAGAGGGGCGACCAATATCAAGAGTCTACGCTTCGGCTCCTAGAGGCATCAAGGAAAGTCATGCCACCCGCCGTTTTCGAGGATCATTTCCATACATTTGAGAAGTCAGTGATACATCCTCTCTCTGTGTATTGTAGCTGATATGTCTCCAAGCATATGCGATACCAGGGAAAAGCTAGTGCTTGATGGCCTCATTCAACAAGTGAAAATAAACGGAGAAGCTGGAGAGTACAGGAAGAGGGCAAAGACTTTACACGCGAAAATGAAGGTAAGCCTGTGCAACAATCTGCTCCGTCATCTCTAATAGGGCGTCATAGATCTCGTCACAACAAGCTAGACGAGCAGCACTTCGGACTCTGCCCAGAGCCGCTTCCGTGGGCAGTAGCGCCGCGTCAGATACTGGTACATCGATACTTCAAGAGGCGAACAATCGCGGCGCAGACAATCACGGTACGCACTATAATCACTGAAGCTTTGCAGCTCTCACCTGTAGTGCAGATGAAGACGCCCAATCCATGGATATCACAGAAGAACGCAATGTGTACTGTCCTTCCTCCAGCACACTGACTTTGAACGATCCGTTCCGGGAGACCGCATCCGTCGTTGTGCAGGATCCAGATGACATCTCGATTTTTCGGTCCAACGTTTGGGAAGACGGCGATGATGCAAAGACCTCCGGGCGCACGACCCTTACCTCGTAATAAAAGCGATGCGCCGCTATATCATGCAAGACGGTAGGAAATCCGTGCCTCGGATCATGTGAAGCCTTTACATTGCTATTTGTCTGGGACGATAAGATCACGAAGACGAATACTAGGAGTGCTGGCCGCTCTATAGCCGATATCCCCATTTCTTAATGTATGGATGGAGCGTCACTTTATATGTAAGTCATAATACGCTTTGGTGTAAATTAGTCGCGTCCTCAGCCGAGGTCCATATTATATCGTGAAACCATTTTCCTGTAATGATCGAGTGGACCCACAGAGTACAAACAATGCTAAATAAACCCTAAAGTGGAATTGATTGCTGTTGTTCTTGTAGAACGAGCGCTTGAATCAAAGTCGTATGTTGTGTGAACGAGGACAGACTCAGAATCGGTGGCCCGTTGTATCTATGGAAGTCAGGCGATCACAGTCTGCAAGGGCAAGAGCTGTGAATATCCACTCGGTCCGGTTGACAAAACCCTCCTGCCGATTCTCGTGTTTCGTTCCGGTATCCGAGGTGCTTCACCAACCAGCTGTTCCATGACAATCGGATCGTCGTGATCTATGATCCACTTCCCGCTCATTCATGATTGGGCTTCCCTGCTGAAAGCTGGTGTTAGCAGTGCAGATATCACGACTCTTGGTCGGAACGCACTGATACCAGTCGGGCGGAATCCGTGGAGTATTGGGCTTACCAACTTGTCGTGATCCTTTCCTACTTCCTACGGGAATCACAAGCCACGGTGCAAGGGCGACAAGGCTTCAACGTGAATGACTTCAGCGTCTGAAGCCTCCTCATGGGAGGGTCACGGTAGGATGCCATCGAATGACAGTGGGGACATTTGGGCGAAGGGCTAATCTCGCCGCCTGCGGAGGGTCTCACACATCATGCTGATGGGAAGAGGCGCCTCGAGGTAGAGGAGAGAGAAATCTAAATCACCCCTTGCTGGTTCAAGGTGTTCGCAAGGCGAAGTCATCGTGGTTACCTTGAGGTTACTTGGCGGATCGCTGACCTACTGCTTCCAGTTAACGTCGATGCATCCCAACATCAAAGTGGCCTCACGAGAGATTCCTTCAGGCATTGGGCAGGCAGGCCAAGGTGCCGTCAAACGCAAGGAGCAGATCGACCACATTCGGATGATACTGCCGTCCTGCGGTGACAGTCCTTGGATCTGCCGTCTTCGTCACTGGGTGCAGTCACTCATCATGTTGTTTTCTAGCACTGCAGTCGCCTACCATCTACATATGACAATAATCCCACAGGCCTCACCGGGTTCGATACTGATTCTGATTCTGAGCGCAGTGAAAAGCTTACGATTTATGCCGGCTTATGAACGAGGCCCAAGAATGCAGGCTTGAAAGGAGTGAAGTTTACCACCAACTTAATGATTCCAGTGTCTACGGAAAACTCGAGGTAACTGAGCCCTAAGTTGACACTATTTCATGCTTTCCGACTGTGGCCTGTCACTTCGGAATGATTAGTTGACGAGTACATCGCCAGACGACCAATGGCATTCATCAGCGCATGTGAATGGATACAACATGAATTTGTGCGAGTATCAGCAATCTGTGGTACTGTTGAGAACCTTCGGAAGTACAAGATCATGCCACTCATCACGGTCTACATTGAGTCGGCCTATAATAGACCGCATGCGCAGGGTGCGCAGGCACATGGAAAGGTGATGTGATGTCAATTTCGAGCGTGGATAGGTGTTCGCGGTCGCTAGACTTTCAAGCAAGGTAGGTTTGTGCTGGCACATTTGGCTTGTGAGGAAACCCAGACAGCACTGAGAGCTGTGGATTCGAAGAATATCTATCGCATTGGTGATCGTAAATAGGCTCCTTGCAATCAGCTCGCACGACGCATCTAGAGCACCTGGATGTCAGTTGCGTGAGTTGTGATTCTCAGCTCATACGCACATACACATTAGCTCCTGTACATACCGCCGTGCTGCGCTTCGTTATCGCAATATGAATAAGGATAGCGAGTCATTTTTCCGGTAAGACTTCGAAGCATAAATCCTGTACTCATGATCATACAGTACGAACGAGACCGAACGTGGATTCCCGAGGATTTGTAGCGAGACGTCTTACCAGTAATAGTGCGTGCAAGTCACATAAAAAGCTGAAAATGTCTTCATCATCATGGATGGCCTGCACGGTTGTAATTCAAAAGTGCAGAGATTGTGCAACCGGAAAAGCAGCGAAAAATGTGACCCTCAATGGTCGTTTTCAAATATATCTAAATGAGGAAGCAGTCAGCATTATTTCAAGATTCCGCAGTGTGTATGAGGATTCTACTTGTTGTACAAGCATTCTCAGTAAAGCAGCCAGGTGCAATAAATGTAGTTAAATCAAGTATTTACTCTGAGCAGCGTTGAACTGTACCCGTGACACTTAGTATGCGCTGCCGCATTAGGTCAGTGTGGCTGTGGCTGTGGCTGCGAGGGGCGTTGAGTAGGTGGAGCATCCAGAAAAGGCAATCTGAGTCAGCGCATACGCCGCCCACGGCGTCTAGTTGGGCTTTCTCCTCACTGCCATTCACCTCGAACTCACTATCCTTCACCAACGCCCACAGCTGTGACCTCAACGTATACGTCGCTCTTGAACTAGTGTTTGTCTCTGGATATCCTTCCCGCTGTGTCGATTGCGGTGACGCTTTCTTCAAATGCAATGTTCTACCCGCAACAATCTCCGGGTATCGCCCACAAACTCCCTGCTCATCAGCATCCCCAAGTGCACGATCAATCGCCATGGTCTCGTCAGGCGCACCACCACCCTCTCGGGCCTCCTGCACACGTGCAGCCACCTACGTCTCCGGGCTATCCCCTATTCACAAATGGCGCACTAGGCGGCATGCAGCATCATCCTCATCCCCACATCCCAGGACCGCTCGCTCACCACCACCACCATCACCAGAACTCCTTGTCTCACACACATTATCCCTCACCGCCGAATGGGCATGTCATACAGGCGCTCAACGGGTCGCCCGTCAATGCGAACGCACCGCAGATGACGGTACATTGGCAGCAGCAGTTGTTGAAGTGCGAGGTGAGTACTGAGTCGGCCGTCGTAGACATTATCCTGACCCAATACAGATGATCAGGGCATCTCGCTCGCCTCACCACCGTGCGCGGGCCAGCGCTATGGCCTCTCGTACAGTGCAGAAGTCGGCGATTACGATTACCAACCCCAATGCCATTAAGCCTACAGAGCTGAATGGTACGGGATCAAAGGACGGCGACGCTAATGGAGCTTCAGGCTCATCGCCCGTCTCTTCTTCAGCAGCGACAACAGAATCTCCCACTGCATCTGCGGCTGGTGCTGATCATCCGTCGTCGACGGTCGCACCTGTTGTGGAGGTATCGAGACCGTCCGCTCCGCGGCCGCCACAGAACACCTGGAATTCGTTGGATATGGGCGGTGTCAATATCAAGAGCATCCCGAGGGCGTCTGGCCTCTTCTCATTCACTTTCCTTACCAATCTATATCTGAACCACAACGCACTCACTACCGTTCCGCCTGAGATCACCAAGCTGCGGCATCTGGAACTGTTGGACCTGTCTGGAAACAGTCTCCTTAACGTGCCTCCGGAGCTCGGGATGCTCACGACGTTGAAGGAGCTGTATTTGTTCGACAACCACTTGACGACGCTTCCCCCAGAGCTCGGGACTCTGCATCAGTTGCAAACACTCGGAATCGAGGGTAACCCGTTGGATCCTTCTCTCAAGCAAATTGTGCAAAAGGATGGAACCCCCGCTCTTATTTCCTACCTCCGAGACTCAAGTCCCGCCCCACCTCGACCTCCTCCCCGCGAATGGATGAATGTTATCCAACCACAGGAACGTGATGCCATGGCGGCTGACCCTAATGTGGAAACGGCTCGCGTTCTGTGCTATAACATCCTATGCGAGAGATGCGCAACCGAGCGCCTTTATGGCTACACTCCATCGTGGGCACTCACATGGGAATACCGCAAGGATCACATATTGTCGGAAGTTCTCAGCCACGACGCAGACTTCGTCTGTCTGCAGGAGGTCGATAACGCCCAGTACGAAGAGTACTTCTTACCGAACTTGGCGGAGCACGGGTATGAAGGTGTCTACTGGCCAAAGTCGAGGTATAAGACGATGAGCGAGACGGATCGTCGGTTAGTCGATGGGTGTGCTACATTCTTCAAGGGGTCTAAGTACGTTTTGCACGCGGCTCTTGGATATTCTGGCGCTGACCTTGTTGGCAGATATACCCTCGTAGAGAAGCAATTCATCGAGTTTAGCGCGGTTGCAATGCAACGCTCTGACTTCAAGAAGACCGACGACATGTTCAATCGCGTACTTGGAAAAGATCACATCGCCACCATATCCTTGCTCGAGAACAAGGTGACTGGCACGCGCTTCATCGTCGCCAACACCCACATCCACTGGGACCCGCAGTACCGCGATGTCAAACTCGTGCAGGTTGCGTTGCTGGTTGAGGAAGTCGAGAAGATGGCCAACGGGTTCGCAAAGTATCCGCCACGGCTACCGCCTACGCCAGTATCAGCCGGCGGTACATCGACTGCGCCAGGCGCGGGTGACCATAATGCGTCATCCCGCCCACCACCTGTTTACACAGATGGAACGAAGATCCCCGTGATAATCTGCGGGGATTTCAACTCTGTGCAATCAAGCGGTGTCTATGAGTTCCTGTCATCCGGCACCGTCCCTCCCAATCACGAGGATTTCATGTCGCACCTCTACGGCAAGTACACTTCAGAAGGTCTTAGACATCGGCTAGGACTGAAGAGTGCGTACACAACCGCGGGAGAAATCCCGATGACGAACTACACGCCGGGCTACACCGGGGTGATCGACTACATATGGTACTCAACGGCCAATTTGTCGGTGAACGCGGTCCTTGGCGAGGTCGACAAGACTTATTTGAAGAAGGTGGTTGGGTTCCCGAATGTCCATTTCCCATCAGAGTACGTGTCCACATTCCTACTGGTATAATCTACGCGAAGCTGACGATTGATTTATCTACGCCAGTCATCTGTGTATCGTCTCTGAGTTTCGTGTGCGACCGCCACGAGACCCACAGCCTCGTGCGCCCCCTGTATTCCCAGAGTCTTCTCGGGCGTACATGTAGTTATCTGAGGTGATATAGGCATGATGGCTCGACACTCCCGCGTTCATTGGTCTTGCCTTCATCTTCTTTGTATATATATTTTATTCTTGTAGATATGCTCCTTGGCATGTCCCTCCTCCGCGTTCAATGTTCAATAAACCCCTCTCATTTTTCTTCTACTGTTCTTCATGTCATGTCATGTTGTCTTGTCCCTGTCTTGGCCGTACCCCGTCGTCCTCTGTCACTGTTTTGCTTTCCGGTCTAGTCTATCCTGTCGCGTTCAACACCCTGCAATCATTGTAGCATGTGCGTGTACGTCTCCTTCAATCACGAAAAATCTTTCAGTCTCAGGTCAAGGCGAGCTCAAGTGATCAGCCGCAAGGCTTCGTCTTTTGCTTGATCTCTGTCTCCGATCTTCGATCGTTTATCAGTATTACTATCTCGCGTTGAGTCCACTGCCGAGTCACAGTAGCTTCAAGGTATTTTTAAGGTCCAGTTCTCCGTTCCGTGATGTATCGCCATTCGTCCAACAGCGCCCAACTCGCCGCAGACCATACAAGTATATAAGCGCCCAATATTATAGCCGTACGATTTGAGATTTCGAAACATCGTGCAATGCTTCGGAACGGTCAAAAGCCATGTCCGCTCTCTGTCCACTCCCATACCTCTGCCCACGATGTCCGTCTATCAAGCCACAACCTCTGCACCTGTGAACATTGCATGCATCAAGTGAGTGATACTGTACGCAGTAGCGACGATCGCTCACGGTCGACAGGTACTGGGGCAAGCGGGACACCAAGCTGATCCTGCCCACAAACTCGTCGCTCTCAGTCACTCTTGACCAGGACCACCTGCGGTCGACGACAACCTCGCGCGCGGACCCGTCGTTCAAGAAAGACAGGCTCTGGCTCAATGGCGTCGAGGAGGAGATCAAGGACGGCGGCCGGATGGCCACATGCATTCAGGAGATGAAGCGCCTTCGAAAAGAGGTAGAGGCGAAGGACTCGAGTCTGCCGAAGGTGTGTCCTTATGTTCTATGCTTTATCAGGTGACAAACACCACAAATCTAGCTGTCCGGATACGCGGTGCACATCTGCTCTCGCAACAACTTCCCCACAGCTGCCGGCCTCGCTTCCTCTGCCTCAGGGTTTGCCGCCCTCGTCTCCTCCCTCGCCGCCCTGTATGCTCTTCCCGCCACACCGTCCGAGCTGTCCCTCATTGCCCGCCAAGGCTCCGGGTCTGCGTGCCGTTCCCTCTTCGGCGGTTTCGTCGCCTGGCAAATGGGCTTCAAGCCCGACGGCTCCGATTCGCTCGCCATCGAGGTCGCCCCGCGCGAGCACTGGCCGGATATCCACGCGCTCATCTGTGTTGTCTCCGACGACAAGAAGGGCACATCGTCCACGTCGGGCATGCAGCGCACCGTCGAGACGTCGGCGCTCCTGCAGCACCGCATCGCACACGTCGTCCCTGCGCGCATGGAGGCGATCACCGCCGCGATCCTTGCGCGCGACTTTGATGCATTCGCACGCATCACGATGCAGGACTCAAACCAGTTCCACGCCGTCGCCCTCGACACGGACCCGCCGATCTTCTACATGAACGACGTCTCGCGCGCGATCATCGCGCTCATTGTCGAGTACAATCGCGTGTCTGTCGCCAATGGCGGCAAGCTTAAAGCTGCGTACACGTACGACGCCGGCCCGAACGCTGTCATCTACGCTCCCAAGGAGAACCTGAAGGAAATCGTGGAGCTCATCATCAACTACTTCCCGCAAGCCGAGCCGTTCAAGGACCCCTTCGGACTCTTTGGTGCCGCGGGCGTACAGGGTAAGGTGGTAGACGGATTCAACCCTGCTGTTGCGCGGCCGTTTGGCGTCGGCGCTGTGAAGGGCCTCATTCACACTAGGGTTGGTGACGGGCCCAGAGTTCTTGGAGCGGGCGACGGTCTGTTGGGTGCCGATGGTCTGCCAAGAGCAGACTGAGGTCGCATTCGTGTTAGATCTATCTCATTTGGGTCGTGCTGGTGCGGATGTACGTTCGTCGAATGTGTACAATTGACCTGGTTGCCACCATATAGATTGCTTTTGAGATGCGTGCCTGCGCTGATTCGCTTAGTGATGCTTGACCAGCTGCATGCTACGTTCCGCTATGGATGGCTAAATGTAGGTTGCTTTTCTGACAACTTCGCTGAACGTTCTGTCAAAGTCGACATATGTTCACGCATACGTGAAGGGAAGGACAAGTGTGAAGAGTTGGAACCATATATAATGTCGCGATTCTGCCGTGTTTGGTGCATTCCTCATGTTCATTCCCTTGCCACTGACCGCCGCTCGTCTTTCCACTCGCCGCCAAGCCCTTCACATCCGCACTTGCGCTCCGTCTCGCACCATCATGGCACCCCCTAAGCCCAATACTAAACCTCCAAAGAAGGCCGCAGTCATTCATAACGTAGCCAAAATTGCCTCCGAGAGCGACAAGTTCAGGAGGGTCGTCTGGACCGGAAAGCACAGCCAGGTGGGCTTATAAGCCGTCTCGCACCAAAACTCGCTCAGGCTACATACCGACTGACATGACGACGCGCAGATGGTCATCATGACCGTCCCTGTCGGTGGGGAAATTGGAGAGGTCAGTCATTGGTCGTTCCGGCTATGCCTTAGCTATCAACTATTTGTTATATGCAGGAGACGCATTCCGTGGATCAGCATCTCTACTTTGTGTCTGGTACCGCACAGGTGATCACAGAAGGAAAGCACGTATGTATTGTTTTCGTTGGTCACGCCCTGTGCCCCTCATGTCTAGTCGTTCTCTAGAAGGATAACATCAGCCCGGGGGACCACGTTATCATTCCAGCTGGGACGCTGCACAACGTCGGTTGATATATGCGTCAATAGCAGTACCAGAGCACTCACGAGTCGTTCTCCCAGTTCCTTAACACAGGTCCTAATCCTCTCATAGTCTCCACGGTAAGCGTGATAGTCCTCATTAGTCAAGAAAAATCTTATGGTGTTGGCAGGTGTACGCTCCCGCGGAGCACAAAGCGGACACGGTTCACGACAGTCTGGAGCAAGGTGAAAAACTTGAGGATGAAGGCAAGGATGAACCTCCGGAGTGGGCGAGGAAGTGATCGTCGGGTCACTTGGTGCATCGCATGTTGACTGGAGAAGATACGAAGTGCCAAACCGTTGTTATGTTTTGGATGTATAACGCTGGAGCGTCATGAAAATATTTGTACATACTGCATCATGCGCTGGGGCAGTGAACATTCAGCTGCACGAGCGCTCGGTATGCGAACATACTGATCGACGCGGACTTATCGCGCTTAGCGATCTCGGAGCACAGCGACGCTTGCCCTTATACGACCCTCACCACTGTCATCTCATCCCTACTTTCCATACGCGATTTATATACATAACTTGTTATCAGCGACGCTGTGCAGCTAGCAAAGGGTTTCAAATGCAGGACAACGACATCCCTCCAACTGTACCGCTGAGGTACTCCATTGCTGGGTGTTCAGAGCATAGCGGGACCTTTGTCGCGGAGAACATCCTAGTGGACAACCCTACAGACAAGTCTAGCCGATGGAGTGGCGCATACAACTCGTCCAATGCCAAACAATGGGTCCTGCTACGCCTGGCAACCCCCTGCATACTCAGTTGAGTGCGAGCGTCTCGGGTTACAGCCAAAGCTGTCTGCTGAAGCTGCGTCAGAGAGCATAACGTTCGGGAAGGTATGGTAAACTATGTCTTCATAGAACGAACATCTCAAGTATGCGTTGCCAGCATTATAAACGTATGTAGCCAGGCGAACAATACCTCGTGAACGTTCACACATATGGCAACGCAGAACATCCATGTAATATGAAAACGTTCAAGGTCTACGTTGGGCAAACTGAGGACAACATGATTGAAGTAGATATCTACTGCTCAGGCTGATTGCGTCGTATTCACAAGATCGACAGGCCATCAGTGGTGCCCTCAAGAACGATCCCGAAAAGGAGACTTTCTCCATCCGACACAGAAACAGTGCTGGCATTTTCTTCCCTACTCGCTATATCAAGATTGTGCCTATCTCGTGCGTCTTGTCCATCTTATGGAGGTGTACGTCGACTGACCGCGTGTGTTGCCTGACTCAAGTGCCCATGACCCGCACTACCATACCTCAATCTGGTATGTTGCCCTTTCTGGAGTTTCTGATGAAGCATATATGAAGATCATATGTGAAGCGCACGAAGAGGCAAGGTCTCAGGACGATTACTATTTTACGACCCACTGAGTGGACCATTTTCTAGTATCACGAGGCGTCTGTGCTCCGGCACGTCCTTAAACACCTACGCAAGCGGCGCTTCCTTACCCCTTTCGCCGACATACTTTCGCGCTGTGGTATTCAGCTCGAGCACCCGCGTGTGACAGACCTATACGACAGTATCGTGCTCCAGGGGAACTGGCCCCGCTCGGAAGAGCTCCTCCAGCGCCTCGCATCCGAGGGCCTGCTTGATGAACACCAGCGCGCTAGCCCTCTCCGTACAGAGTGGACGCGGCTACACGGCTTGGATGCTGACGGCGACGCACCATGCAGGCGAGGGGGACACGCGATGTGTATGGACGAGGAGAACGGGCTGATCTACCTCTTCGGCGGATGGGACGGCCAGCGCAACCTGGACGACTTCTGGGTATACGACGTGCGTGCGGACGTATGGCGTCTACTGAGCCTTGCAACTGGTCGCGATCTGAATGGCCCAGGCCCGCGCTCGTGCCACAAGATGGCCTTTGACAGGAAAACGGGATCGATCTACGTCTTGGGACGGCTGCTCGATAGCGATGACGTCGATCAGCCCGCGATGAACAGTGGAAGCGTTAATTCTCCTAGTGATAGTTCAGGCGTGCCGGACATACGCGCTGCTTCGGCATCGCACACGGTCGATATCCCACGAGCAGGGAGCGTTACGCGACTCGTATGGCCTTCCACCCCGTCTGAGTTCTATCGATACCATACGCGCGGTCTTGATGCGGGAAAGTGGGACTTGTTGACCATGGACACCCAGGTCTCGTATAGTCTCAATCATCTGTAATTGCATATCTAATCACTCGTTTAGCAGGTGTGTGGAGGACCGCCATTGATATATGATCATCAAATGGTGGTAGATTCCGAGGCGCAAGTGATCTATGTCTCGGGGGGACGCATTTTTGACAGAGAACTGCGCATGAACAAATACATAGGCCTTTTTGCATACGACATTCGCAAGGGGTCTTGGAAAGAGCTCAGGTCAGCGATCCCCCAGCCTTCTCGTAAAACCATGTACTAAATATACTGCAGAGTTCCTGGGGCAATTCCCACTGTTTTCCAACGATTCGGTGGGTAAATCGTGTCGATGTATCTCTGATTCGGCGCTGATTCGTCATGGTACAGGGCACTCAATGTTACTGGAACCATCGTCTCACACACTGATCATACTTGCCGGCCAGTACAGAGAGCAGTACGCGGCCGACATGCATGCGTATCATATACCGACCGGCACATTGACAGAACTCTTCTCGAGTGTCACTGCTTCAGGCGGACCGGAAGCATGTTTCACGCAGCGCGCAGCTATTGATCCAGACCTCAAAGAGATTTACGTGTGAGTAGCTGTACGTATAACATCGTGGTTGCCTTGGCTGATAGCTCCTCTGCTATATGATAGCTTCTATGGACTCATACGCGATAGTCCCGGTGTTACTGTGCTCGACCCTGCGTCATCCGTGTGGGTATATCGTTACGACCGGCCAGACCGCCCGGGAAAATGGAGCAACACCTCGCCGGCCGACACCTCTGGTGGGAATTCTCCCCATGGCGACCCAATCAGCGCGGAGACACCACAGCCGCGCTACGCCCACCAGGTTGTCTACGATCGACGCAGCAAGATCGCATATATGCACGGTGGAACCTCTGGGGTCGTGACCAATGTAGCCAGGACCCCAAGTGAATGGACAGGAGATTGGCCAGTACAAGCATTGGAGGGCCTATGTGCCGTAACGGAGGTCCGGCTCGACGATTTCTGGAAGTTGCAGTTGGAGCGGTATGTCGGCCATACGTTGCGAAGACAACTTCTCAGTTAGTCTCTTGTAGGCCGGCCTTATCGGATATTCTACGTCGTGGCCTATTTGAACTACGGCGTCAACAGTGAGTGGCTACGGTGCTTATTTGACCATACAGGACTCTCACCCTCCGCTCCAATACCCTTCGAAAAAGCTTCCGCGAGCTATGCGAGGATGCACCGCCTGTGAAGGCACTCACATTCTTGCAGAGAGAAGTGTCGGCCGTTGTAGATCACAGGATTCAGGAAGAGGCACACGATTTTCACTCTTTATTGTCGCATCTCCTGGCTGTGCCGCCAGGAACATCGTCAGAAAGTAGGCTGCTCGTGACTTCAGTTTCAGATCCGCTCGGGCAATGCCACCTAACATTTCTTCCATGGCAGACTCCTCGACCCAATCCTCGTCGCAGGACGCAGATATGCCGAATACCGAAGCACCTAGAGAAGAATTGATGGACGGGCCCCCCGCCTTGGTATATACGATGGAAGTGGATCCACAAGAAACGAGCAGAGGCGATTCACCCTCTCCGGCCAGATTCAAACAACGGACGGAGCTGTTCGAGAAATTGCTTGTATTCGTGAATACGAGCGCAAAAGAGCCTGAGAAGGATTTATCGGAATTAGTCAACACGGATAGGGAGGAATGAGCACGAGAAGAGGAAGCCTTGCGGAGATGGCATTCGGTATCAGGGCTTATTGTACACGTTAACGTCACCAAGGTTAAGCATTGTACTTCTAGACCTATGATCGGGAAACACCCTGTTCAATCAGAAGATATTCGCCGATCTACTCATCGAGATTGATCGCCCGACCAAACTTCGCGTACAGTAGCACCTTCAGCTCCTTCATCGTCTTCTCAGAATCTTCAACACGCTCGTTGAGCTTAGACAACTCATCGGTGAGACGATGTTGGTCCTTCTCCAGTCTTTTCATGGCGCGAGCGTGAGATAGATGGAGGAATGCTTCTCCAACTTTGTACCTGTGTCATATGTGATCAGACCAGGTATGTTCGAGACCTACCTTACTGACGTACATGATAGGTTGGTCCTCGTCCGCGAGCTCGATTTCCATGGCTAAATCGTCGAGTGTTTCCTTTTCTTGCTGATGTACGACCGTTGACTCGTCGCAGCCCTTGCCTGAGGGAAGAAGTCGCACTTACCTTCAACCCCTCCATCTTCTCCTCCAGATTTTGACGTCGCGTGTTCAACTTTGAGAATGTGTTTATCCGCTGCTGGTCCTCTACGAGGCGAGCGGCGGTATAGCACTGAGTTCATGTCACGAAAGCATTCAGTTACATACCCCAAGTCACCTCGGCGGTGTCATCGTTTTCATCATCTTGAGCGAGCTGCGAATATCGAGTTGTCGACGGCAAGTAGGTAGACGAAAACCCATGTTGGACGCACCATGCGCATTGTTTCGCCAGAGACCTAGGCGAGCAGGGCACGCGTGAACTGACAGAGTTCAGCAGAGGTCGAGTTGCAGCGCTGCTAGGGCCTGTTGCAGGATGTACGCCGTTCTGACGTTGTCGGGCACGAATATGATCGCACATCAATTGTGGTATTGTCACATGACCATCGGACTGCAATGAGGGCTCGGCTCCATTTGCCAGTCGTCGTCCGACGGATCTCTTCTTCCTCGTTCCACCAGTATGGCATTGCGGCGTCCTTATCGACTTCAGCCAACATGACCCCTCTAGACACTCCAATTCGCACATCAGAATGTATTGATACTGGCGAAGCAGTGAAGCGCTCTGATCATCCGAACAGGTCCTTCAAAGTTCAAGCCTTCAGGACCTGGAATGACTTTGTTTGTCAGGTCTGCCCCATAGTAGGATTGACAAATGTCAATAACCTTACTTTTGATGGTATTTATTCGTCCAAATCCAGTATTTACGCAGCTTCGCCTGTATATACGCCTTCTTACTATAACGTGTCATCTCACCAAGGTTCAAAAATGATATGCTGTTACGCTTTGCAAATCTGATCTACCTGGTCCAACATCAGACGTCTGAATTTCATTGCAACAGTGGAGGACGTTTTCCTCTGTATTGACAAATTTCAGCTCCTACAATAGCAACCGGTTGGGGCATCATTCCCGATGGATAGAATTGGCGTGACGCGCATCACCAGGTGGCCAGCATAAAAATCACGGAGGACAAAATGGTATCCGTTTTCACAGCTCATCCCACTCGATGAGAAGGATGTTCTCATCTTGGGCTATTGGCGCTCATAGGACGGGAGCATGAGCATTAGTACAGTCAGTGCGCGTGCACCTTACCTTTTTGCAATCGTCACGAGATGCTCACGTTGTCCTCCCGTATTTCGAGTGACAAAATTTATTCACCCAAACCACCATATTGCGCAGTGCCGTATGTGATACACTTTCCAAGGGCTTATGGCCAATGCAGGTTCTAACGAGGCCTTGCTAGAGCTACTAGATATTCTCGGGTCACAGGAAGGCCGCTGATAGAAGTCAATGCGGCGAGAAACCTTCGGTCGCCACGAAGGCCCAGGCCTAGCTTGCGGTATAAGGCGCTGTAAGTTTGCAATGGAAGGTAGCTATAAGCCATACCGTACCTGGCTCCGCGCCCAACGGCAGACATTTGTGCAGTACAACGCGACCTATGCCGACCGCCCGCACTTTATTCCGAGCGGCTGCGTACCGATGATCCGTCGGCGTATCCAGCATAAATAAGCAGTCATGAAGACATGGAACAGACGATTTATGCTGTCTGAAAGTACGCGTGTCTCACGTTTGCCCTAAAACCATAGGAATGCCGTTTGAATTCCTATGGGATAAGAAACCGCAAAGAGCCGTGCAACGGGAGAGCTAAAAGGTCCACAAAACCTGATTCCCAATCAGCTCTCCGATCCTATTCCACTTGTGTCTTCCACCGCCAAGATGTGCTTCTATATCACCACGTATAGGCAGTACTCCTGTGGGCACGAGATACCTGAGCTGCGACAGTGGGTGAGTACAGCGAAATGTTCGCCCGCCTGATTGCTAGGAACAAACCCGAATGATGCAGGTCGATTGCAATCAACGGAGGTGTCGCTTGAGCCAGAGGCATGATCCCACCGAGCACAGCTGTCCTGACGAGTGCACGGACATGTAAGTAACAAGAATGTAGACTGAGCCTCTACTGACCTCGACGTCGGCAGTCCCCGTGTCGACCAACACCTCGTAGTCGGCTGGCCACCCTTTCAGTGCAATGCCTGCCGTGGGATACACACAGCCAATGGTAACGGAAACGGGACTACGAGCGAGCCCAGCAGCAGCGAGGATGAAGAATCAGAGGAAGAGGAAGAGGAAGAGATGGAGCTGTAAAGCCGGCGGGCGCGGACGTTGAGGGTATCGTCGAGCTGTCGTAATGTTCAAGACAGGTGCAATGATGTTTGTTTGATAGTGTCGGTAGGAAAATGTAACCGAGACGCCTTGGGGTTAGCACCACTGTTGAAGGCGTGCGGCGTGGGTGTGCCTCCAGTGAGGCGGAGCTCTCCCCGCGCGGCGATGGAAACGGCTCCCTGAATGCGTGGTCCCCGTCTGGCCACCCAGGACCTTGTCTGTCCACAATGCTGGCCGGTTCTGCGGACGCCACGGCGAGCTATTCCCATTGGGATGAGAGGTGGGGCGGTTGAATGCGGGCCAACGGGACATGGCTGTCCCGTCGGTCGCTGCGAGTGATATTCTCGATGTGAACATAATCCGAGGCTGGACAGGTCCTTAGTGGGTACTAGCGCAACTTGGGGAGAGTTCATACTACAGGCAAGCAGCAGGGCGAGGAAGGGAGAGAGGGGACGAGATGATGGAAGAAAGGAAGCGAGTAAGCAAGAGCCGGGATAACGCGTGTGTTTCCGCAAACACTCAATCAACTTCAGCTGCCCTCCCATGTGTGTTTGCGCGGTCTCGGCAGGTTCACACAGCTGCCCCACCACTGACCTCGTAATTTACAGCCCAGATTTGGGCAAGTAGCTCACAGAGAAACACCCCATCACGCATTGTCTAGAGGGACGGTCAACCCGTTAGCTGTGGACTGGAAAGGACAGCGGCGGCGAGAATACGCACCAGTGCCAAGTCCTAGTAAATTCAAGAACGACACGCCCCAACCATCATCATTTACTGTCTGCTAGACCGCAGAGCCTCATGACTGCAAACATCGGATTCTTCTTCAACTTGCAGGCGTGAACGGTGTGCTGCTCCGCGCTACAGTGATGGGGCAAACACTGATTGCTCTTGTTCTGCAACATTACAGCATGCAGGATATGAGCCGTGTACGCAGGGATTTCCCGAACGCGAACATGAATATCCAAGGAGCTCTGCGCCGGCGCACAATTACGCAGGGCAACCAGCGCTTGTTTCCCCGCTTTCGTCTCACAGCACTCACCGACAGGTCGGCGCGAAACGAAAAAAGGGCTGTTGGGAATATCAACCTGCCGCATCACCAACGCCCAGGTAGCTCTACACTCTGCAGGCGACCTCCACCGCGCACCACCAGTAGGCAACGCTCACCTCACATAATGTCTTCGCCCACATCTCTCATTGTCTCCTCGTCCCTTCAAGGCTCCCATATTGTAACGTGTTGGTCTATGCATCTATCATGCGACCAACGCCTCGAGGCACGACACTTTTCAGCATGAAGGGAACCGCTCAAGTACATCGATGAGGTCGATACGGATGGAGGCCTGGGTCATCGGTTCGTGAGGTACGCTTTCGTCTGCGCGTTCTCTGCCTGTCCGTGCTGAACCGTACTACATATGCATACCGCAGGCTACTGTTGTAACGGACATCCCACAAATTGCGGTTTGAGCGTCAGTTTGCAAGCGTACCTTTCGCATATCGGGCAGTTTGTTACCCTATGGGTAGATGCCGCTGCCGTCGCCGCTGGTTTTCCCGAAGCATGTCTCAGGCCAAGGTTTTCGTGGTGACTACCGTTAATATATGCATCAGCGTTGTGTCCGCATCTGGGATGGCTGCGTGCGATCAAGTACGGATCACGAAACTACTCCCAGAGATTGTAAAACATCTCTCAAACATGATACATTGAGGACGGGGGTTCTTGCTTGCGCAGGGCCGCTGATATTGCCGTCTAATTCACATGGGCTACGTGATTTGATCCGTCTGACAGACCTGCAAGAGCATGAGTAATCCATAATCTTCGAGCACGGACATTGGTAAGGTGGGGTGACGTGCTCGTTTGCCTTTGTGGATCATGGGCTTGGACCGGGTAGCGCAGTGCAGGCAAAACGCAACTTTATAGGGTCGTCACGGCCTTGACGTCGTGATGGATGGATGGAGTCCATTGGTGTTGTAAACACCACTATCTTGTATGTTCACCGACCTATATTACACATAGCATACGCACGCTGAGCTCACCACGATATTTACCCAGTGCGTGGAAAAGACATAAGATAGCAGATGCAGCGTTTACGTAGGAGTGTTTGAAGGCGCGTCTCGCGGGGTCCAGTCCGCTGCGGCCATTCGCCTGCAATACGCTGGCCTGTAATGAATTCTTGTTCTCCCGAACCAAAAAAAAGCGAAATAATAACCGGTGAGAATAGGCCGCACATGTTCCACGCTCCGCGAGCTCATGATACATCTTCCAGGGATCACTGGCGTGTTCTGATTACATGCTCACATAGACAAGACGTGACCACATGTGTTGGCGTCGACGTTAATCTCCTACGCAACTTGTTCTAAAGCCTCCGATCGCATGTGAATGACGAGCTTTGTCGCGTCTGTTCACTGTATGTGTCAGTAGGGTACACGGGCTGCAGATGCGGGAGGACATACCTTCTTGTCGTCTCGTCTGGCCGTCCACATTGGTGTCATAGATCAAGAGTGAGTATCGTTTCACAAAAGCATTCGTGTACGCATGCCAGTGGGTACCACCTTGTGCCGTTTGAGCCCAACTGGCTAGCGCGTAACATGACCTGGCTGCGTCCAACGCCCCGGGCTCATACATGAAACTCGGCAGTTCCCATTTTGCTATGCTTCGACAGAGTACAAGCCCCACGCTATGAGCCTGAGTCCTTGTGCCATGCCCCCTATCGCAGACCGTGACGGAGAACATCATTCTGTGTGTGGCTGAGACGCGAGTCTACGCTGCGGTGGCTGCACATACGTGAGCTCCCATGTGGATCCTTTAAGGGCTTCACTATTCCTCCCTTTCTTGTAGGCGGTGCAGCTATGACGCTCCGTCACCCAGGATGCTTGACCAACCTCAAGCTTTCCTTCTCTCATACTCGGTCTGCCCAGGGCGCTCGTCTCTGTCAATACGGGGTCGTTCAAGGCAATGGTGCGGTGGTTGTCATACAGTCGGTTGCTCGCTCCGCATGACAAAGGCCAAAGGCGGAATGCCGTGAATCTCTTTTGAGATGGGCCAAGAGAGCGGTCCTCGGCCTTTGTCCGTCTTCACCCGACTCGGAGGTTGTGTATCGCTACTCGAGCTCAACCTAATGGGCAGCAACTTGGAGGCTTCTCGGCCAGATTCGATATCCAATGGTGTGTCGCATTCCCTTGTCAAGCCTGCAGTTCTCACGACGCAACCGATGTAGGAGTGAAGCTGTTTGAGTCCACGCTGCTACACGATACCTCCGACCGACCGTCCACAAACTCTCACTGCCTTCACATCGGTTCAGGCTCGTGTTTCTCAATCCCTGGTACATGCTGACACCACCAGCTATCCCTTCTACTGCATCAACGACATCAGCGAGTCTGCCGGTGAGGCTTTAAGACTTCCGGCTGCGTGGTCGTCTCGCGAATCTGGTGATGATCGATCAACGTTCAATGCCGGACCGGCTGCAATTTGTGGCTACCCCAGTACTTCTGACTTCGGTCTTCGCCGCCACCGTCTGGTTGGACGGTGCTCATACTACGTGCGGCAACGAGTCGATTCTCTTCGGCGTCGCTATCATGCGAAGAAAATGCGTGCTTCAGCTCTGAGATCCCGATTGCGTGTACAGACATGTCGAAAAGAGCACCAGGTCTACTAATACAACGATATACAAGAATCGAGACGGGCAAAAAACTCTGATATACAACGAGTCAGACGTACCGAGGCCCGCGATTCATCGAGCTAACTCAAAGAGGGGCGGGTGCGATGTGGGTCTGCCGCTTCGTGCGATGGTTTGATGTAAGCTTCTTGCGCGGGCGTTCAGATTGACGGCAATTGACCCGCACGCCATTGCCCAACAGGTGCTGTATCTGTTCCAGTGATGTCTTCTAGGAAGGCAAAGCTATGTGCACACCTTCGTAAGCGAGGTAGAAGCACGCAGTCCCGGGAAGTCTTTGGTAGAGTATATCCTGAATCGACCGCCACTGCACTCCGCAATTGCAACGTGACCTCTCCCGGTTGGGATACTCGATAAGATGTCGAATGCACGGTAACGCAACGCAAACGTTCCCTCTGATTTGACAGCGAGATCCTACAGGGTAGACGAAAGCATCAGCGTGTAGACACCACAGAGGTTTGAGGGAAGACACTACCGAGAACACAAACAACAACGCCTTTTTGCCCACATAATCCGTGCAGGTCGGCGAAACAGTTTGAGATCCACACAGTATCTCATTGGAAGTCATGCTTTCTGGGTAAGTGCCACTTCTGGTTGGTGCTAGGTCATCCGCAGGTGACACTACGTTGCGGTCGCCAAGATGTGTCTGAGGTCGAGTCGACAGATGTGTGGATGACGACTCCGCCTCCAAGACGGACAGTTGCCATGCTGTGGAGGCTGAGACCGAGGATGGCCCTGCGTACGGTGGATTGAACCTATGAAAAGGCTGAATGGAATTGTCGACGGGAGACTCTGTCTCCATTAGCGACGCAAGGCCTGCTTGGTCATCGGAGTGAGGGGGTCGTGACACGCTGGAGGGATCGTCATCATTGCTCCATTCCATGGATTCTGGCCCCGTTTCTTTCGACCTGTGTGGAGCATGCGCTGGAAACAGGTCTGCATGGCATATAAGGCCGACAGTGAGAGCATCACTGAGATAGATGCAAAACATTAGGCGATAAGGCGCTGCAGAGCTGTCGGTCACAGACGCACGTATACACAATTTCTTCTTCCGTTTCTTGGGAGGTTCCGGGATTGTGCACCCGAAAGATTTGCAGCTGAACCACGGGCGGTGGATCAAGCGGTCGCCTGTCTTTCAAGCCATATCTAGAGTAGAGAGCCACGCCATGCGCTATCAGCACCGGTGTTGCTATCGTAGGTCCGTGTAACACACTTGCGACCAAGATCGGCCTTTTGCAGCTCCTTCAACTCGGTGCGCACAGTGAAACCGGCGAGGGGACCTGTGAAAACGACAAAGTGTTTGCCAGAGGAGTTGGAAGAACGTCCCTTTGTGCTCGGTCATCGCTATGGTCCAATCCAAATGCGAGGAACATCCATACTGCACCAGTATTAGACATGATGAAGTCTGTCTGTACACGCATTGGCTCCTTGTCCACCTTAATAGCGGTGTGCCGTATCAGAGAAGAGACTAGGGAGTTCAGCGCGACTTAGGGTTTGCTCACCAGTGGAGTGTAACTACCAACGCAGTTCGTAACGGAATCTCAATCACTGCTTCAGGAATGTTGCTAGAAGGATTTGTCGATGAACATCAGCACATTCTCTACACGAGGCAGCAGCGAATTGACCTTTTATCGGGAATAAGCAAGGAGTGGCCAGACAGTCACTTGTCGATAAATCCTGACGCACCTCTTCACGAGTGAGGTCGTCTTGCGATAGGGTCAATGTCATACAGACTCCGAGGACCCGGGAACGATCGAGCGCTCGAAATAGCAGCTAGCGATTGAAACGTGACGTCGCGCTTACACGAATAGATTGCGTGCTGAGAAACAGCCATTCGACGTTGGGGATATTATTTTCGCTATTCGTTGTCGCAGGTGGGTTCCTCCATCCTGTGTATCGGTCGAGCTTCTCATGGAACGGCGTCAGAGACCTATGAAGCGAGCTCTATGCAACGTCCATACAGCAGTGACTTCGGCTACACGTAAAACACGCAAGTCTTCAGTACATATACGCATACAGTCGGAAGCTACTCACATCTGGAACCTAGTATTTGTGTGGGTTTCCTATTGAGAATTCGGACAACGGAACAGCGTCAGCGCAGAGGTAGGAATAGCAAATCATATAGGCTCTGCTAAGCGTTGATTGGTCGTGCGATCGTGCTTTCGTCTACGTTGACGCAAGCGCACTCACAGTTGACCTCGAACAGATACAACCGCCGTCAGTGCTTGTTTTACACAGTTACATATCAGGTGCGCTTCCGCTGGTCACAGATATCATCATCGGGGTCTGCCTGCCGGGGCCGACGTCTTGGCGACCAATAGTGCAACAGGCCATTCAGGGCTATGTCTTCGCAGGATGCTCTTGACGTCAAGCGCGCGTAGGCACTTCGGGGTTCGGTTCGCAGAACCTCACCCTGTCTCGCTAGAGTTTCGTCCAAATTGCAGAAAAAGCTACGAAAATAACACAAAGACTAGCAGGCCCACTCAACAGAATAGTACGAGCACAAGGTGTCGACAATCGGCTATCCCAGCTCCCGAACCTGCATCCGGTCCGCGGAGCAGGAGTTCATTTCATCTACTTACCCACCTGCCCATTCATCAACGCATTCGATAAGATCACTGTTTGAGTAGTATCTTGCTTGGTCTACGGTTTCACGACCCGTCACAGCAGGCCGGTTCGAAGAATGGCTGTACGAGTGTTCACGAGCGTACGTGTGCTCTATCCAGACAAGCAACGAGTGGACCTGTAAGAACTACGCACCGATATGGAGAAAATTGAATGGAGCTCATGCCGGAGACAGCATTGCCTGTTACGCCGACTGGCGTGTAGGGGTGTGCAGTCTGAATGAATTCCGTAACCCTGGGTGCATAAGTGTTTGAACCCAAGTGAGTGGATACACTTAAATGGACGATTTGCCATGCTAGCGTTCGATAGTACGCGTCCTGATCCACACTTGTGACGGACTGGTTTTTCTTCTTGCAAGGCTAGTGCTTCAACGTAGGCACACATATGGATTGCAATAGACGAATGAGAAACGACGCGCTATGACTCTCAGTACCGACTGTGCAATGTAGGGTCAATATATGTATCATCTATCTGAGGTCAACAAGACATACTGCACCGATCATATGCCTTGCGCTGCAGCTCAGCGACATGGTTTTTCAGAGATGATACAGCCAGAAGAAACCGAGAAGGAGACTGCTCAGACCATACATGATATATGCATGAGTCAGGAGGGAGTGCGGGCTAGTAAATTCTGAGCGGTGTCGGACATGAGGGGCGAGGAAAGAGTCCCGTGCAGGATCGATGATGGAGGTGGGCTTGAACGTACGGCATGACAGAGGCCTGTCGGCTATTTCGGCCTTTCCGTCGCCAACTCAAATTCTTGGTCTCCTACCACAGCTTAGTATCTTGCACGGCGGACGAATAAAACAGTATTGCACAGGCTCGAAGGGCGTGGGTATCAGTTGCAGGTATGAGCTGCCCACTTCGACGATGTCGTCTCACATCTTACTCCTAAGGCACATCTTGGTGCCAATCTCTCTCCGAAAGGTGCTGAGGGTTGACTCGGGGAGCCTATAAAGATAGCATGAGGACACCAGAAGTACTGGAGGCGTCAACAGACTGAGCGCAGAAGAATGTGAGCCACTCTTTGCCTTAAATCACTCGCAAACTACGATCCGGACTGCTATCACACTGCTCGTTCAGAGTCATGGCTCGTGCAATGGCTTGATACTCCTCCCTTGATCCCCAAATTGAACACTGCCGGATCAGAGAACGCGCATGCTCTCTCCAGCTGCATCACAGCGTCTAGAGCCAGCATATCCCGACACACCGATGACACATGGTGCAGGTGCGCCGCCGAGTGCGTGCTCAACGCCGGCTCAGAGGGCGCACTATGTTTTTCACGGAACATCAGTGTGCCGCCTGAGCTGTCTAGGCGCGTAAGGCGCGATGAGGATGGCCCTGTTCTAGGGCCATGGCCAGCTCACTCTTCGCGACAATGCCCACGGAATTTGGCTAGGCTATGTCCTGCATGTTAGATCCTGACGACAAATGTTCTTATACAGGAGCAATGCAGAGCATCCCCAAGAGCTTTCTAACATGAGACCCAGGTATGGTATCCGAACCATGGGCGTAGACTAAAGGAGAGCTTTGATCCCAGTGATTCTGTCTGTGCCAGAACGAACCGGAAACACGAAGTGGAGCGTACCGTGTATCCTTCCACCCCAGGAACTTTGGTTATGAGAATCGGCCAGGTCCTCTATTCGCGAGATATCTTCATGAAACGCCGCGAATGTATAACGGATGCGAGTTACAAGCCACGATAACTACAAGCAGTGGTTTGACGTAGCAACATCTCCTATTGGCGGGACTCACATGCATCGCTTGCAGACGAGCGACAAGGTCATAGCTCCAGACGACCATAAATTGCAGATTATCAGCTCGCCAATGTGGTCTCCACATCTTGTGTGCTACTCACCGGACATACTATCTGGGTCCCGGTCGCTGGCTCTCTAGACTTCTCTAAAACTTCGTGTAGACAGGATCATCTCAAAAGCTCCATGCGGCGAAAAGAATGCGTGTCTGTCGCACCATGTATTCGGGTTGCTGACCAAAATGCCGGGAAGTCACCCGCAGACGCTGCACGATGGTCTCGGCCATCTGTCGCCTCATCGAACCCTCGCGTCGGACGGGGTCTCAGGCTGGTCGTCTGTGTTTCATGAAGCCACATAACGTCCTGGTTTCTTTACTTCCCTGCTTTCATCGTATAAAATCCTCGAGTACGTGCGGTTGCTTGACATCGATGGATGAGGTCTCTCGATGACAAACAATTCTCTGATTGGAGCCAGAATATTCACCAGCTTGCCGGTCAAGCGTCGACACGTCTCCATGCTGGAACTTGTCTTGCACCTGCAATTCTGCTCACCCGTCCTTCCACCAGTCGCATCGTTCAAATCCTTCCGACTTCCTTTAAATTGTACGCCAAAACGCCGAATGTGCATGACAGCAGGGCGTTGTCACTCGGTCCATAGACGACGGCTCGGAGACCAGGTAAGTTGACTAATAGCTCCATCAGCGCCGGAGGTAGCCTGGACACCTATTTGATGTATAATTCTTACCCTTCATATCTCGCTCCGTCGCATTTCAGCACCGCTGCACTTAGGACGTTGGACGACAGGCTCATCTACTCCGGAGGGCCACTGGTACGCACAATGCTACTTCTCTGAACGCAAATTGTCATCCACGAACTTGAGAAGCACTCGCAAGCACGGGATTATCTATGCGCTTCTCGAGACCTGTCTAATACGAAAATGGGGCCTGGAGAGCTTCTTCGCCAACGCTCCAGAAGGAGGTGAGGGCCCATTATGGATATCACAATCGTTCATGGCCTGACATTGTACACGTAAACCTGTTCGGTCTCCTTAATCTAATTAAATGCATCTCATCTCTAGCCCTTCACTCATGGGCCCTGAGTAAACGGGCATCCCGCTCCTCAACCTGGTGGAACTATTAGCATGCCCCTTCAGGTGGCGTCCCTGTTTATCTGCGTGGACGTTTGTCGTCGTCTTTGACAGGTGTTATAGGTGAACGTTCGCCGCTCCCCACCATTGCAATTACGGCGTCATTAAAGAAAGTTTAAGCCGACACTGTATCGTCTGGTAAGCGTACAGGGTGTGCCGGCTTTAACACTTCTGCTATGAAGCGGATGTCTTACCCTTCTCCCGAAATCGAATGGCTATAGCACCTGGGCATGGAAACGAAGGACTTGCTCACGAGCAGTGCATGTGCGCCTGGGTACGTTCGCTGTAGCTTCATGGTGCTTTCCTACCTCTAACAGGCAGTTCTACAGTGACCCCTCCCCCCACCCTGCATCTTGGACCTCAGGCACCCCGTCTCTCTTTCTCTGACCGTCTTCCTGATCCCGATAGCCGCTCGCTCCACATTGACAGGGAGCAGTGCACGTCTTGTGCTGATCTTCTGAAGGACCGACTAGGATATCCTCAGTCTCGATTTATACCTCGATTCGACTACCATAATAGTGCCACTGGCTTCAGTCAATCAAGGCAGTAAAACAGGTCTCAAATTAATGGTTTGGGTGGTGCGACCGCCCCGGGAGTCGACGTCTGTGGCACTACGATCTTTCCCACGAGTTGTATACACCTCGATGTCCCCTCTTCGTTGTCCGTACTGATGCTGGCGGTTCAACCTTCTGTCGTGGGAACGCGCTCCCTGGACAGAAAGAACTCGGTGAGTTTGAATAGATCTTGCCCTAAGATCTTTGAAACACAATGATATATCATGCTATTACATGTATGTAGATAACGAAAGCAATTGCGTGTACGTGCGTCAAGAACAGGAACCAGACATTGCTACAGTATTACAGAACAGAACGAGAAAGGTGACAAGGCAGACGTCTTTAACGTGTATCCGAATCCGAAAAGACGTGATGATCTGTATAACGAACTCATAGAGGGGCAGGTGCAATAACGGCCTGCCGCTTCGTACGACTGGTCAGTTGCTTGCGCGGGCGTTCAGATTCGCGGCAATTGAGCCGCACCCCGTGGTAGGACAGATGCTGTGCTTGTTCTAGTAAAGAACGGGACAGCTACGAATGTACACACCTTGGTGAGGTCCGTAGAAGCACGCAGTCCGGGGAAGTCTTTGGTAGAGTATATCTTGAATGGACCACCTACGCACTCCGCGATGGCTGTCCGCCTTCTCCCAGAGGGGAGACTCATCAGGATGTCGAATACACGGTAACGCAACAGATAGGTTCCCTCCAATTTCACAGCCAGATCCTGTGTCACCGGCGAAAACATTAGCAGATAGCACAGCTTGGAAATTTGAGCAGACACGCAACCGAAAAAACACACAACAGGGCTTTCTTGCCCGAGTAGTCTACGCAGATCGGAGAGACACTTTGAGAGCCACACAGAATCTCGTTGCACATCATGCTTTCTGCGACACCATGACTTCTGATCGGCGGTGGATGGGCCACAGGGAAAATCACACAGTCATCGCCACCAAGGGCCTGAGGTCCTGCCAGGATAGGTGCAGATGACGACCCAGCCTGTGAGAAGGATGAATGGAACAACACTGGTGCTGAAAGGGAGGTCTGCCCTGCAAATGCCAGATTGGAGCCGTCGACAGAATAACCCGGTTGCACGATCGATCCTGCAGGGGCATCGAAAGAAATAGTCGATGAGGGGCTGGAAGGACCACCATCACGACTCAATCCCATCGGCATTGTCGCCGTTCCTTCAGACACATCCACAGCGTGTGCTGGGGAGGCTGGAAACAAGTTTGCGTGGCATATGATGCCGATGGTAAGTGCATCGCTGATGCGAATGAACATCACTACATGCTGCGACGCTGCAGAGCCATCAACAGGAAACTCACGTATACTCAATTTCCTCTTCCCTCTCGTGCGGAGTCCCGGAGTCGAAAGTACGAAAGAGTTGCAGCTGAACCACGGGTGGAGGATCGAGTGGCCGTCTGTCCTTCAAGCCATATCTTGAGCCGCGTCGTACAACATCAGCCCCAACGGCGCAGACGCAGATTCGTTCAACATACTTGCGACCAAGATCAGCCTTCTGCAGTTCCTTCAACTCCGCACGCACAATGGCACCAGCAAGAGGACCGGTGATGAGTGTAAAGTGTTTGCCCGCAGAATCGGAAGAGGTTCCCTGAGTACTAGGTCATCGCTACAGGCCGACCCAATCGCGAATGATATACGCACCACAACATCATTAGACATGACGAATTGATTGTAGACGCTTTCCTTCGGTCCCCTTGATGGCGATGATATCGTACAAAGGTGCGCCAGGGGTATCACGGAAGATCAGAGTTATTTATTCAGCGACAAGAGATCTCATTTTAGACTGGTCCATGCGATTCGACACGGTTCTGGCACGAGGCCTCACATTCCCAGGTTCCAATGACGATATGTGCGTAGACCTGATCTTGCGTGAACAAGATATAGTGTGGCTGGTAGTGATAGAGTGCCGTTGGCGCATCCCTGCATGAGTGTCAAGTCGCCTTGCTGCGAGGTCGGCAGCATCGCATGGATTCAAACGAAAAAAGGCTCGAGCGCTTATAGTGGGTAGCGATGAAAACGTGACTTATATGGCGCCGGATCCGAGGTCTAGAGCAGTAGTGTGCATGTTCGCAGTCCCTGCACCAACGTTCGTACATAAGAGCTCTTGCGTTCACGTCGCACATATCAGTCGCTGCTGCTACATGCGCTCACAAAAAGAATTACTCACAATCGGCGGTATATACAGTCGGCGAAGAGTATTTCTCTTTGGTGAAGCCATGATCTATACACAAAGCGTCAGGATATAGCATAAACACAGTCGATTATATACGTGCATTAGCCCTTCAATGTATGGTTCGTTGGGAGCGCCTCCGAATCATGTCTGTGAATTGGGCCATTTTGAGTACCACACATGTTGTACAGACACTTACCAGCGCTAGGAAGTAAATGCGGCGGGAATGTTAATTAGCTACCCTGTCGAATCTCCTAACGACACCTCATACGTGATTTGGAAGTTCAAGATATATGCCTTTGGTATCAATGCACTCACGATCTTGTCATGCGGGATCGTAGTAAATGAGCGATGCCGCAGGGACCACGTTCAGGTACGATGACCTTGTTTTTCGATAAGCCGCAGATGGGCTCTCGAGGATGCTTAGAGTTTTAAGGAATGCTGGATGAACTTTCAAGCTATGAGAGCACATTTGGCATAGTCTGATGGTAGGCGGACCATGATCCGAGAATAACGTACGAGAGCCCGGTAAACGATCTTGAAGACGACAACTTGTGTTGAGGTCGTGGGGGTCTAGGGACATATGGCCTGATTCTAAAACACACGATCCCCGAATGTCTGAATGGATGCAAGCCAATATCAGTTGATATGCCTCAATTTTATAAGGCGCTGTACTGCCAGTGGCATTCAACCAGAAACCTCCCAACCGGGACACGGCGCGCGGCCGTTGCATCAGCAATGAGGTTGAGACCTGCGAAGAATGGAGAAGGAGTCGACACCACAGGTGACTCTTGAGATCGACTATGAATATAGAATCAGAGTTTCAACTCGTATTGTACGTAGGGACACCGAAACGCGCCAATGTGAGGCAGTGCGTTACGAATCAATGTTCATATATTGTGAGGTTTGTGCAGGACGATGGGACAATGTTGCTAGAGTCCGAGGGCATCCATGAGGGAATGCCACTAGACGAACGTAGGAGTCAAGGTGAATAAAGTAAAAGCCCTTCGGAGTGGTCTCTCAGAGTCAGGTGCGAGGCCATCGAAGGGAGTGGAAGGGACTCAGACGGAACTGACGATTATGGAAGATTCGCGTATGTGTGAACTGAACGCACGGCAACGTCATGTTCTAGGCGGTCTGCCGCTCACCACTTCGTAACTTGCAGCGATCAGCTCACCTGTCTAACGTCCGACTACAATATAACGCTTTGACTTCAGGAAGGCCTACTAGACGGATGGGCTAGTCCCACACAAGCAAGAAGGGCGAAGGTAGAGCTGGGTAGAGTGAGACAATGCAATCACCCCGCTATTAGGGTCCCGTGGTTCCCATTTCTTCACGCCAAGCAACCTTCCTCCTACTATACTCTCGCGTAAAACGGCATGGGATCGAGTGGCAGCGTCCGGACAGAAAGGGCATCTGTTCCTGAGGATCGCAACAGACGTAAGTCACCCGAAAGGCACCCTCTGTGCAATCGGCCACGTACCGAAGACCGGCTACCAGACTCACTCTTCACACAGTTCGTTTTCAACCGTGGTCCAAATACCGTCACGTCCTCTCAAGCGACTCCTACTCACTTCAAGTTGATTTCTTCACAGTCGTAGCGCCAGCTGCTGTGCTGCGTTGCGGCGTCTAGGGCCGTCGCCCAGAATACTGGTCACCTCGCTGTCGCTCGAAACAGGAAGGAAGCGTTGTACGCTGTGTCTTTGGGTAGCCGCCTCCGTTGCATGAGGTGAGAGAAGACCGTAGATCCCTCGCATCAAGCCCGCCATAGTAGCGGAGAGTGCACCATGTTCCGGGAGTTGACATCAGGCGCTACCTAGGGCGAGCTCTGCAAGGTTCATCCGTTGTCGCAACCCAGCTGCGCGGGGCACAACTTTGTGCCGGAACTCTGCCCACTTGCGCCTTCGTTATGGTAGCGTCACCTCACGAAATAGCATAAGGAACTACTCATGCATCAAATAGTCAGTGCTTGCAGCAATGTCTCGACTCGGGAACAATGCGGGTTCTTCCACAACCATACAACGTCGCATATTACCACATCTCCGAGAATTCCTTGGATAGGACTTGGTACGATGTTCGAGCCTCGCATTTAAGCGGAGAGCGCTGACACACGATCGAAAATAGAAAGTGGAGCGTACCGCAGATACCGCTATTGTAGAGATAGTCATCGAAACAGCCCATGTCCTCTCCTTGCCATCCCTAGGAGGGATTTTCTTGAATCGCAGCGAAGAATCACGGACCGAGGCTGCGAGTAGCAGTAGTTACAAGCACCATCTTGATAATTGTAAGTAGCAGTATACCCTTATAGACAGCACTTTACAGCACCCAGCGCGGACGGTGACAAGGCTCTATTTCCTGGCGCCCACGAAGCATCCTATGGCCGTCGAGAGACCGTCGTTCTCCTGAATAGAAACATTGTTGCTGACTATGTCTCCACGTCTTGTATGGCACTCACCAACCCTCCGAGAGCTCTACAGCACGGTGCTCCTTCATTCCTGCTCCGAAGTGTTCGTGGAAGGATGCGCAGGCAGTATCGTCGCAAAAGAGCTTATTGCTGCAACTTACGAGACATATCCCAGCGCGACGGGATGCCGGGTCTTTGGCCAGCAGACGCTGCGTTTCGGCGTCACCGATCCAACTCCACAACGAGACCACCCGAATTTTGCGCGCCATGCGATCTTGATCATGTTTATGCATCTGCTTTCTTAAAACGGAACGATGCTCTCTAAGCTGCATTCTGACCCGCTAAATTCTGTCTGATGAATGTTAAGTCACTCGCTGGCACTGGAGTATCGATCAGTTTCCGTCGGCACGTCTTGGTGAGCATGCTTGAGCCCGTGGGGTGCACCCGCTATAGTTTCGTTGATCCTCGAATGTTGAGATCTTTCCAAGTTCCCTCGTGCATCCGAACATCGGCGTCAAAGGTCCGGACAGGTAAGCCAACTGTGTCTTGTGGTTGGGGAGTTGATGGTGATAAGGTATGTTTATTTCCAACCAGCGTCTGAAATTAATAGTCCACCCAACATTGATTGTAATACACAGTACAATGGCACACCTTTGCAAGGTACATCTGATCGGGCATGTAGACGCTTCTTGTAGGCCTTCTCTTATACCTCGGGATTGAGGATTGGTGTCACATCATTACTTACTCGAAAAAAGGATTTGTCACGACAGAGTAATAATGGCAGTCTGATTGTCGTCTCTGGATATGGGCCGTTGCCGTGCAATTTCACTGTATGCCAGTCAAGGCCTGTGATTCAATGAGAGAAAGAAGCGTTGTGGTGGTCGAATAACCTAGTTCTTAATTTAGACATGTACATTCACTTTGAGGACCTTCAAGGTACTGTCAATTCATATGCCATGTGCTGCGTTCGTCACGGGTCGCTGACTTCTCGGCATGATTCCAGGCACCTCTTCCTGGACATCAATTGGCCGCCTCAGCACAGACTAGTACTATCGGGATGTCTGTGTTGACTCACTCCTCACCGGGGCGTGCGTTCGTGACGCGGATTGGGAGCTCTTCCAATGTGAGCCTCAGCCATGGCCCTTCGCCGGGATTGCAACATCGTCAGAGTTGAGTGCGTTAACGAAGTATATTACAGCAAACCAACAACGATAGAACACCCTCACAAAAGTTACATATAGGCGGCATCATGAGCATAGCGGCGCTCGGCACTTCGAGGTGACGTGTCCTCATCCCTCCGAAGAGGTTGTTCGCACCAGCCATATATAGTACTTCGCGCCAATGTCATAATATTCGTCCGTTTGTCGAGGTCGACCCGTACCCCTGTCGCGCTCTGCTTCCGCCAGCAATAGCAGACTCTGTACCTCGTGACGCGATGCCAGTAGCTTCCTCAATCTGACGACTAATCATGGAGCCAGACATGTCTACAACGAGTTCCTTCTGAGCAGGATGGATATATTGACCATTACTGATCATGATGGCAAGAGGACGAGGAGGCTACAGCAAATGTTCACCTCACGTTCTTCATTCGTTAGCCCATCTCTGGTCGGCCACCCGCCATCGCATTGCAATCACGACTCGTCCCGCGGGCTTCTGCCCCACCTTTGTCCAATGTATGGTCTGCGAGGGGTTGTATATTGTGATTGATTTTGCTGTAACATGGGCCCACAAGGCAGCTCCTTCGAAGACCTTGTAACCACGGCGGTGAGCTTGAATCTACCCTTTTAACATCATATCCACGAGCGGGATGGGAAAGACGCATAACATCAGTACAATGACGTTCACTACCTGACGGCCACCCGTGTTCCGACATTGTAGAGGCGCCAGTTTATCTTCTCTGCGAGAGTCGAGAGAGCGACCAGAGCCCTCTCTGATATTGTGTTTTGCAATCTGGCTTCGCGCACTTTCAAAATATTGATGTTGTGAGAGCGACGGAGTGTTGGAACAACGGTGCGAACGGCGCGGGGCGCGTTTTTACACGGGCGTAGCGATGCCCGTAAGGGAGAATCGCGTGCGGTACGGACATCGCGCGGGGTCGTTATATACTATGATAGGGCCCTCCGGCCCCCGGCTACTCGCGCGCCCGAGCTTTCGAGCTCGTTCCTGACCACGCGGGGCTGCGCGTTTCAACACGGAGATTCGATTCGCGGGCGCGGATCGCGTCAACAATGTCCGGTCGCGACTGTTTTACACATCACGTGGTGCGTGTCGAGATAAGACGCGTCGAGCTGTTTCTGCTCAGCCTTCGAGTCTCGCATCAACTTTCACGTCGCAATAGTCTTCCTTGGCAGTCGAGAATGCGCACGGATATGCGACAATTATGTCGTGGAACTTGTGACATCACGTTGCTGCCAATGCAAGCGTCATCATGGGCACCCACTCCACTTGAGAATCTTATCCCTAGTGTCGGCGTCGTCAGCCTCTTGTGTTTTAGTCTCAGAGGCTGACCTCCTGTGGATAAAACAGCCTTTTACGTCCAGCGTGTCTTTCGCTGCCCAATACCACAATGCTTTCTGTAGCTCGTGCTAGAATCTCCGCTACGCGGCTGAGGCCCGCACACACTTGTGTGTGCATCTCGCGCCCTTCTGTGCTTCCTGTTGCGAACATGCTCCTTGTGCGAGCAATGGCGAGCGGGCAGCTTTTCGACGTCACGAGGGAGGTCAAGTCCGACCACGACAACGTCCGCGATCTCTTTGCGCGATACCAATCCACTAACGACCGCACCATGAAGACCGCCATTGCAAACACTCTAGTGCGCGAGATGGAGATCCACAACGACGCAGTGTGAGTGCTGGATACTGCATGCGCAGCCAATACGTGATCCGAACGTGGGGACTCTGGTCAGGGACATATCGGTCTACAACTACTATGAGACCGCCGGGATGGGCGACATGGCGTCGCAGAACAAAGCGGAGCTCATGAAGGTGCGGGAATACGCGTTGAAGGCCGAGGCGACGCCCCTGTCAGAGGAGTACGACAGAGCCCTGGAGAAAGCGTTCCGCGTGTTCGATGACCATGCACAGGACGAGGAGCAACGTCAGCATCCGCTCTTGAAGAAGAAGCTGTCGGCGGAGGACAACGACGTGCGTATATGCTGTGCGATGTATGGTGCTGGGTGCTAACCCACCTTGCAGAAGATTGCGCGCTCATTCCTGAAGGCGCGCAAAACCGTTGCGCCGCGTCCGCGCCCTCTGACGCCCCAGATGACCAACGTCGCCGAGAAGGCACAGGAGCTCCGAGGCAGGGCCCATAGTGAGGTGCGAAATCCATCCTCGTTTGTATGCGCTTTAGGGTAACCAAGTCCTCGCATAGGTCGGCGAGGAACCAACAAATCGCATGTTTGTGGACGTCAAGCATGCCCATCCTACGATATGAATCTTCTGTATCTGGACTGCCCGTTATGCACTGCAGTCTCTGATCATAAGATATGCTGCGTGTGCTATGTATACTGTTTGCTCTTATCACGCCCCTGTGATCATCCTTCCTTATCGAATACACTTTAGCACAGTGTATACAGCCGCCAGCGTCTCCACATGAGCATCAAGAGTTGTCTGGGTATGCAAGAATGCAGCATCAATATCCATATCTAAATCTTATAGGTACACAGGCATGTCCGTCCGTCCGACCCTTGTCGTATCTGGCATTTCTATCACGCCTTCGCGGTGGGCGTCGCAAACTTTTCATTGTGGTGGGCTCCATTACGTCTGTGATGGGGGCTCATGATAGAGATTGCCCCTTCAGGCTTGATCCATCTGTCCGTGTGGTGATCATGAGGATCGCCATGCAAGTCGTCGAAGGAGAGATATATTATGTCTTGGAGATCCATCCAAACACTCGTCGTGCTGAAGGTGCAACAGGTACACTATCGTGCTCACATCAGTGTACGCAAGCTACCTTCATGTCCGTGCACATTTATTGTTCGAAATGATCACTCTCCATATGTGCTTAACACTCATTAATTACTAGGTTCCGAATTGCCATCGTAGTACATAGCTCCCTTGCTCGGGTCCTGCTTGTGCATCTCATTCCTTCGAGACTTTGATGACAACCTTCCCCACGTGCTTCTGGCTCTCAAGGTATTTATACGCTTCACGCGCCTCCTCGAACTTGAAAACTTTGTCGACGAGGGGTTTAATGCCATTTGCGGTGATAAGCCTGTTCATGTCTTCGAACCTATAGGCATCAGGGCATCAACACTACATGTCACGGATGTCAATTCTAAACTTCGCTCACTGTGTCCGCGAGCCAATCAAGATGCCGCGAAGGTTGGCAGTTCTAATAAGAAGTGCAATCGGCAGATGGACGAGATCTACCGACTGAGATGTGCGACATTAACATCAATCCTCCAAGCCCGTAGGACTTCGACGTACCCCGTCAGGTGCAATGTGTCCTACAACGTGAACTGAGCCCCCATATCGCACAGATGCGATGGACTTTTGAATAGTAGCTGCGCCACCGACTTCGATGACATGGTCGACGCCTCTGCCATTCGTCTGCATAGATCGAGAGTCAACGAGTCGTACAGCGCACACTATGCGATTATCTTACAATCTTCAAGACTTCCTTCTCCCAGTCTGGCGTCTTCTTGTAGTTGATCAGGTGCTTCGCGCCGAGCTTCTTCGCAATCTTCAACTTCTCATCTGACGAAGACGTCACGATGACGCTCGCGCCTGATGCGATGGCGAGCTGCAGGCCGAAGATCGAGACGCCGCCCGTGCCCTGAACTAAAAGATAGTCACCGCCCTTGAGAGGGATCGGACCCGATAGCGCATTGTACGCAGTGAGGGCTGCGCAGCTGCGTACCACGTCAGTCACACGTGCTCCAAAGTGCCCGGGGACAGTACTCACGGCAAGGTTGACGCTTCCTCGTATGACAAATGTTCGGGGATAAGCACGAGCGACTGAAAACGGGAGTCAGGACGAAATAGCGCACACCCTCTGAGCGTGGACGTACATGTGCTGGAAACGTCTTATACTCTGTCAGGACGCCGTCAATAGGGCCGCCAAGACCAGTGAGTTTAATCTCGTCAGTCACGTCGCCGAAGATGTGATCCACAGCGAAGTTGGAGCAAACACGGTCGCCGATCTTCCAGCCCTTGACGTCGTTACCCACAGCGACGATTTCACCGGCCATGTCGGAACAGGGAATAACATTGTCTTTCTGTCCGAGGGGATACTGACCCCTCGAAACGAGGAGGTCACGATACTGACGAGCTGAGTGAGACTGGAAAAATACGCCAGAGCTTTGAGAAAACCTACTTGCAGCGATACGGAATGGACCTTCACGAGGACCTCCGATGCGTTGATAGGGGAAGTCGCTGCCTCTCTCAGCGTTAGGTTGTGGATACCAACCTACAGGACCGCATTCAGTACTGGTTTTGTTATCAAACGGGGAAGTGAAAAACTACCTCAGGAAGACGGTATTCGCGGAAGGTGTTGGGAGTAGACATTTTTGTATACCGCAGCGCGTGTTAGGTACAATGACTGGCTTGATAGCCTCGCACGCGTTTGTATTTATACCTGGGCGAGCGGCAATAGCATGTATGGACAAAGGGTGTCGGTAAGAACAGAGAACACCGGCTGACCACCAAAGGGGCAGCATTTGTAAGCAACAGAGCGTTAGTAAGGCTCTTTCTTGAGACTCATGCACAGGACGCACGACTATACGCTTTAAACTCTCATGAATCCAAGCTTGTGCTGATCGACTCATGGGCCAAATGTACGATTTGGCCCTTCGGAAAACGCAAGCATTCACACAGTTTCGTGAAGCTGGCTGATTAGCCTTAGGGGTGCATAGGTGTCCTTGGGGATAGGCAAAATCTCACTAAGCATGATTGGGAAGCGTAGGAGAGGTTTTGCTTCGTCAGGAAGCAGATGCTTGGTGATCTCGCATGTTCGGTCATTCCCGAGAATCTAGATAAGGATCTGACTAGCATGAAAACAGTGATCGGAAATCGGATATCGACCGATTTACATTTGATTACATAATATCACTTGAACTCGATGTGTGTAAGTGGACTTCGGGCGGGAATGGGCGGGCCTTGAAAACAGCTGTATAGTTTGGTAAATCGTTGTCTCGTACCCATCCCCCCGTATCCGCACCCCACCACCGCGAAAAGGGGGTCTGGGGCAGTTAGATAGGCGCCCCCCCCCCCGGATTAAGCGCCCTACAAGCGCCGGAATGTAACGGTCACAGTAGGCTTCTGGTACCTAGAAATGATGCGATCTTTGATCGCGTTCCAAATCCGGTACTCACACCTAGCAGGTCGTGCTCGAGACTGGTGGACGCTACATTGTGGTCTGCCACAGAATCTCAAGTTTACTTGTTTCAAGCATCTTAGATAAGCCTCACATACTATATCCACCAGCAATCTAAGTATTTCATGAGATATACCCCTCCAGTAACATCATGAGGATGCCACAGATACTGAAAGGAGAAGTTGCAGCTTTCATCATGATGCTTTCCACATGATACTTCATTTGGTCATAGACTTACAGGCTGAATTTTG